TAGGAGGTTCAGGTAAAAACGTTTGACTGTATATGTACACTACGCCGGTCACAACAACATCGGGGCGAAATAAAGTTCTGTTCAAACTTCTGCATCAAGTTTCATACCATTTCGTGTACTAGAGTTGCGTTTCGAAATTTAAACTTCGACTAGTCATTGATTCTAGCAGTATTCATATTATGATTTAAAGCACACATCTGAAGTCTGTAATCAAAATCATTAGATATCTTTAACAGCCAATTAAGACAATCGTGGTAATCGTGGTTCTACTATTTTAGCAATTGTAAAAATAGGTGTAATAACAATAAGCTTCTTCACGGCGCCCAAGAAATTATCATCAGGTGATATCCGCGGTGTTGTTAGCCTTGCGCTCCGCTTTGGGGCACTCTGAATCCGTTCTCGCGGAAAACTTTTACCCCTTCTCTTCCCCAACACCCAGCACATCGCGGCATGATAAGTTCACGCGTCAGCGCGACAGACATGGTGCAGCTATTCAGGTCTGTTAGTGCACTGTTGAAGGCATCTTCCGCAATGGGAGACATCCCGTGCCAGGTCTCAAGCTGTTCCGCTGACATGTGAGCGATATTGTTTTGCCAACCATCTTTATCTATGTATAGGCGAACCCACGGTAACCTTTTGCAGGCAGTTGTTCTTCTCAACCAAGACCATTAGCGGTTGCTGATAAAAACAGATGTTACGGGCAGTACTGTCGTCGCTGTCGGGACAATAAGCTTTGCCTGTCGCATATACACGCACACTTATTGCCGTTCCTGTGTTAAACAGGTTTCTTCAGTGGACAACTGATGTTACCTGAATGGTGACGTCCAGCCGCTGGAACTGTGGTTGTCACAATGTCCACTTCAGGAGAAACCGGGACACTGGAATCCACTGCGCGGGGCGGGATACTGGTGGTACCCTGCAGTGTGAATCCTTCGCAAGTATCCCAGTAATGTGCCAGAGAGAACCGGTAGAACTGGCAAAGCTCCTGCATCATAGGTACCTCGCAACATTTACAGTCGTTCTTCTCTTTGCACTTCATAGAATCGGGGATGTTACTGCACTGTACAGATTGGTCTGGCTCCATGCGGTCGCACTAAATAATAATAATATGAAGAGAGAACACTTGCTATAATATTCTTCACACATCGTGACGACATCGATCGTTGATGGCATGTACTAAATACCTGTACGGCAGGGAAGCTACATCTTTTTGCAAGTGGCTTGGCAAGGTGTTTAACATTGAATTACTGTTGCAGTTTCTTTTTTAATGTAAATTTTTTTTCTAAATCTTGGAACCTTTCAAAACCGGAAAAGAAATAACAGAATTTTAAGAATATGATGAAAATTCAGTTGTATGTGATTCAGTATGACACTTTCTTATGGCTATGTCCACAGCGGATTTACATGTGCGTAATAAGTATGTATTTGAAGAATATTGGTGCTGGGTGCATAACCAGATCTCTGGTACATCGTTTTCGGTCGAACATTAGAAATTTATTTTAACCTCCAGCTTCACCCACGAGCGGAAGTCATATGTATCTGTATAATGCGCTTTTATCGTACAGTTCATGAAATAAGCAGCCACGAAACGCTCAAAATAATTTCGAAAAAGCTTCTTTAGCAGGGCATGGCCGCATAATTTCGATAAAAGCCGTGAATTTGGAAGCTATCTCAGGTCATCGTGCTTAAAGTAAATCTTCACATAAATCAAAAAAGAAAATACATAAATGGAATAAATACATCAGTCCTCACAATCTCATACCCACGTTACGGCTCGTTCAAAGTGAAAGCCAGTAAATAACTCGACTGTCAAAACTGCCTCAAAAAGTTGTATGGTGAAACAGAAACATATATCCAGATCAATAAATCAGCGTGCTGACATTGATTACAGAACAGTTAAATACGGTCACGGTGCGTGAAAGAACTTACCGTGTAATGGACTTGGTAATTGACAATATCCGTGCTGCTGTTACGAATTGCCATGATAGTCGCCTCACCACACCGGGCATCACGCAGATCGGTAATCTTTTTAAACATTTCTTTAGTGGGATAGACTGTGCACTGTGTGAGCACGAAAAGGTAGAGAAAAAATTACGAGTGAAAAACATTTGACAGATTTTTCAAGAGGCGCTTACCATGAAATTGTACCGATTCAGTGGATCAGGATAAGCAAGCACTGTCCGGTCGTGCAACAACCAGCCGGTCATCCAAGCAGAAAAGACCGTAACCACAGTTCGAACTACTATCATTCTGCGCTTGCTGCTTCACGAGGTTTTAAATAAAACTAACTCAAATAGATTTAAAGAAATTCGAATCCGTACCGCGAAGATTTATTGGTCCTGGAGGTATGCGTTAGATTGCGATACGTTAAACATTCGCTTAAATATCGAAAGGAACTGAGGCCACTTAGTCTGGGAAATGTGCACATTCGGCAACCGGCACAATACTCATGATAACTTTTTCGGTAATTTGGCAATTGGATTAGGTACAGAGATAACCCGAACTCTGCAGTAAGGAAGTCAGTTAAGTGCCTGATCACAATATTTGCTGGAATTGTACTCCATTTTGCCTGCTTTTTATCCGTTTTGCGGCGAATGACACTTAAAAATGTAAATGCATGTACAGCATTTCGCGTATTTTCAGTCCGGCTTTACCAGAAACCAACAGGCTTTGGACCGACCTGATTATTATGCCCACTTCAGAATGGCTTCATCTGTGCGTTTTAGAAGCGGGAGGAATTTTTAAGTTGCGTTACGTTTGAATTTATTCATTCAGTATTTATTTATTGTAAAAAAATTTCTATGTATAGTAAAAATAATAATAATAATAATGAGAATTTTAATATTTCGCAAAAGGCCAGATTTTCGCAAAAACGCACATAAAAAGAAAACGGGTTTCTCACCGAACTAGGATTTTCACTACTCATACTTTTTTCAGCAACTGGAACGAACTTTCCGATTATTTTATATGAATTTTTATATCGAAAGAGTTCTAAAATCCTCTTTTCCCGTAAAAACGGTCGTTCATGTTTGTATGCGCTTTGCGCAAAATGTAAAGACATTGGGTCCACACAGGGCCGTAGCGAGGTCCGTGGGATGGGGTAGGCGCAATTTGGCTGCGCCATTTGCGCCCGCTTCGAAGGTCAGTCTGAGCCCACTGTGCCCATAAATTTCGAAGCCTGCGCCCGTTACGCCCGTATAAACAGGCGGGGCTTTAATACTTTAATTAATATAAATAGTTTAATTATTATAGTTCTTGATCGCCGTACGTCAGACCAAGGCACATCCGGCCAAAGTCCAATCTGCGCCACGAGAGCACGGCCAGTGGCGCCCGCTGCGCCTTTTGAAAAATCTAGAAATTTTGCGCCCGTGCGCCTGTGCGCCAGTTTCGGGCGCAAATATTATTCAAAAGTTGGCCGAGGAGGGGTAGGCGCGCGCCAGTGCGCCTATACCCTCGCTACGGCCCTGGGTCCACACTAGTGCGTCTGCCCCACGCTATGGGATCAGTTTTTTGAAGTTTACACAAATGGTTTCCGTTTTCTCGCTAAAAGAAGTTTCATAGAAATCGTTTACTGAACTGCCAGATACCTGTCCAGAACCCGATCTCATGGGAGCGCTAGGGAAACTACATGCACATACTGAGCAATGTGCGGTCCCTTCACATCGCAGCTGACGAAAAATCAGAATTAAATTTCTGCCGCCCGCTTTGTTTGTCTGTTCTGCTGTCAAATTATACTTAGACAGTTACCACTCATTCAAAGTCGCTAAGCAGCTTGTACGTATTACGTACTCTCTTGATTATTAACAAACTAGCGGTGGTTGCGAACCGCATTAACGCACGTGCGCGGGCGCCAGTACTATTGGGAAATGGTATCGGGATTGTGGAGTAGGAAAAGCGTGACGTACGCTCTTTGTGGCGTGAGACAGATTTTATGCTTTTGACGAAGGCTTAATTCCAGCACCTCGCGCTTCGCGCTCGGTGCAAATTAATACAGTGATTTCAACAATATTAATCTCAATAAAGCTGAAAATTTTAATATCATGAGCGTCTACGTCATATCTGTATAACGGTATAATAATCTTTATTATTATCCGCCTGTGAAGGTGCACACAACCAACTAACTACAGTATAGGGTTGCCAAATACTTGGCGAAGTCGACTTATCAAGTTATTAACTCGAGTTAATCGAAAAAACTTGGAGGAAAAGTCAAGTTATTAACTTGAACTTATCCTTCCAAACCAAGTCAACGAAGTCGACTTGGTTTGTGAAACCAAGTTCTCAAGTTCTGCTTCAAGTCGACTTGCGAGTTTTTTAAAAAATTTGAGGAATTTTAAAGTAAACCGACATTTTCTGCGTTATATCTTTAAAATGTTTTGATAATGGTGTCGTACAACACACTTTCGCTGTACTGTTCCAGCCATCAAAGTGGATTATGACCACACGGCTGCATAGACTATATGTGCAGCCAGGAGGCAAAGCTCGATGACTGGAGCAGTACATGGAACGGGTGTGTGACGCCTAATAACTCCCCTATACGCAAATTTTCGTATTACTTTTTATTCGACTTCAAGTCGACTTGAAGTCGACTTCAAGTTAATAACTTGACTTGAGCTTCAAAGTCAAGTCAAAAAAGTAAACTTGGATGTCCAAGTAATTTGAAAAGTTCGACTTTTTGTAAAAACCAAGTCGAAAGTCAAGTCAAGAATGTCAAGTTGTTAACTCAAGTTTTTGGCATCCCTACTACAGTAGACAGCGTAGGAACACTACTGTAGGGACATTAGTTGTCCAGTTGCTACGGACACAATCGCACAACATTCACGAGACAATCGTACGAGCGCGCGCACATCACGTCTTCATCAGTGTACGTGTACGTACTTACGTATACACTACAGTGTACTCTTCATTTGAGACAATCATTACAACGTCTCATCAACGGCTCTGGCACGCGCCACAACCAGCTAAGAGATCAGCAAAATGTAATATGTTATGAAAATGGCACATTCATAGATTTTGAAAGAATAATAACAAATAGCAACGCATATTAAAAAAAAGAAATTACCATACAATGGACGCCAAAATTGTCTTACACTTATGTAATCACAAAACGCGCGCAACCTAGCACTTTACACCTAACAACTTGTGTGCCTCCGTAAGACAAATCGTCCACGTTCTTTTTATTGCAGGTCGCTAGTAATCCGACTCGCCATGTAGAATAAAGGGCCATTATACGGTTAATACAATGGTACAGCGAATCGCACTCTGTATCTGCACGTTCTTCAATACGATCGATTTTATCCCATCCCTACTCGAGTAGCATGCGTCATGATAGCATCAGAATAGAAATTAACAGATATCGTCAGAGCAATGTTCATTGTACGAAAACTGATTGCCAGTCCAAATATTTTCCAAGGTCACGTTTTTCAAACAGTCCACACTGAAGACATTCGTATCATTCCCATTTCTCTTAACAGCTGCAGAGAAATAGTTTCCCACTCTGAACACTTCGCCGGGCTCTTTTGCTTCGATCAGATACGGTTTCTGCTTCAGAAAACGGCGCAACCAGGCAAATGAGCAGTCACAATGCAGATTATGAAGATAGTCCAGATCGTTAACGCTGGCGGAATAATTGTTGGATGAGCTTGGAGTGCTAGCGCCAAATAACTCCACGATCCAACTTTTTTCCAGAATCAAGGTACGCAAGTTTGGCAAGTCTGTGAAGGTGCCTGGTTCCAATGTGGAAATTGTGGATAAAGAGAACACGATCTGTCGCAGTTGTGGCATGTGAGTGAATTCGAATTTGTGGATCGCTAGACTGAAACAGCTATAGAAGGCAAAACTGTGGAGATTGGGAATAACACCCAGTTCGTACACCCTGGCTGTAGTATTCGGCGAATAACAGCCGAACATGCCAATGTGTACGGTTTGGTTGCGGATTGGTCCGACGACGTCAACGGTTAACAAATCTTCTTTACCAGGCACTTCCGTCAAATACAGCACTACTGCTCGCTGGGGACTGATTTGGCTTACCCTTTGAGTGGTTTTAACTAGTAACGATCGAGGTCTGTGGAGGCACGCGATCTCCACGTACGTGTTCAACATCTGCGATCTGCGGGGTGACTCTTCAATTATTGTGCATACACTGTCCCCGGGGGTAAGCAGACACATAGACCTTTTGGCTGCAAGGCTGAAGTAAAGGATGCATTCTTCCTCCGTGAACAAATCTTTTCGAAATGGATATGGCGGCACGAAGGGAGCAACAGCGTTGCGGGTTAAAGTCTGTTGCGGGTTTTGTGAGTCAGAGTCCGTGTATGTCGGCGCAGCTGCAAAATATTTTCAACAGATGAGTAAAAGGACGATAGCTTCTTTCAATTTACATAATAAGGTGGTTAACGAAAATTTTTTTAAAAATATTTTAAGTCGAATAAGTCAGTTCATAATATACGAATACAAGCGCACATAATAATTTTGTTCGGTACTTTCTCTCATCAAACATAGTAGAACACAACGTCTTACCGAGATTATTATGTATGTGGAGCAAGATAAACAATCCGCACGGACCGCACCGCACTGCGTTCATGATGCAACATTCAATCAGCATTCTCTTCGTCAGCGGCAACAAATATTATCGCTGACAAAAATTTCGTGTGTGCTGATCCATCGACTATTATCAGGACATTTACCAACCAGGAGTATGCTGTCCACTCAATAAAAACAGAATTTGACGTGTTTAGAGAACCAAGCGCTTTGACTGAAAGAATTAACGTACCCAACGCACGGCGGGAAAGACTTCGAAAGCAGCGAGTGAGCGGATTATCACATTTAGCCATCTCCTACTCAGCCGAGCAGTCACACCGTGCTCGGATAACACTGCGCTGTAGAATAAAGGCTATGGCCGTTGTGCAGCAGTATTCAGCAGTGATTCAAAATAGCCAAAAGCTTTTTTGCAGCAAAAACTGCGGTAAAATAGCGACTTCGTAAAATACCGTATTTTATCAATTAGTGACCCTCCCCGATTTAGAAGCCCTCCGCGAAATACAGACCCCCTGACTTACCGCTATGAACTTATAGTGACCCACCCCGAAACAAAATCCTAGTGATATTTAAAAACGGTAAAAGCAAAAGTCCGAAATAAAGACCTCATCCGAAACCTTTATGAAAAAATAGTAGCGCTGATCACTATTTGATAAAATACGGTGAGTGGAAATCTGCCGGGCAAAAGACCGGTTTTCAAAAAGCTGGTGAGAGATGGCTAAATATGATAGCCCACTCACTCACTAATTAAATATACACAAAGTGAAGCAGCCGAATAATAGTTAACCTGGATCATACGTACAGCCATACTGTTCGGCTCGCTGAGAACTGAAAACGCTGGAGTCAACGTTTAGCTTGCGGGTGATATACTGCTGATCAGGAAATGTTGTTATAATATTAGATGGATCGCAGGTTCGTAATCAATGGAAGTTTGTCAGGGATAGTTTTCGTTTGCCGCTGGTACAAAAATGCTTATTGAAGGGCGCGACACGAAAGCAATGCGGTTTGGCTTGTTTATTTTGCTCTACATCCAAAGCAGTCTTGGTAAGATATTATGTTTTCGATGAGATAAAGCACCCAACAGTATAAGCGGGATAACTGGTCTACTCGAACTGTTTCTCTGAACTGCTGCCGTCACCCTGGAGTATTACATTGTACTACGGTCGTTCGGTTGAAAAATCTTGAATTACAGCTCCCACAAACCGATTTCCTTCCCTTTTTTTTTAAATAAGTAGATCACAGCTTTTACAGAGTACAGGGAATTTTTGGAAAAATTGAACCGTCGTCAAATAACTACAGTACACATGATAACTTCGCTTCAGTCATTATGTGTACTTGCATTCGTATACATTAAAAGTAAATTTTTTTATTCATCGTACAAAAACTGTGTCCTTTGAAAACTGTTAGGATTGGAAATGTATTACGTGTACGTAATCAGTAACTGTTCTATGAGTGTACTATCTTCATAGCTGATCAGTGAGTGGAACGTCCACTCAGTACACCTATCCCTAATGATGATCAGACTTCTGGGTGAAGTGCTGACTAATGTTTGAGTGTTGTGTTACCAACTGTGCTATATAAGCGAGTGTTGTACAGAACATCTATGAACATCTTGTGGACATCACTGAATGAACAACTGCGGAAGTATCTGAGTTGGTTCGTTAGTACAGTTAGTACGGTAGTCAGTTATCACCTTCCTACAGACCACTATTTAATTTTCAAGAAAAACTTTATTACGTAAACTGTAAGAAGAGATCGTCCTCTTACCCATTCGTTCAAAATATTTTGCAGCTACGTCGACGTACACGAAGTCCGCTTACCTCTCACAAAACCTGACTTCACGCCCCACCGTGCTTGCTCCAGTCGTGCCATCGTATCCCTTTCGAAGAGATTTATTCACAGCAGAAGAATGCAACCTTTACTTCACCCTTGGATCCAATGGATCCATGTGTTTGTTGATTCCCGGCTCCCGTTTATGTGCCATAACTGAAAAATCACCCCGCCGATTCGTGATGATGAACACGTACGTGGAGGTCCCGTGTCTCCACCCAACGCGATCGCAGTTGGTTAAAACCACCCAAAGAGTAAGCCAAATCAGTCCGCAACGCGCAGTAGTGCTGCATTTGGATGAAGAACCCGATAAAGAGGATTTGGTTACCGTTGACGTCATCGAACCCATTCGCAACCAAACCGTACACATTGGCATTATTGGCTGTTATTCGCCGAATACTACAGCCAGAGTGTACGAAGTGGGTACAATTCCCAACCTCCACAGTTTTGCCCTTTATAACTGTCACAATCAAGCGGTCCGCAAGTCTGATTTCGGTCGAATGCCACAAATACGGCAGATTGTGTTAACTTTATGTACGATAAACATGCTGGAGCCGGGCACCTTCACTGATTTGCCACATTTGCGTAGCTTGGTTCTGGAGAGACAACTAATCCTGGCGTTATTTAGTGCAAAAAATCCTAGCGGAGCCAACAGCTCTGTGAATGCTAACTATCTCGATTACCTTTATAATCTGCACTGCGACTGCTCATTTGCCTGGTTGCGCCGTTTCCTAAATCAGATGCCGGATTTGATCGAGGCAAAAGATGCCGGTGAAGTGTTCATAGTGGGCAACTACGTTTCCACAGCTGTAAAGCGAAATGGTAACGATACGGAGGTCTTCAGCGTGGATTGTTCGAAAAAGATTACCTTGGAGAATATCTGGGCAGGCAATGAGTTTTCGTACAACGCATCTTGTTCTGATGTTATCTGCTAACTCTGTCTTTCCTTTCCTGCCTTGCTTTGGAGATAAATGCGCATATGGGCTTATTATCTAGTGCGTATGGATGGTACGTGAAGTGCAATCGCATAGGTTAACTCAGCTTTGCAATAATAACTGGTAAGGGAGGCGTAATAATATTTTACAGGTATCTTAAAGTTCTTATACAAATGCACGCACGGGACTTTTACCTTCGCGCACTTCTAAATGCTTGTTCTGCGTTGATATATATTTTATTAAACGATCTTTGTAATACTTCGCTTGGCCCAGTATTTTAATCAGTTCCGCTGTAGCGATCAGTATATTAATCACTTGAACGATTTGATAATCTTTGTGGCGGGCGGCTTCATGAACTATTACGGCTGACATGCAGTCGTTGCACTGAAACTACATCTCCAACAGCATCATGAGATGGAGCAGTAGCAAAAGCGCATATTATTACTACTGTCTACGACTAAATATTTCCGAACGATCTTGTGTTGCAATACGCATTATCAATTTAATTAGTTCGTCAGGAACCGCTGAGGTGAAAGCTCTTCGTAAGGATATTAGCGTTTTCAGTTTAAACATCACCCTCTTTCATGTAACGCAATCCGACTGCAGATTCAGTATTAGCGGATTTAGAAAACACTTTTCAAAGTTGAAAAAATCAAAACAAAACTCTGACTGCCGGCCCCCAACCACCCCAGTGTTACCTTGGGTGGTGGCACTGGAATGGTTCCAGTGGAATCACAGACAAAAAAAATTTGTTTTCGCATTCTGCTCGCTGCTTAAAATAATAACGCAGATTCCGAATATGGTGTCAGAAAATGTTTTGGATTGCCTCCAGGAGCGTTCGTTCGAAGATTTGGCTCACGTGTGCAGATGTCTCTTCCAGTACGGCGGGAAGGTTTGGGGACGCGCCGCATAGAGACACTAGCTGTTTGTGCCTATTTGGCATCGGTGTACTCTGTGCTGCCTATCGTCTCTGAATTCTACCAGCCGACTGAAGAGTGTCTAACGGAAGCAGCTTTGGAGTCCTGGACGCAGTGCGAAACCCCAGCAGATTTTATTCGGAAATTTCAATACGCGTGGGATGCGCCAATGATCGAGCGGAACATTTCCATGTTGATGTCGAGTGCAGAAGGAAACGAACGTAACAGGGCTGTTTTGCTGGCTGCACTAAGCAAAGACTCGGGAGCCTGGTTAAATGCGTTGCCTGCTCTTTGTCTGGGAACATTCCTTAGAGACGACGATGTCCGAATCGGTGTCGCATTGCGGTTTGGATTGCCAGTGGTAGTGGCGCACAACTGTATTGCATGCGGCAAGCAAATGGAAATTAACGGACACCACGGGTTATCCTGCAATAAGTCAACCAAAGGACGATGGGCGCGGCACCAAGAAATGTACAGTATTACTAAAAATTGTTGCGAAAGCGCCGGTTTTCTCTGTCAACTAGGACCGACCGGCTTATCGAGCAAGGACGGAAAAAGACCCGACGGGATGACTTGGATTCCAGTCCGCCAAGGGAAACCACTGGTGTGGGATGTAAACAGTTGGTGCACGGTCGCAGACTCTCATGTCACCGGCAGCTCGAAGAAAGCTGGATACGTGGCTCAGCTCGCAGAAAATGCCAAGCGCCGGACATATTCGTTTGTGGAAAATGGAAACTTTTTTATCCTTTAGTGATTGAGACGTTGGGAGTATTTGGCCCCGCTTTCAGTGAATTGTTGCATTTCATGGGCCGTAAAATTCGAGACTTAACTGGAGAAACGCGTTCTACTGCTTTCATTAAGCAACGTTTTAGTCTCGCCGTTGTAAAAGGAAATGCTACGGCTGTTTTGAGCACGTTACCTTTTAACCCAAGAGAAGATAGAGATTTTGGTTGTTTTTTTAATGTTTAAATTTTAACTATCAAGTAGTGTACCGGCGCTTGCAGTTGTTGTTATCGTGGTGGCTATTGCCCATTAAGAGTTCTTTTGTTGCAAATTTATTAATGTTAATATTATACTTTCCAATATACCTGTACAAACGTGAAAGAAATATGAAAATATGGATCCATGTCAGAATGCACTTTACAGCAAAAACTGAAACTGAAGCTAACTTGCTGAAGTGTTTGTCATTGTTGAAAACTTCTACCATAAAAAATTAACACAAGATGCCAAAAGATTTCAGTGCATCGTTGAGCTATAACACTGCAGAAAAATGGTTTTAAAAGTTTTCATGCTTAACAAAAATTTTCAAGCACCGACAGCCTTGACGGCAGTTGGGTTGCGGTTTTAGTGATTTTATTCCTTTAGAGAGGTTTTTTGCACAGGGACGGAGTAGGTGGTTTTTTGGGTTGTGATATTGTTTTTAGAAATATAAAAGGAATATGGGTAGAGTTACGTAATGCTTTTTATTGATTCGCATACATTTGTTTAATTATTTTGTACTTTTCACATTTTTGCGGGATTGTTTTTGTTATTTCCGGGAAACAAACGAATTGTTATATATGCGTCACAGCAAAGACGCCAGACACCGTAAAGAATGGAAATATGTGGCATATAGTGATTGAGGTTGTTTAGCGATTAGCGATTTAATAAAGCGATTAAATAAAGCAATAGCGATGCGATGCGATGCGAGGTTTAGCGATTTAATAAAGCAATAATAAACGGTGGTTTAGCTCCTGGTCTGCGCTGGCGATGGTGGTAGAAAGAACCCGTTACTTCAAAGAAACTAATAACACCAACAATTATGCGATCCACAATACATGTGTCCGATTTCTTTTAGGCTCTTGTACGGTATTTCCGATAATGTACAGTCTCTGCACTTCCTTTTGCGCTTTGCACTGTTCGCACTGATTTTGGGCACCGTTAGTTGCATTCATGCAGGTATCCAGTTTGTTAATCGCTATGTTCAAGTAATGTCTTTTATACGATTCCAGCCTGTCCCAGGCGTCGTTGAGTGATCCCGACCAGGCATCGATCTGGGCATATGGCCAGCCGCCGCGCGCAAACTTGAACATCACAGCCTGTTCTGGACGGGTACCGCATATGACCTTCTGGAGGCAGTTATAACCTTTCGAGATCACCATCATGACCATCGGTACACAGCAAGGATGGATGACCATGCTCACTTTTCCCTCGTCACAGTACGGCATACCTGTCAACAAAGACATACGATGTAAACACCACTCGTTCATGTTGCGCCACAGAGTTTGTATGCGGGAAACCAGCACGCGGGAAGCGCGGGTGGGCTGTCGAAATATACCCACTCAACCGGTGCGCTAGTCTGCGTTACACAAACTACGTGTACGGGAAAGAACCAGGTCTTTACGCTTTAAGCCTTCAGGCGACGAAAGTGAACAAAAATTAAGTACAACACGATCTAAAACTCTGCTGTCGTATGATGGAAAGAATTTACCTGTCTCAGGATCATGATAGTAATTCGGGCTGTGCATCACACCGGAAAAAAAGCTCGGCTCATCGTTATCGTCCCTATCAATAGGCTCCAGCTTCGGTATTTCATCCGAAGGGGATGCGCACGTGTCCCAGAAACGGCTCAAAGCGTAAACCTTATATTGACAGGCCAGTTCCTTGTATATGTCTGAGCAACATGCACAGTATCTCTCCGGAGTGCACAGTAAATCCTCCTTTCCCTTGCAAGACCACGGAGATGAACCTGCCTTAAAGGGGCGACGACACTACAAACCAGAACGAGCACGTAAACAGGTTGCATGCGAAACGAACAGTTAAACGTTAAACAGCATATTGAAGACTGCTTATTAAAGGAGATGTTTACGGGACAGCACTGCACGTATGATGGGCTTACAGTATAATTGAACTGGTACGTTACATTCACCGCCATTCCAGATTCCGTTGTTCCGCTGCTGATTTCGGCGATTGTCGGCACACTGCAGTCTTTCAACGGGTCTGTGTCGATATTTGCAATTTTTTTGAACAGTTCATCCTTATGTGCGGGATCGATGGAGCACTGTACAAGATGCAGAGGTTTTTCGCGTAAGTACGTATGCAGCGGCAGAAGTGTGGCTTCGCTAAATGATGCCCACAAATACAAAGGGGATACCAAAAGTTTTTTTCCCTATTTTATATGTTTTCCCGCAGACTCTTTCAGCTCTTCTCTTTAATATTTTCATAAATACCATTAATCGACTAGTCAGTAGAAAATTTACTTTAGATTTTATTCGATGCGGTTGAGAAAATGCAAAGAAAAGACGGTTGATAGTTTCTGGCGCCTTCTACTGTGGTTCCCTCGCATCAGTTTTGTTTTGTTATCATTCTCCCCGTTCGTAATTCAAGAAGCACAATCTGTTTTCATGTTTGAAATTCTTCTTTCTTTCAGAACAACTTAAGAAAGAAAAATATAAAACCCCGAATGGTTTTTTAAAACAATTAAAACTGTTCACGACCAGATGCCAAAACCCGGAAAATGGGCAATAAATATTAAAGTTTTGTGAAAAAAATTCGTAGTCGATAGCCTGGCGAAAAAATAACTCTTGGCTAAAATGCAATGGAGTCAACAAAAATTACAGTTTTTTTTTATGAAAAGAATCAGAAGTTCAGAAAAGCAGGAAAGCGGAAAACGAGGAAAATGTGCGTCGTTCTAAAAAAATTATCCTTTTTTTGCGGAAGGTTTAGAAACGTTTTCACACTAGGACAAAAACAAGGACAGCACTAGAATTCAATAACATAAATTTTAATTAAAACCGTCAAGGAGGAGAGAAGTGGCGCTAAAAGAACTAAATTTTGGCTGATGGAAGTCGTTAGGCTGCCCGAACTAGCACCGGCTAGACAATTTTTCGTCTGGCCAGTTCTTCATCGATAGTTAAAATTATTTTTTCCTTCGATAGCCTAGGGAATTAGTTATGCAACAAAAAATATATCGTGGATGCATCACTTCAAACGAGAACCAGGCAAAATAGGGAAAAAAACTTTTGGTATGTCCTTTGTATATGAAAATAAAAATAGATGAAATACAAAAATACATAGATAAAATATAAATATAGAAAATGTAAATGCAGATATAGAAATTCTTTTTATAAAAGTAGAGAAATATAAATACAGATATAGATACGTAATTATAAATACATATAAATATTATATAAATATAAAATTAATTACACTGTAGAGGGGAATATTGAGAACTCATGAACACCAATTCCGATCTTGATGATCACCTTCACATGCTTGTTTATGCTAGCGCATTTTGTGCTCTCTGAGCACAATTTTTTGGAGCTGTAAGGGAAAAACAAGCGGACATAAAGCTGAGAACAAGCTTAAGAAACAATGAACATTTAAGCTAAATCTGCAACACGTTTGCATGCTGGTGGATCCGATTCTTGGACATCAACTGCTCTACCTCCACCACCTATGGGTGGACCGGAGGTTCAGCCCGCTTCCTGCCGATAAAACGCAATTACAAATGTTTCGGCTGACAGACGGTGGCATTTGTGTACCGAACATAAGCCGCGGCTGTAGTACATCTGCTGTACAAGCTGTCCGGCAATTTCTGTCGTAAAGGGTACAGCTAGCGCGAAATTTGCGCTTAAAATGGTGGCCACGTCACTACGCTTATCGGACTGCCTAAATGCGCTCCGCAGATAGATTGTCCATTACTACACCGACCGTTTTCTAACCACATTCAGCCAGGCAGTTACTGTTATTCTCATTAAATTATCTGGCGTGCACCAAGCTACCTACCAGCCAGATGCATGTTACGTATTTAAGCAGTGTGGCGTGGCGCGCCGTAGCATAGAGTTTGGCGTAACACGCAAACTTGTGTACTTCGCTGTATTGAACCGGCAGAAATTACCGGACAAGCTTGTACATTCTCATTCTTGCATGTTTTGGTGCTATCGGAGTGTTTGAATAACACTTCATGTGCAGCGAGACAGATTTTTTTGTGCGGATCCATTATCGTAAATCACTGACTTCAAATTACAAAAAAACTGGAAGTGAATGAGCGATTCCGCTGCAAAAATGCTTGGAAATCCAATAAAAATACTTGTTTTGCATCGATTTTAAGTCCATTAAACGATTTTCGAAGAAATCTTTTTTGTATTAAAAAGGTTGTGTTTCCCTTACTTGTAACTGTGGGCAGAATGTGACTAATAACATCGGTGCGTTGAAACCACTTGAAACAAGCTTCTACTGTAGCTCCAGTTAAGCAACGTGCCCGCTACTTTGCATATTCGACCTCTCCCAGAAATCGTTTGCCTTCGTCTGTAATTGCTGTCGCGGATGTTTTCGGCTGTCCGCAAGAAAAGTGGTTATTCTGACTGACCGGCTTCTGCAATATACTGGCGTTGCCAGTGCCACGCAGTGCTCAGGAGCTGTCAAAAACAAAAGAAATTGAGGCAAACATGTTATCATCCACTCGAAACGCGTTGCCTTCTCCGGTTGAACGCAATGTCCGTCACTTACTGCCTTATCGAATAACAAGAATACCGGTTGATTTGTGATGCGCTGATTGCTGAGTCCAGCTTCTGGTTGCCAAAATCACTCGGGTCTCTTGCGTATTTGAGCCAAGTAGAACAGAACCGTAATAATATTATCATATCATAATTCCTTGTGGAATTGTCATAATTTAGTCAACAGTGCTAGAAGTGGATCTAGATAGATTTTGTATGATCTGTACTCGCAACGTCGTGATTGGTTAAGCTTCTTCAATCAAAGAATGTCAACCGTTATTGCGGTCATCGCTATCACCTTGAGCGGTGTGCTGTTGTGCGGCTGTAGTACATTTCGTGATTCTTGGTATGGACAACCTCTGTACAGGACTGATCAGCCCTTCGAGGACTGGTTTGAAGTAAGTGGTGAATTACAGTCATTTACAGATGCATACTTCGCCTTGCCCATTATTTCAATCAGTACCACTTTAGGGATCAATATATTAATCACTTTACCGAACTGAGAGCCTCTGTGGCGGGCGGCTACATGAACAACCACGGCTGACTGAAATGCAGTCTATGCATTACTATTCAGTCTATGCAGCCTACGCAGCTTATCAGTGTGCAATCTATGCAGTAAGACCAGCACTGCATCTATGCAGTAAAAGTGATTAATATATTGATCCCTAAAGCGGTACTGATTAAAATAATGGGCCAAGCGAAGTAGGCATAAAAGTTTTCCTTCTACTTCATAAATCTTGATTATACTCGTATATACTTCGTTGACTTGGTCCGTATGACGCCGTCTGCTGTGCTTGACGAATACAGTTTATCGCATTTGTTAATGTTGAATCGAATTATCATATTTTTGTCTGTACAGTGTGTGACCTCTTCCACACCACCGGACTTAATGCTTGAAAAGGTTGCCAAATTATCAATTACCGACAGCACAGTGCAGTGACCCGAATATTACTCAAATCCCCAGCAACTCCTCGGCAACCGGCGCTCTAGTGAATGTCTCGCACATCCATTACAAGGTTAGCCCTACTTTGCTCCGTGGTGCGTGTTTCGGGCACTACGCCGTCAATATGGTACGCTGCTGTATAAAACACAACTGATTTGAGCATTCTTTCTTAATTCAATTAGTGCAACCCTTAACTGGACTACATACCATGAGATATTATCCGTGCTTGCATGCGAACCAACTACAATGGCTTCTTGCAGCGCCTGCACGACCCTGTTTAGCGCTGCTATGTTCCAATACGATCTGTTCGCTTTGAACCGTTTCTGGAATACTTGTACACCCGTTTATGATAAAATCACCAGTTTGGAGACTATTAACAAGAAAGTTATGGATGAACCGTATTGGTATGACGAGTGGTACTTCCTACAAACAGACCCGCCTTCCAGTCGTGTTCATAACGCAGGTAACATCGTATTTCCATTCTGGGCCATGGACGAAGTTGGGATAGTGATCTCTTCTCCGTTTCGTACATATGTAACGTTAATACCATAAAAGGGCAATCAAGTAGCCTTTGTCAGCACTTTGTGCAATAAGTTCAGCTTGATCAGTAAAACGTGGCACACGCTGCTTTTTTTATGTAGTACAAAACGAAACGTACGCTTGTGTGAGTAAGAGTTTAATGGAGCACAAGCCCCACGCAAACAAATTTTCTGAGTGAAAATATGTTTTTCCGGGCGATCAAAGCACATATGTGATAGAGATGAGCGTAGCGTTTGCAGTTTTATTGGGCTAGTTCAATTAATCCGCGGAAAACAATGATACACTTACATTTTCAGTCTTCTTTCACAGGTACGTATTGTGACGACCATAAACCGAGCATGGTCATTCATCCCTGTTTCGACCAGCCGCTAATGGTGGTGATCGACAAAAGCTCAGTCTACGAAGACAGGTGGTGCTACCAAAAGGTCATCTTGGCATCCCGTCCGGAGCAAAATGTGGCCTTTAAGTTAAACTGGGCCTTTGTGGCCCAGTTAAATGTGGCCTTTAAGTTATCTCAGTTATCTCTGTGTGACCCATCTGGTACACTAGGGTAGTAGTATTCTGTCGTACACAAATTATTGCTATTAGCAACACTTAATCATCAACTTCCTGCTCAGGCTGGCAGTCCCGGAGAGGGAAGTGGTGGTTAGGGTAGAAAACTGAAACACATCTCTGTGGGGGTTGATGCGGACCGCAGCATTCGTACTCAACCAGAATCTGCAGGACATCTGCCAGGACATCTGCATGATGTTGTATTACTTAATTGCTTGTTTGTCATTGTTACCTGGTTTAGTTCACGATCAATAAAAGAGCAGTATGCTCCTTTGCGCGTGACAGGTTACTTGAAGTTGCGTACCCGGGAACAAGATGACGCCTGGGGCAAACACATTGTTGGAGCTAGTCCAGATCTGCTGCAGGCATACCCAATTTTTAATACTTGCCCCTCATTTCTCTAAGGCTGTTCTGTTTTCATTACAACCTTGATAGAATTTTATGTATCATATCCAGCAGTTTACCTTCTGCTTCCAAGAACTAAGTCAACAGTTAGACACAGGCATATGGCCGGGTCCATACTACAGCGGATGAATGTTGACTAAGCGGTTCATCATGTCTGACTACCTGTTCTGACCAGCTTGCCATAAGCGCAGCATGTCTAGAAATTATCGGAATCTGCCCATTCTACAGGTATTTCTAAACCTGATTTTGGCTTAATTTCTTCTTCCGTTCGTACGGGACGTCATTCTGATAAAGGAGGCCTGCAATCTGGCCGCACAGCAAACTGGTGTTTCTCGATTCTGGCAATCAGTAAGTAATCATAGCTGCTTCGCGACCTTGCATCCTTTTCCAACCTGAACAGTCGTCTGCTTCCTGGAAGCGCTGTATAAGCAATTCCAGTTGAGATGCTTCAAGAGCATCGTTCTAATATGGCATATCTTCCCAGATTGCATTATCCAGGAAGTACTCGTAATTAATTACAATAAATACCTCGTTAACACCAGCGATGCCGGAATGAGCGTGACAGCTTTTCGCTTACGGTGCAATACAGTCTGTGCATGCAAGCCTCGTTAGACATTCGAAGAAGTGCTATACGGATATATGTTCCTTGTTGGGCTGATGAAAAAAGCCGTTGGTAATGCCAGTATGACTCACACGGCCAGTTTGTCAGAATCTAATTCAATAAGTACCTCGCACCAACGTATGGTTACGGAACTAAGGCATATCATAAATCAGCAACGACCACCACAAAACCCTTGGAGCACATATGCATCATAATAATATTGTAATAACGTTTATGCATCGCCATCAAGATGCAGAGCTAATCTGGTCTGTCATACAAGATTTCGGAATACCGTATTACCGGCACTTATGCGTCGTTAATACAGAATACAAATGTGCCCTAAAACATCTGTAGCTTTGCAAGCCTAAGTCACACGCTGCTGCGCTCTATATAAGCACACAACGTCGTTTCCATTAGTGTACTGAACCGGTGTGTGGTGTCACAGTTTTGATTACAGTACTTTTCATCTATTGTCTACTTCGTAAAATGGGCCGTTTCCAGTACATTGTAATGCTCATTTCCCTGCTCGTTTACACGGCACTGTGCGGTGAGTACAGCTAGTCCTAAAGCAACCAGTATATATAACAACCATAAGGTGTATTCTTATCACTAAACTTGTGAACTACAGACAGCAGAGTATCTGGAAAGGACGGCACATCATCTTCCAAGAATACCAGTCAGAGCGCGGATAGTGGTAAGTGGGCCTCCATCAACGCTTAATTGCAATGGGCTGTGGCATTCCTTATATGCAGCGTCCTTACCGTATCTGTATCGTAGATAACGAAGTTGTTGCTGCAAAGAAATCGGCATCTGCTGCAGTCGCCACCGCTGCCACCAGTATTCCAAACAGCGTGGCACCTACGTCGACGGCCAAAGGGCAGACATCGGCTGGCTATGGTGGGTACAGTTACTCAAAAAACATTCAGTGTAAACAGCAACCCATTGTCAGTACATTTGTGCTACGCTCGCTCCACAGAATCTGATGAAGACGAGTGGGAGGATAAATCTTCTGCCACCGATACCACTCAGAGCGCGGACATTGGTAAGTGGACTTGCTTAAAATAAAATCCAAACAGGATGGCGCATTACTTTAGTACAAGTCAACAAGCTCTTTAAACCTGCGCTAACCTATAGTAAGCTTAAGGAATCGTTTCTTTACTACCCCAACGTTTCGTCATTTTGACTGCTTACGAACTCTGCTAGCCAAAACTACTTCAAGAAGCTTGGCACCATCGCCGACACCAGAAAGTAGATTTCGGCAAAACTATCAACTCCAGAGCGTTGTGTAGCCGAAATACAAGCCCGGCCCGAGAATTTTAGACCGCCGTAAGCGCGACACAGTGAATACCGCACGGTAAGGCTACATTTTATCTACGTAGTCAACACTAGATGCACTGGCGTAGAGCATCCTGAATGACTCAAGCCTACGTCTCTGAAATATCCCGCGTCTTATAGGTCTAAAACGTCTAAAACGGTCTAAAACGTCTCTGAAACATCCCACGGTCTTACAGCGGTCTGAAATTATGGGCCGGGTTTGTAGTAAAGTATACGAGTTTGCGTCGATGCCATTCCGGAAAGTGTCATGTGACGACCATGGTGTGATCGTGATGTGACCACATGTTCACAATCTAAACATATACCTAGGTCTGTGACGGACTTCTAAGCAACCCGGAATACCCTCTAGATATTCACGTCTACTTCCATCTATCTGTACCTATATAATGGCGAAAGTAAACGCGTTCCACCGTTCCCGTCACCCACTGTTACGGCAATACATTTGGCTGAATCTGGCGCGGTACAGAAGCGTCATGTCCAGCTACAACGTCACACTCCAGCCGGGTGACGGCAGCAGTACTACTCTAGGGAGCGGTGGACCGTGTTTGGTTTTGCCCACCATAAAAGCTCTGCACTACTGTATCATCTATAGTCATCTACTGTATCACCATCTGTACGAGGACAATTGGGTGCTGTGAACATACCCTTGACGATTAGGGTGCAATGAACATCCGACTAGTCAGCGGCTCGCAACACTACTGGAATCACGGTCTGAATTTTAAATTAAATCTAAGTTTAAAACGCACAGCATCCAGTACGAGTACATATTAATTGTTTGTCGAAATAGACGGTGAAACACTTGCGGATAGCATTTTTATCAAAATAATTTATCAAAATAAGGTTATGTTCACAGCACCCAATTGTCCTCGTATGCATGCTAGCAATGTACCAAGGTGGATAGGGTGTAGGGTGTACCCATTCACCTTGATTGTACCATCCGCTTACAGTCATCATGTAACATCAATAAAGATACAGCACGGTCTGTCCTTTTTAACTTAGGAAAACCCTATGATACAAAGCAATCAGAAGACATAAAAGTTTTGCATTTGCAGGCTTAACCAACTTGACCCAGCCGACGATTACACTGCCCTACGCCAGCCTCCAAATGCAAGTCTTCAACACGACATCCGATAGGACGCCGCTTTTCTACGCACCGGCCGCAACTCTGATGCCGCCTGAGTTCGCCAGAGATCCCGGTTCGGTGTCAGTGAGCGTCGAGAGCAATACGAGGTGCCTCCGCATCATAATGAAACTCTGTACACCGTCGAGCTGTACATCCTCCAGCAACGTGCGGTACTACTGGGACTTGTACATGAATCTAGCAGTGGGAGCTTATTCCAGGGTCTTCCCGTTGAAGTTGCAATGGATGCTGCTGGGGCACTCAACCAATGACTCCACCCCAACGATAACAACTAGTCTTTGGCAGCCCATGACCACCATCCCACCGACGGCTTCCGTGCGCCTGTGCTATCCAACGGACGCAGCCTACAACAAACAGTTGACCGCGCTGCGCAACGACAGCGCGCAGTTTGCGTCGCGCCTGTTCGTGTCCCTGGCAGTAACCGCCCCACGTGTTCGCACGGCTCCGTTCTGCATCGATACCAAATATCTTCCAAACAACACGATTGTCAACGCAATGGCGGAACGCTTCGCAAGCGGGCACAACTACATTTACATGCAATCCAGCGAATACGCCAGTTTCACTAAAACGGTCGTTGCAGCATCTGTTGAAAAGATGTTGGGTGGAGACGAGTTCGTTGAGGATGTCGAGAGGGACAGCTTGGTCAGTGAAATGTCGGCTGTTTTCCCGTTTAATACCACCACCACCAAAAACTTTACGGCGGATATGTGGGCAGCCACGTACTGGCCGACGGAGCGCCCCGATATCAAGGCACGTCGATTGGACAGCATTCTCGGCACGAATCGTATCTGGGTGCGGCAGATGGTTCCCTACCGGTTTAACTTTCCAGCTCCACGTCCGTTAAGGGAAGCTTTTTATGCGGCGATTAACAATTACGAAATGTACGTCAGCGATGAGGATTTTAAAGTTCACCTGAACCCGAGACCCGTGTATCGTGTTAATCTGCAAGTCCTCCGTCAAGATGCGCCGGTATGCAGCGGAAATATTTCGTTGACAAGGAGGAATTCCGGTTATACTGGCACGGTACCGTTGAGTGTGGGCGGAAAAATTGTGTTTGATGATGGAACCACTCTGTAATTGGGACAAAGGGCTGTTGTGGAGTTTAGCAACTTCCGCTTCTATAATATTAAAGCGGATGAATGTTGTCAAAGCGGTTCACCATATGTGACCACCTGTTCTGACTAGCTTACCCTGAGGCCTGAGCGTAGCATGACTAGACAAATTATCGAAAGCTGCCCATATTCCTTAAATCCGATTTTAGTCTTGGTTCTTCTTCCGTTTTTACTGCGCTTTGTAATAAATTTAGCCCTGCGATCTGACGCACACTATACTGCTGTTTCCTGATTCAGGTGATCGTAATCATAGTTGCTTCGCTTTAAAAACATCGTTTTAATACGAAGAAGACTGTTTACAAATGAACGCTTTACAACTTTTTTGTTAAAGTCATCTTTACATCAGTCTGTGTAGCAACCATAAAATTAACAGCATACTCGTATAACGGTTCTACGCGTCTATACTTTCTCATAAAACGCTGATTCCGCTCGGCCAGAATACGCTGTCGCGCATTTTCCTGCATTTCTTGTAGGTGCTTACTTATTCTTGATTTTGTCACAGCATTTCGTTGATTTTGTCGCCCCCGTATTTTGTGAGTGTGCACGGACAACATGGAGAACACTCAAAACAACTGCGTCCATCAGTATTCTTGTTATACTTGTACTACTGACTGTGCACTTGGTTGCCGCTAGAATGGTTGCCACTACACTACGTTTATCGCAATGCCTAGATGCGGTTCACAGTTAGATTGCCCCTTTGTGCACAGGCCGTTTTCTAGCCACCTTCCGCCAGGCAATTTCGATTATTCTCATAAAATTATCTGGCGTACACCAAGCCACCAGCAAACCCAACGCAAGTTACGTGAGTAAACAGTGTGGCGTGGTGCGCCGTAGTGTGGATTTATGTGTAATCCGTAAATGTCTTATGTTCGCTGTGTTTATACGAATGCTCAGTTTTTCGACAGGCTTGTAAAAGAGTTGCGGCCGGGAAGCGGCGACAGGATCCACACAGGTGACATCCCATGCCAGACACATTCCTCTCTGCCATGCAGAAGTTGTGCATCCATCTGGACGACGTTCGCTAGTGTGGGAAGTGCCCCGGGGTTCAAGTTTTGCTGGGATTCCGGCTGAAACATGAGCGCGACATATAATGCTGTTGAGCCCACCATGCCGAGGATGTCTGCCAGCGGAGAAAGGGCAAGAAAGGCCGTGATGTCCGTAAGCGTCGACGGGCTTTAAGCATTTCGTGCAACTTTTCGGTTCACAAATCTTGGCGCCGAGTGTGACGCCAACTGAAATCTTTATTGTGTCATCGTCGAGAAGATTGCCGATGTGAGCGGAAAGTAACGCGTTGAGCCAAACACCGGCTTCCGGTTTCGACTGAGCGAGGAGGCGCGCCTTGTTGACTTTGTCGTTTCGGTACACATCCAACAAAGTAGCCAAAGACACATTACACAAAGGCAGGTCCCAAGCTTTCTGTGAATTGCGGAAGTCTGGTGCCGGCAGCTCCGCCAAACATGCATTTGTTTTCCAAGTTTCAAGTGCAGCGGAGACATCCACAGCAGTCATACCGGGAAGCAGTTGTGACACTATGCCGCTGACGGAGTGAATCGAAGCCAAAATGGATGGGAGTGCTAATTCCTTCGATCAACGTAAGCCAATACCACATCTGCTAACCTGGAGACTTGCTTGTCGCCAACTGGGATAATCATCGTGGTTTGTGCGGACATTACACAAAAGTTGGAAACAGGACCGCAGCACTTCATCGATTTTGTATAACTGCTGTGGGTATTTCCAAGCGTTGCTGCACCTCAGCATATAAATAATCTTCAGAGCTCCGAGACCCTGTCTTAGTAGAAACAACGCGTGATGACGAGGCAACAGTTGCATTTTCTTGCATACCGCGGTCAAAGACTGTGAAGTATTGTATAAGTAATACTTTAATAGTTAATTAATACTACATAATTAATGATGTGAACAGGAACTGCGCAGCAGGTAGAATGACAAGAATATAACAGGAAGACGTATGAAGTAAAACAGTAGTTGCTAGGAAAGCAACGTACACGACAAAGACTGAGTCTTTTCGGCAAACAGGGGGGCGATCGCGTCGTCCAGCACTGGATCTCCGAGCAGTGTTAGGTCAGCACTGGACACGACGCGGATTCCAGGATAACGTGAGAGAAAATAATCCACAGCTTCCTGATGTGCATTCTCAGACCCGCCTGCAACATGTAGTTCGCATTTTGCAATGTTTATCTCCAGGCCAGTGCCCCGTGCACGGTCAATAACACAACTGAATAACACACGCTACCGGGCAGCCCGTCAAGAGTACCGCCGTCGAGATACCAAGGGTTGAGCTCAGTATCGAGAGTGGAAATTACAGCTAGCAACGCGAGGCAAAACAGTAGTAGTCCCAAAAAGGATCTCCTTGCTGCACACCGGATTATGAGGCGGCGCGGCAATTCGCCAGCAGGTCATGGTAGCTTGCTATAGCTCTGCAGACTACTTTAGATGGACGAACGGGCCTTGGAAAGGACGAACGGGCCTTTGCTAGGTTTCAATGTGCGTGGCGGTGCTGAGGCCATAGTCCACAGTACCAGAAAATTTGTCGCGTCCGATCCGGAAAACCGCGTCCGATACCGTAAAAGCAGTTCTTAAAATCGACTTTAGGGATGCTTTTAACACCGTGTCCAGAGAAGCTGTGCTGAATATTGCCCACACATACTTCCCGGAATACAGCGCATTCCTTCAGTCAGTATACGGATATCATTCGTCCCTGTTCCTAGAAGAATACATTTTATCTTCTGAATCGGGAGTGCAGCAGGGAGATCCTTTGGGCCCTTAATTATTCTGCCTTGTCCTCCACATGTTAGTCTTTACTTTAACCACTGAGCTGAATGCCTGGTTTCTGGATGACGGGACTTTAGGCAGTTCCCCTGCTAGCGTGTTGGACAATTTTGAGCGGATTGTAGCACAAGCAAATTCCATTGGGCTAGAAATTAACATCGCTAAGTGTGAACTTTTCGTATGTGGAGGATCGGAAAGCCCTCAACAAGAAGTGATTGCAGACTTCACTGTTAGACACCCTCAACTTCGCATCTTATCGGACTCCACTTTCACACTGCTCGGAGCCCCTGTACTTGATGCCGCTATCGGTCCAGTACTCACTGAGAAAGCTGCAACACTAACCACAGTGTGCGAACGACTGCAACTCCTGCCACATCATCATGCATTGTACCTCCTGAAACACTGTCTTGGCGCGCCAAAAGTAATCTACATGCTGAGATGTTGCAACGCATGGAGGTATCCCCAGAAACTGTACGAGATTGATGAAAAGTTGCGGTTATGTTTCCAGTCTTTGTGTAACGTCAAAACCACCCACGACGATTACCCTTGTTGGCGTCAGGCTACTCTTCCCGTTTGTCGAGGCGGCATTGGCATACGTCGGTCGGAGGAATTAGCACTCCCAGCCTTTCTGGCTTCGATTCACTCCGTTTCCGATCTGATGTCCTTAATGCTACCTGGCCATGCGGCTGACGATCTTACAGATGCCCCGGACCTGTGGAAGAAGAACGCTTGTCTACCTGATCTGCCCGAAGCCAACTTCCGCAGGCAGCAGAAAGTATGGGATTTGCCACTGTGTAACGTATCCTTGTCTACGCTGCTGGAAGTTTACCGCAACGATGAAGTTAATAGAGCCCGCCTTCCCCAGTCAAAACCAGAAGCCGGCTTCTGGTTGAATGCATTGCCCTCGGCTCATATCGGCAATCTCTTGGACGACGACACTCTCAAAATCTCAGTGGGCCTGCGTTTGGGAGTCGCGATATGCGAACCACACGATTGTTTAAAATGCCATAAGCATGTCGATAAATTCGGCCACCACGGCCTGTCCTGTGCATTCTCTGCTGGTAGACACCCACGTCATGGCGCTCTGAACACCATCGTATGCCGATCTTTCGTTTCAGCTGGGATTCCAGCTAAGTTGGAGCCTCGCGGCACGTCTCATACTTCGGATCGACGCCCCGATGGCTGCACAACCTTTGCTTGGCAGAGAGGGATGTGTCTAGCATGGGATGTCACTTGTGTGGACACCGTCGCGCCTTTCCAAGTTAAAGCTACAGCGGCTAACGCAGGCGCAGCTGCGTTGGAAGCGGAGGAGAAGAAGACACGGCTGTATCATACAGATACTTGTCCGGCAGGTATATTTTTGCTCCGATAGCGTTTGAAACAATGGGCCCTTGGGGACCGGCTGCTATCGCCATTATCAAAGAACTGGGCAGACGACTGGAGCAGCATACAGGAGAAAAGCGTTCCCATGAATTTTTACGTCAAAGATTGTCGCTGGAGATTCAACGAGGAAACGCGGCCTCAGTTCTGGGCACAATGGAAGGAGCGGAAATGTTTAATGAAGTTTTTATGTTGTAAAAACTGTGATGTTTTTAATTATTGATTAAGATGTTGTACCACAGGTGAATAAAGCTGTTGCCTTGGAATGTCGATGGTAAATGTGGAACCTTGTCCGACTGCCTGAAAATGCCGGTTCGTTTTCTGTAAGGAACAGCTGGTATGTTCTATCCTCACTCTTCGAGATCACGGAGGCTTTCCAGCAGCATATCAACTGAAGGATCCAGGGCGTAGATGGACTTAACAGACTGCCGAGCTGCATTACTGCTTTCACTTCCAAATTGGTAATTTGTTTACTACTTACCACTTAAAATGTTTTTAAATTGTAAAAGTGTTGTTGCTATAAAGTGTTTTTGAATACGGCTGAATTGTATCGGATAGAACTATGAACGTCAAAAACATTTCTTCATTTGTATATTATTACACATTTTGTTTCACAATATATACACAATATATACGCAAAGTGTTTTTGAATACGTAGACAATGTTTCTTCATTTGTATTCAATTACACAATATCACGTAAACACACCGTCTACACTGGGCGGAGTACTTAAGCAAACATAAGCCTGCGCCCACACCGGAATGCCGCAGTGGGAAAAAATAAACAAATAGCAGAACCATCTCGAGAAACAGTGAACATATACCGTAATTATCGAATTTGAAGCCCCCCCGTAATTAGAGCCAACCCCTAAGGTCGTTTGAAAGTTATAAGCGCCCCTCCCCGAAATAGAAGCCCATGGGCTTGATTAAATACCGTAAAGCCCATATTAAAAAATGCCAAAAAGCTGGTTTGAACAATTGAAGCCCCCCCTAAATACAAGCCCATGCCCGTAATTGGAGCCCACCCCGTGGGTCATTTGAAATATTTGTAACCGTGGGCTTCTAATTCGATAAATACGGTAAGCAAACTCTGCAGCACGCTACATGCTGTGCGCTCCCTTCTCGGATGTCAATCGATATAACTCTAGCTTCTCTCATCCAGAGAGCGAACGGAGGCTCAGTACTCCCGCTGCCGCTTAAAGCGCAGTTAAAAATTTCCAGTTTGCCGCTAACAGAAGGTGTCACGTCTTTTACTTCACTCATGTACTTACTGATTCTGTATATGACAACATCCTATCATCGGGTAATATAAAGTCATAAGTACAACATATCGTTGCTATGCTACAGACACACTGACACCTTCCCCAAGTGGGGAACCCACTTCACAAACACAAACAAAAACTGAAAGAACTCATTGCTCATGTATTAACAGCTTAGGAGCTATTCCAGCGTTCGCCCTAGCTGTACGACGTGGTTCCACCGGTTCCGGTTTGGTCTTCTTGGGCTTCGTAGCCTGTGGCTTATTCACTGTGGCAGGCTTGGTTTCTACGGGCTGCGGTTGGGAAACCTTCACCGCATCGGGTTGAGCTTTCGGCTGATCAGGTTCCGTTTTTACAGTCTCTGCATCGTTTGCAGTAGACGCTGGCAAGGCTTCACTGGTCACTTCCGGAAGGTCATTGTCAATGGTAGGCGGTGGTGCTTCCGCGTTGGCTGATGGTGGAATTTCCGCTTCTACCATTTCGTGCATTTCCAGCCAACTTCGTGGCCGCATCTGATTGGCATGTCGGCGCCATATCAGATCGCCAACCTTCACGTCCCACACCTTCGTACCATAACGTCTGACTAACTTTCCGCTTATCCAATCAACTGTGCGGTTCAACCGGTAGTCGCGCACCAGCACCAGCTGACCACTGTGGAACTCCTTCGGTTTCGTCCGCTTATCGAAATTCTTCTGGTATCGCTCGCGGTTGCGCTCTGTCGTGGTTGCCATGACGGGAATCAAAAGGTCCAACGTCGATCGGAGCTTCCGTCCGATAAACAATTCGGCCGGCGACTGCCCGGTCGTTGCATCTGGCGCGCTTCGATAACGCCACAGGAACTGGCGTAACGCATCCGGCAGTGCATGACCGTCGGCCATCAACTTCGCAAGTCCGTCTTTAACGGTTTGCACATACCGCTCGGCCTGGCCGTTTGACTGCGGGTGACCTGGAGGCGTCCGGGTGTGCCGTATGCCATACTTGCTGCAGAACTCCGTAAACTGCTGCGAAGTGAAAGGTGTGCCGTTGTCCGACACAACTTCATTGCACACACCGTATCGGCTGAACATCGTGAGCAGCGCCTCCATCACTCCTTCCGTCGTTGCGTGCTTCATTTGCACCACTTCCGGCCATTTGGACATTGCGTCCACAACCACAAGCAACATCGTGCCCCGATATGGACCGGCAAAGTCCATGTGGACACGCTTCCAGGGAGCATCGGGCACCGGCCACTGCGCTAGCGGAACTTTCGCTGTCTCACCCGCGCGCTCGGTGCATATTCGGCAGTCCTTGGCGACCTGCTCGATCTCCCTGTCCATCGATGGCCACCAACAGTAGCCCCGCGCTTCACCTTTCATTTTCCCGGCGCCCATGTGGGCTGCGTGTAGATGCTTCAGTATCCTGGGACGATACTTCTCGGGAATAACCGTGCGCGATCCCCAGCACACGCAGCCATTCAGCACGCTCAGCTCGTGCTGTACCTTCTTATACGGCCGAAGCCGATCGCTTACGGAGTCCGGCCAGCCGCGACTGATGCGCTGGCGTACTTCCTGGAGCTCCGCATCGGCAGCCGTTTCCCTTGCGATGTCTTCCACTGACACGGGTATGTTTTCGGCACTTTCCACATGCAGCGCGCTCACTACGTTATCCATTCCCAGGTTTGGGTATTTCTCCAGCTGCGTGGAGTGGAGCGGCAGTCGGCTGAGACCATCTGCTTGACCAAACTCCTCGGTGCGGCGGTACTCTATGGAAAAGCTGTATCCCATGAGCAACAACGCCCACCGCTGAAGACGATTGGCCGTGACCACTGGGACACCTTTCCGCTTGCCGAAGACGCTCAATAACGGCTTGTGATCCGTTAACAGCGTAAACTCCCTGCCGGCCACGTACTGGTGGAATTTCTTACAGCCGTAGACGAGCGCGAGTGCCTCTTTTTCAATTTGCCCGTAATTCTTTTCCGCCGCTGACAGACTCTTAGACGCGTGCGCGATCGGCCTTTCTGTTCCGTCGGGAAAACGGTGACACAGAACCGCTCCCAAACCATACTGCGACGCATCCGCTGCCAGCACCAGCGGCATTGCGGGATTAAAGTGCACCAGGAACGTTGCGTGGACGATTTCTTCCTTGAGTGCCTGAAACTGCTTCGCACACTCAGTCGTCCATTCCCATGGTGCGCCGGACTTTAATAGGCGGTGAAACTGACTGCACTTTGCGGACAGGTTCGGTACGAACTTGGCGTAGTGATTTACCATGCCCAGGTAAGCACGTAACTCACTGACGTTGGTGGGCATTTTCATGTCCACCAGTGCCTTCACACGATCCTGGGATATGTGTCGCCCGTGTCGGTCCACCACAAAACCCAGATACTCGACCGATTCCTGCATGAATCTGCACTTCGACAGTTTCACGCGAAGTCCGTACTTCTCCAGCCGTTCTAACACCGCTTCCAAGTTTCGCTGGTGTTCCTCGTCGGTCTTGCCCGTGACGATAATGTCGTCAATGTACACTGCCACGCCCTCGCAGCCTTGCAGTATGCGCTCAATGATCTGTTGGAATATGCTTGGTCCGCTTGCGACTCAAACGGCAAACGGTTGTACCTGAACAGACCCTTATGCGTGTTGATGACAACAAGCTGCTTACTTTCGTCGTCCAGCTCTATTTGCGCATACGCTTCTGCCAGATCCAGGCTGCTGAACTTGTCGCCCCCGTTTAACTTGGCAAATAGTTCATCGGGAGTGGGCAGCGGATAGGTTTGCACGTCGAGCGAGTCATTCAATCCAGTGCTTAGGTCAGCGCACGTGCGGATGTCTCCGGCTCGCTTCTGCGTTCCAACAATGGTGCAGCCCAGTCCGCATGTTCCACAGGCGTGAGTATCCCTCTTTCCACCAAGCGGTCCAAATCTTTCTCCACTGCGTCCCGATAGGCGAACGGGACCGTTCGTGGCTTACAAAAGACCGGCTTCGCGCTTTCCTTTAGGTAGAGGTGAGCCTTAAACTCCTTGCAGTGCCCAAGTTCCTCGCGAAATACGCTGCTGTGGCGATCCAGGATGCTCTGGACAGTTGCGCGGGCGGTGACCTTTGACACCGAAAACACCTGCAGCTCTTTGAGACTTAAATGACTCAAATCTAGCGCTTTGATCCAGTCACGCCCCAGCACATCACCTCCACGGGCTACGACGACGACAGGCAGTGACTTCCTTGTCCGACCATATACCACCGGCATCGTTGCACTTCCGATCACCTGGATCGGATGGCCCGTGAAACTTCGTAGTGGTGTGGCATAAGGCGTCAGCTTCGGCGAGCCGATCTGTCTCCACGTGCTCGCCGTGATGATCGTCACACCCGATCCCGTATCCAACAGCATGGATACGCGGGCATCATTCAAGGTGATCGGTACCCGAATCGATCCACCCACTTCTTCACCGATAGCCAGGACGTCGAAGTCTTCCTGCACTGTCCACGTCCGACGGCCACCGCCGCCTCTGTCGCCCTTTGGCGGAGGCTTGCACGCCTTTGCGACGTGACCTTTCTTGCCGCAGTTTCTGCACGTCGCTTCCTTCGCCCAGCAATCGGCCTTCACATGCCCTTTCCCGCCACACGCGTAGCATGCGCCGCTGCTGCCAGCCATCTTGCCACTGTTGCCGTCACCACGCCCAGGTCGAGTACCACCGTTACGTCCCTTCGGATGTGGCCCCGAACGTCCCTTCTGGCCGCCGTCGATCCTCGCCACTTCAGTAGTAGTGGCTGTCCGCTTCAGCTGCGCCAGCTCATACTGCTCTGCGATATCCAGCGCTTTCGCCAGAATATCGATTTCCTTGGTTCGCAAATGGCGCTGCGTCGCTTCATTTTGGACTCCGTTTAGGAAGGCCGCACGCATGTTCCCCTCCAACGCGTCCGCCGGAAAAGAACACAACACAGCCTTCCTCCGCAGCTTATTGGCAAAATCCAAAAGGGTTTCACCAACTTCCTGCTTCAGGAGGAAAAAGTTCGCCCATTCTGTTGACTGCAGTGTCTTCTTTACGTATGCATGCTCGAGATGGGCAATGACTTCATCCAGCTTTAGCTCTGCGGGATCTTGTGGCAGACACATGGCAAACAACATTTCATGTGCTTCCACTCCTAGTGAGTCCAATAGCAGCCGCTTTTGATCGTCCTCCGCGGTGAGTTCCTGTATTTTGACATAATTGTTATAACGGGAACGCCATGCTTTCCACACCATGGAGCCAGGCTCGAACTTGAGCAGCGTCGGGGATTCCTTTGCTTTTGCCATAGTAGACGGTCCGGACGTGGTCAACACGTTCGTGGTATAATCAATACCAATATCGTCCAGAGACATTCGTTGAATACCACAATAATGGCCTTCACGCCAAGTTTTGTCACGTCTTTTACTTCACTCATGTACTTACTGATTCTGTATATGACAACATCCTATCATCGGGTAATATAAAGTCATAAGTACAACATATCGTTGCTATGCTACAGACACACTGACAGAAGGTCTAAATCAAGAAGGTCATCCGTGTCGGAGACAAAATTAAAAGGTTGTCGTAGATATTATCTTTCGAACTGCGATCATTAGCCATGGATTCCCCTAGCTGCTTTCAGGGAACAAACTTAATACCATGCAGAGTAGTTGGTCACAACAAGGTACTCGAAATCTGCATACGTTAGTGACTGACACGCTGCGGAAAACTAACTGGAAAGCTGACAAGGCCAAGCACCATTCGGGCAAAAATGTTATTAGTCCACTTAAAACGTGTTTCTTGCTCGATTTAAATGTTAAGCCCGCCACGTACCGTCTCGTCAGTTAACTGGAATAGCGACTAGGATTGTAGAGTTTTGATTGCTGAGTCGGTATTCTTACTGACAACCTAACTCGAGTTTCACACATATTTAAGCCAAAAAAAATAAACTGGGTCTTCATATACGATGATAGCACTTATTGTACTGTAATCTGTATTCCAGCGCCTAAGTGGCTCTGTGTACTTTTCACAATTACTGTATATTCGCAAAGTCGTTATTGTCAAGTTTCCCTAACGGAAGGATGTCAACCTCTGGCGCGATCATCGTTATCGCATTAAGCGGTGTGCTGTTACAAGTCGGCGCATGGCCAACGAAATGGTATGGTCAACCTTTGTATAAATATGATGAGCCCCTTGAATTTGCGTTTGCAGTAAGTGACTTGACAAAGCATCAACCGTTTTAATTACTCTATTAAACTATTTCGAGACAACTTATCAAAACCTCGTCTGTGCAGTGTACGGCCTCTTCCCCCGCAATAACCAAAAAGTATGAACGGATTACCAAAGTATTCACGGCAAACTGCAGTGATCCGAATATCACTGAAATCGCCAACGACTCCTCCCAATCTGGCGATCCAGCGAATCAGAATGTCACGCACCACGTTCGTTATACGGTAAGTTCACCTCTGAAGCGCAGTTATGGTACCAAGTCTTCAACGCGGCTATATACGCCATACTGGAAATCTTTAATTATCAGCCGATCCAAATCACTCGTTAGATTTAAAGCGCAGCTGATTTAAGTATTCTGAATCAACGCAGTGTCATCAAAACGTGACCGGAGTCGATTACCTGCTAAGCGGTCCGATGGGATGCGATTTTGCGGATGCAGAAAATGGTTACTGCAGCAGCTGCACGACCATGTACAACTCGATCATGTGCCAGTATCATCTCTTCTCTCTGAGTCGCCTCTCGAAAACCTGTGTCCCCATTTTCGATAAGCTCACCAAGTTGCAGCTTGTCAAACGGACAGACGATAATGAATCGCCGTGGTATACTTACACCGGTCCGATGAGTCTCTCTGATCACACGCGTAACTCAAAGGAAGGAGGTAACATCGTATTTTCAAAAACGGAACATGTACAGTTACCTAAAATCCAGTTATTATTATTTTTCATACTGCACAGTTTTATCCTTCATTGCACAACTATTAATTTTAATATTATTATGGAATTATTATTTATTATAATATTGTTATTATTTACTACTCGTCGAACATGCTGAATTGTTAAGATACGTGGAAGAGTGTTTTTTGTTCGTCACACCCGGCCGATTTTATCGTTGCTTTGTATTTTTTTTACAAATTTGATCGTTGAGCAAAACGTCTATGGGCGAAGTTTTCCTCAGAGAAGTAAACACTTTGGCAAACATTGTTTTGTTGTGTAATTTCAACAGTTCGTTTGCAGTATATGAAAGCTTATATAAAAAATGACAAAAGAGGAAAGAATTCCTTTGGCCCCACGAAACTCATTGACATACTTAGCACGGTACTTCTTTGTTGGCAGGTGGTCCCCCGTACTGTGACGGTGGAAAGCCGAGTATGGTTCTCAGTCCCTGTTGCGTCCAGCCGGTTATGGTGTTAGTCACTGGAGAGGGATGCCGGCAAAAGGTCATTTGTGGAACCCGTCCAGAAAAGATTGTGCCGTTTAAAATAAACTGGGATATCAGCATGGAATCCTGGAACGGGTCGCACTTTGAAGCCTGGAATAGAATGATGTGGTATTCACACCGTTTTCTAAATGTAGCGATGAACCAGTTGGATACCTGCATGAATGCAACGGACCGTGTTTCCGTTGATGATCAGTGCAGTCGCTGTAAGGCAGACCCGTTTGTGAAGAGACTGTTCGAAGTTGGATACACAGTGGTGACGGATATACCACTGCACAGACCAGATTCTGAATATCCCGTTATCCAAAAGTACATTGCCCTGACGGAGGCCGGCCGCAATAGAAATTAATAATACCAATGTCTCATACCGGGGTAATGAGTTAAATATTGTACGCAATAAACTGCATGGCCGACAATGAACATTCATCCAAAAACACGGATTACGTACATATTGTACTGTTTATGTTTATGAACTGTACTGTACTGTTTATGAACGTAAGTTATCAACTGCATCACAGACAATAAAGCTGTATTCAAACACTTAGATTTCATCTACAACTATTCGATATCAGAATTTTAAGCACATAGGGATTATCTGCCAGAAATGTAGTAACACTGAAATTCAGCGCTGTCGGAAGTCGAGCTGAAAGGTTTGGCGTCCATCCTGCCGTCGTCACCGTTGATGGTGTAATTTCGCAGTGATGTTGTTATGGCGTCACTTCTGCTGGATGGGTATGGGGCGGGAGATTTCGTTTCCCTCGACTACTCCGTAATTTATTTCCAGGGATAGTCCATACAAAGCAAAGGAAAAAAACCGCACTACGCCAGCCAAAATTATTTTATATAATTCAAATTTTTATCGGCAGTTATTTTAGTTGCATAAAATTTCAGAATACGTGTCAGTGTCCCGCTGCAAGAAACCAGCCCGAGTTCTGATGAAGAAGATCGAAATTCAAAAGAACATGCCATTAACATTAACCCCCTGAAAAGTGTTTTTATTACTCCGGCTAAGAATGGCATCCGCCACACTCCTTCTTCGACAAATAACAGAGATCGTCGGCTCCTGTTCATAAATGTAGTTGCGAATATTTTTGGCTGGCCATATGCAAAGTTGCTTGTCAAGATGGAACTTGCAGTGTGCATACGTTGCAACTGTCACGCTAAGCATTACCCCCTGAGAAACTGATGAAAACAAGCAAAAAATTTGGGCAAACGTTTTGTCATCCACTCGAAACATGTTCCTTATTCCGATCGAATGTTAGGTTTGTCACATACTGTCTAGTCGAATAACAAGAATACTGTACTCTATGGGATCGGTGTGGGCTGAATGCTGAGTCGGTAATCTGGCTGGCAAAGCCACTCTGGTCTACTGTCTACATACATGCATTTAAACCAAGCAAAACGGAACCGTATTTTCATGTTGTCGTAACATAATTTCGTGTTCTGTCATAATAAACTTGATCGGCTTCGACAGCGGTTTATGTGGCCGTAGTTGTATGTGTATCGGTATCAGTCATTATATTTAAATCCAGGAATGTCAACCGGTGTTGCGGTCTTCGTTATCGCTTTAAGTAGCGCGATGTCATGTAATTGTCAGTGGCTTACTGACTTTCGCGGTGTGCATTTGTATAGGAATGATCAATCTATCGAATACGCGTTTGAAGTAAGTGAATATTGGAAGAGCGACCTGTTTCTTCCGCTGTTAACTCATGTTTCTGAAACGCATCACCACATCTTCGCCTTTACAGTGTGACTCGTCTTCCGATACACCGGACGAGATGTTTGAAGAGGTCAAAAGGGTATGGACGGCAGCGTGCACTGAGGCGAATATAACTCGAATCTTAAACGGCTCCTTGCAATCTGCCGATCCTAAGATTGCCAAGTTCCACGTTAGTTATACGGCAAGTCCAACTGTATCTGTCGATTAGTTTTGTAACGATTTTCTTTAAACTATGGAATCAATTCAGTAGCCAAAATTGGCGCACTATAACTGGCATTGGTCACATTCGTCACGTAGACGCGTTTCGAGAAAATCCTGGGATACACGAAACTCGCCTGCACGACAAAGCCGTGAACGTTCCTCCGCATTTAACGTTTCAAAATAAATTTTTGATATTGAGATTAAACGGAATTAAATTATCTGGCTGTGAATGACCTAATGTCACGAAAAAATAAATACGGAAAACAGTTTCTGGAATTGCGATATAAAAATGACGGCGAAAGCTTTTCTTTGAGTGTGTTGTTCTAACGCTACTTAACACGAGCTGTATCATTTTCATAAGTTTTGTTACAAAATACGGACATGCGATTGCAAAATCCAAGTTGATTTCCGTGTTTTTTTTTTATTAATTTCAGTGCCGCCAAAACATAACGGCCCATTTATTCCCATTTTTTATTGAATGCATACCGGGAACATTTTGCAACGGCTGTACCACCATGTACAGCGAAGTTATGTGCCTGTACGATTTGTTCTCTCTGAGACGTATCTTTAAATCTTGTATCCCCATTTCGGATGGATCAACCAAGTTCCAGATAATCGATCCGGCAGATGATAAAGAACCGGATTGGTTTTTCGGTTTTGTAACCGTCCCTAATTACAGTCGTGATCCTAAGAAAGGTAACATCGTATATCACTCTGATTTATGAACTGATAATAATTTTTATGGTTAAGTTTCAAGTAGCCAAGCCCGTAAACGAAAATTCTCACACATAAATATCTGTTGAAGAACAGCACATATTTACGGAATATATGCGAATTTGGATTTAATTTTTCCTTTTTGTACATATTATTATTTTTTCGTTTAATGCGCAAACAAATAGTGCTGTGTGTTTTACGTGGAAAGCGCGAAAGCATACGCTAATAAGTAGTATATAAGTACCGTGCCTATTGATTTCCCGAGTGCACGACAGACAGAAGTTAAATTTGTCAAACGATCAATAGTAGCATCAGATTTTATTTCAAATTTTTCTTTTGCTCATGAACCGTTCCTGTGGAGCACGTTAATTAAATACAGTTGATCATCTTTATTGACAGACCCTCCGTACTGTGGCGACGGTGAAGCAAATATGGTCATCAGTCCCTGCTGCGAACAGCCGTTTATGATAGTGCTCCGTGAATCTGGTTGCCTCCAAAAGGTCATCTGTGCAACCCGTCCACAAGCAAACCTTTCGTTTAAGTCGAACTGGGATGTCAGCATCGGTTCCTGGACGGGATCACACAAGGACGCTTGGGACAGGCTGATGCCATATTCGAAACATATTTTTAACCTAGGGATAAACAAATTGAACGCCTGCATGAATGGAACACAAGGTGTCTCCGTCGATAACAAGGATCAGTGCGGCCGGTGTAAAGCACAGAAGGAAGTGCAAAGATTGAACGAGTTTGGGCACACCGTGGTGACGGAGATACCATTTCCATCCGATCGTAAGTGGACGCTGTGTCAAGAATTCCATATATGTTGACATGTTAACAGTCACTGTCAAACGCGGTAATTGATTTGCCGGGCTATAAGACTAACGACACATTGGAAGAAGGAAAATGTTAACCATAGAAATATATATTCGCTTGCTGTGTAAACATTCGTTCTGACGGCTTGTACGCTGTTTTATAAACTCTTAAACGAATTTCGGGTGCAATTTAGCAAGAAGACACAAATAAATTAAATGATGTACAACGGAATATCGGTGTTTTTCCTGTTTTTCGAAACGGTATGTGCGGCCTTTCGTTACAGTGTACCGGGTGTGAGGGGCTTTTGTGATGGTAAATTTTACTAATGTTCACATTCAAGCCACGACGACATAATTTCGAAGTTGCTCAACACGCTTGTCGGCCATTCGGCTTACATTTACAACTGACAAGTACAAAAATATTTTACTTTCTTGACTTACTGCTAGATGTCGCTATCACAATTAGGCACTTGAAATTTGTTCATATGAGCTAAGGTGCCAGTGTTGCACTTTATAAAAGCAGAGCGAAATCCTGAGAACAATGAGCAAAATTCGTGTGAACATGGTATCAACCACTTAAAACGCGCTATTACTGTGACTATGTCGGCTACCTACCAGCTTCGACAAACATCAGGATATCGAGCTAAGCAGGTGCGATCGGAAACAAGCTCAAGCACGCCGGCGTGACTCACAAATCAGGAAAACATCGGAAAGAACTTCAACATGCTGCATGTTGTCCTGTTCCTTTTTAGACGCCTATACAACTCTTTAGATGTTCCCATGCAAAGGGTGCTCGGGAAGCTCAGTCCGCCTGGAAACAACCAGTAATTGCCATGGATGGGTTGCTGCTTCGAAGCGCTGCCGCTAAGCGAAAGCTTGAAGCAAAAAGCTTTTCCATGTAGGCGACCTAGCGACAGAATCTTGTAGACAGAAGCTGACAAAAGTAAGCAGAATTCGGGCAAACATTTTACCAATCCACTTAAGAAACGTTCCTTACTCCACTTGAGTGTTAAGCTCGGGCACGTACTGTCGCGTCAAATAACAGGAATACTGGCTGGGATTATGAAGTTCTGACTGCTTAGTCGGCATTCTGACTGACAACCTGACTCGAGTTTCACTCCTATTTAAACCAAGATGAAAAACGATATCCTCATATTCGCTGTTATTATTTATAGTAATTTATGTGTATTTAAGTGACTCTGGTTACTTTTATAACTATCGTCGCAACGTCTTTATTGGTTTCGGTTCGTTAATCGAAGAATGTCAACCGGTGACGTGATCTTCGTCATCGCTTTAAGCGGTGTGGTGTTATGTGTCGGTGCGTGGCCACCTGACTGGTTTGGTCAACGTTTGTATACAAATGATCTGCCCCTTGAATTCGCGTTTGAAGTAAGTTATCAACGTTTTTAATTTAATCAATTTTTTGACAAATTACCAAAGCCTCGTCTGTACAGTGTACCTCTTCCACATCCCCCGCCGTAATGTATGAACGTGTAGCCAAAGCACGGACGGCACAGTGCAGTGAGGCAAAAATCACTCAAATCACCAACGGCTCCTCAGAATCTGGCAATCTACTGAATCCCACGAACCACGTTCATTACACGGTAAGTCAAACTCGGAACCGCGGTTCAGGTACAATGCCGTCAACGCAGAACCGTGCGCTTGTTGGTACACCATGTAGGAAATTTTTTTTATTTCTATTTTATTAGTTAACCCGACCCAATAGGTAATACAGTTGATCGAGATAAAGTGTCCTTTTTCGAATTATTTTAGTGTCGCCAAGTGGTGATGCCAGCCGACGACCCGCCGATCTCGTTTGATGTGATGGCTCGGAAGATACTTATTGTGGCGGCTGCACGACCGTGTACAGTGCAATTGTGTGCCAGTACCGTTTGTTCTCCCTGAGCCGGCTCTTTGATACTTGTGCTCCTATTATGGATGAATTAACCAAGCTGCAAACTATCAACAAAACAGATGATAATGAAGTTATTTATGATAACAGAAGTTATTTATTGCGTCCTTCTTTTCTCTCCTCTTTTTCCGTTGGTACGATTTTTCTTATAAAGATACCGGTCACTGACATCAACCCATGTGGCATGCTGAATGGGTAACTGCTGACCGCACAACTTACTATTTTGCGTGTAATGTGTTGTTCGCCGCTTCGTTATCACCAAAAACGAATAGAATACGTTAAATTCAAAAATGCTTAATGTTTAACATACATGGAAAGGCGCTGGTTTTGCGTCACTCCCGATCCGGTTTTCCTGTTATTAGACTTGTTTGTTGTAAAATATTTTCGCTGTTTATCTAGGACTCGAAATTTTGATGTAATTTTTTTCAGGATAATATCTGTAATAACTTCCCTAAACTTTCTTTTCTTGTGAAAGTCTAAAACTTCGTGAGCAGTAAGCAAAACCTTTTCTAAAAATGGTTCGGAATGGAGAGCAAAATTTGAGAAAAACCTGTTGGTCCCGCGGAACTCAGATATATTTGACATCGTACTTCGTTTTTGACACTATTGACAGGTGGCGCTCAGTATTGTGACGGCGGGAAACCCAGTATGGTCCTCAGTCCCTGCTGTCTCGACCCGCTTATGGTGGTGATAGGAGATACTGGGAAGTGCCTCCAAAAGGTCATCTGCGGAACCAGTCCAGAAAAGATTGTACCATTCCAGTTCAACTGGGACATCAGCTGGGATTCCTGGACCGGCTCGCACTTTGATGCCTGGAATAGACTGCTGCCAAATTCACAGCATCTCCTAAACACGGCGATGAACCAGCTGGATGCCTGCATGAATATAACGGGCCGTATCCCCTATGGTCAGTGCGATCGCTGTATGGCAGAGAAGTTTGTGAAGAGATTGTTCGACGCTGGACACACAGTGGTGGCGGAGTTACCAATGTTTAACCCGGAGAGAGGATTCTGAAAAATCCCCTTATCAGAATGATCATTCCCAATACAAAGAACAAGCGCATTTTAAGATAATAACGTTTGTGATTCGTAGCTACTTTTTTGAATGTGCGCGAGAAGCTGCATCGCCGACAAATAAAGTTTTTTTTCGAAAAATTCGATGACGCTTACAACTGGAAGAAAACAGACAGTTCTATATGTAGCTACACTGCAGCCGTAAGAATATATTCATTGCAGTGAAGTGATGCATCCGTCCGTCATCAATTGCAACGCTTCGCTAAAATGGTAAATAAAATGACATCACCAAGCTTGTACCAACTCATCACAAACACCTATTGGATCATTCATTATTGTTCAAGATAGTGTACGCTAAAACTAATACTAACTATCGACTGCAGAATTTCTCGGTGAGTAACATACTGTACAAGCAGCTAGAAAACACTACTACCCTCTCCATAAATTAACGGTGTTAGTTTTGCTTTATTTGCATCGAAGCCTTATACATGCTAGAAAGCTGGAAGAAGATAACCGAAAAACATTTTAGAATAATCTAAGTTTCCAGATAGAGGGTTTTATGGGCTTTTGGTGTCGCTATAGACAGAAAATCACTTCTGCTGCCAGGTTCCTGATTTTCCTACAGAACAACAAAGCATTCAAGATGTAATGCAGATGCATTCCGTCGCAAACAGACGTCGAAAGACTTGTTAATTGGCTAAATCTTATGCCTCCCACAGGGCAGTTCTAGCGTTCTCCAGGATGCAGCTATCACCACACTACACGAAGAAGTCAAACAGCTCCTGGAAATTCTGTGAACATATCAGGAAGCGGCGAAAATTCCCGACAGCACAATGTGGTGATCGACCATTCAGCACCATCTTGAAACTTGCCCAGAGGGATTTCTCACAGCGGAAAAAAATGCGCTTACTCTCTATGAGGATAAGGGCATAGTGGTGGTGCATCCGCACCACTGATACAGAACCACGTGTTCTACGGTTCTACGGCGCGTAAACCTCGGTTGTTAATAATTACCGATAATTGCTGCGTCGTCGCTTGGACATGTTGCCGGGATAAAGGGAAGCTTAATGCAAGCAGATCATTCGTGTCGCCTCACCACTAACAACTCTCGTAAGCAGAATTTAATGAGATTTGATCGTTCTTTACTTCCTTAGCCAAGTCACACCTCGCTGTTTTTCAGGAAACCAACTCCGGTCATCTATTCCATGCAAAATTGTTAGTCACAAGAAGGCACTCAAAATCTGCATACGTTAGCAATTTTCAGGCTGCGGAAAACTAAAGTAGTTGGAACTGGAAGGCTGGCAAAATGAAGCTAAATTCGGGCAAACGTGTTGCCGAACCACTTGATACGTGTTCCTTACACCCGTTGAGTGTTAAGCCAGCCACGTACTGTCTCGTCAAATAACAGAAATACTGGTTAGGATTGTAGTGTTCTGATTGCTGAGTCCGTATTCTTGTTAATAACTTGACTCGTGGTTTCAAAATGGTTTCATACCTATTTAAGCCAAGAAAAGCAAAACCGTGTCTTCATTCCCAGTGTTATTATTTAATTGTGATTGGGGTGGCAGCGTTTAAGTGACTCTGGTTACTTTTATTTAATTTCTTACAATCGCAACGTCGTTATCAGGCTTAGTTAAGCTTCGTAAATTGGAGGAATGCCAACCGGTGGAGCGATCATCGTTATCACTTTGAGCGTGGTACTGTTGCGCTTCTGTGAATGTGCATGGCTGACTGAATGGCACGGACAACCTTTGTATAGAAACGATCAACCCATTGAATACGCGTTCGAGGTAAGTGACGTTTACAGTTCTGTTGGTTAATGTCCGGCGTAAAGGCACAGCGAGAAGACATACCGTATTCATGGGTTACGCTAAACAGCATACCACACCCGACTACGCCGCTGTTTTCACGCACTACGTGCAATTGTTTTGCCTGGTACACGTCAGTTTGTGATTTCGAATAAATGCACTTTTCGTGAAATCAATGAATTTTTTTATGGAATTTATCTGCCTGTTAGTAAAATTTACCGTTGTTATAATTGCTTTCTAAAGGTCAGCATCGCACTTTACATGTACCGTACTAAAGAGCTGTATTTGTCCCTTTTCGCAAGAAATTATGGACTCGGATTGTACATTATCATCAACCTTCTTACAATTAGATTTAATAAGGTCTGAAACGATTTACCCGAGCCTCGTTTGCACAGTGTACGGATTCGTCCATCCCACCCGACGTACTGTATGAAAAAGTAACGAAAGTACCGACGGCACACTGCAGTGAGGCGATTTTCACTTCTGGCGATCCAATGAATGCCACGTACCGCGTTCATTATACGGTAAGTCCAACTCTAAACTGTGGTTTGGGTGTTGTGTCGTCAACGCAGAACAGTGCGTTGCTTCTTACGCCATGTTAAAATCTTAATTCATTGGTTGATCCAACCTATTTGTTAGATGCAAAGCACATACAAATTTTAGTGTTTTTTTCTTATTCAATTCAGTGTCGCCAAAACGTGACAGCAGCGCCAGACCCGATGGCGGTGGGATGCTACGGTTCGGAAGATACTTATTGCAGCGGCTGCACGTCGACGTACAGCGCAATTATGTGCCAGTACCGTCTCTTCTCGCTGAGCCGCTTCTGGTCTACTTGTGTCCCCATTTTGGACGAATTGACAAAGTTGCAGCCTATCAACAGGGCAGATGATAAAGAATCCTGGTGGTTGGCTAATGGTACCGTTTACACTGGTCCGATGAGACGCTACGATTACTATCGTGATCCAAAGAAGGAAGGTAACATCACAGTTTTACTCACGGATTATGTGTACCTTCATTACCTCGCTTTCCTTTCCAAAAATAGAGCGCTTTCCTTTCCTTTCCAATATTTTTCTCGCACGACTTACCGTTTCGCATTTGGTGTGTTTTTCAAGCTTTGCAATCACCAAAGACAGATAGAATCCGCTAAAATTTGCAATTGCTAAATTGTTTACGTGGAAATGCGTTTGCTTTTTCTTCGTCCCAGCTTCTGGTTTCTAATATTTTTTGTAAAATAATTTCGATGTTCAAATTTTGATGTTTTTGTTATATTGTTTTCTTCAGGAAGTAATCACATTTCTAAACTTCGTTTTACTGAAAAAGTACAACACTTCGTGCGCCGTATATGAAAACGGTATACATTATGTATTAATTGAGCGAAATTCGAGAAAATCTTTTGCTCCCACGGAATTAATAGATATAAACATTGCACGTCGTTGTTTACAGGTGGTGCTCAATACTGTGACGACGGGAAACCGGGTATGGTCATCAGTCCCTGCTGCGGCAACCCGCTTATGGTGGTAATCACAGATACTGGGAAATGCCTCCAGAAGGTCATCTGCGGAACCAGTCCAGAAAGGATTGTGCCATTCAAATTAAACTGGGATATCACTTGGGATTATTGGACGGGGTCGCATATTGATGCGTGGAACAGACTGATACCAAAGGAACAACATTTTCTAAACATAGCGATGAACCAGCTGGATAAATGCATGAATGCAACGGGACGTGTCTCCCTTGATCAGTGCGATGGCTGTATGGCACAGCCGTTTGTGAAGAGACTGTTCGACGTTGGACACACCGTGGTGACCGAGATACCGCTAAAATTAAACTAGCCTATCCTGGATATCCCATTATCTTAATGAAGGTTCCCCATGCGGAGAGCAGGCGAACTGTAACTTTTTTAATGTCATTGTGTTATAGTTAAGTTTATGAATGTGCGCGAAAACCTGCATGGCCGACAATAAAGTTTTATTTAAACACTCTGGTTACGCCCATAACTGCCAGAGATCAGAAAGTCATGTAAATGTACTGCAGTCGTAACTCTATATACGGTGCAGTGCTGCATCCGTTCGTTAACAAATAATCGCTAAACACCAGTATTACATTATGCAATCAAAATAAGCGGGAAAGGCAGTGCTGACATAGCTATTTCACGTACTGTTATACAGATATGTTAATTTACCAGCCTTTATTTAAAGATGACATAGCCATGTGTGTAACTTGCTACATTCACGGCGCTGCGTTATCAAGCCTGAGTTAACAACGTAACGCTAGCGCTTTAAAGTCCACGGCGTAACGTACCCACGTGGACAGTTAACAGCATAAAGGATTAACACAAGAGTGCATGGCGTTAATCAACCAGGCATGGCAGTTACAGTGCTTAGCGCTTATAGAGCGCAAGAGCTCAAGGCTACAAAAGAGTGCTTATTAGGAATGCAGGATATGGTCAGAACGATCATGCAGATGACCCTTGAGATACTGTAAATACTAATCTGGTACATCAAGAGGCTATTTACATGTTTACATGTTTGCATGCTGAGACGAGAGGTTCTTGTAACAGTACCACAATCTGAACATGCACGCAGCGGCATAATCATTTAAAAATGTCGTTGTGTCATAGCTAAATAGTGTACAAGCTGAATGTACGCGAAGCGTTAGAAGTGAATCGCCGATAAAGTTTCAATAAACAGTTCCGACTGCACTTAAATCTGCAAAAAATCGGAATGTAAAACAGATGAGCTGCAGTCTGCAGTCGTCGGCTCACATGTAAATATACCGTGCAAAAAATCATCCGTCCGTAATTACTAACAAAAGTTTTAAATAAAACATACATTATGTGCAAACAAAATAAACGCGTAAAGGAGCACGAACTGTGCGTCCGGAGGCACATTTCGAGAAGAGAAGACTACCGTGGACAAGAATCGTGCAAACACCCACACTATCCACCGACCATGCCCACTGATTACAGGAAACGGTCGCCATTACCTTAGATACACTCCAGTTACATTTGTACAACGCGCAGCATTCAAGGCAAACGGATTTCTGTCTAAGTTGTAAGAGGCGCTGGTAACATGCCCATTAGCCCAGTTGCGAACGGTCAGCCTGGGGTTGGTACAGTCGACAGACAGGTATATCTCCCCCACTTTCAGCTCCCGGCTGCCTGGGTACACTGCGTTAGCATTCTTCGCTCCCGTTAATTCCGGTTTACGCGTCAACCAGTCGCGCAGCCACTGATACTCACAGCTGCAGTGCACAAGGATGGCCTGATGAATAACCTCCTCTTTTCGCGGTTTACCGTGTATTCGTGGCAACCACCATTCTTCCAGTTGCAGAACCTGTAGGTTGTTTAATTCCGCAAAGGTGTCCCGCTCTAAGAACGCGATGCTCGTCGCATGGAAAACGATGCGACGAAGTAAACGGTTTCCCGCGAAATCATTCCTGAGCACTCTCTGTCGGCTACAGTTGTGCACCCCAAATTCAATTAAGTTGGTGAAGTTGTTACGCTTTAAGCGGGATGTCACGGAATCCGTCGTGCATGTGGAAATCCAGAGACTGACAATTTTATCTTTGATCAGCGCGAATCGACCACTCTGCCTGAGCACCGTATCGACCACGAATAGAGTGTAATTCGACACTTCTAAGCGATTCCGGAGGATGCCGGCGATGGTGCGCGCATCATCCGGCTTTGCTCCCGGCTGACAGTACACGGAGACCGCGTTCTTCGGCGTTTGGCGCGTGCAGTCCCGTAGCCCGGAATAACGGTCCAGCCACTTTCGGTATTGAGGGGAAACCATATTCGATGTATTGAGCGTGCTATGGTAGACTGAACAGCTACCCACGACGAGCGTGCAGATATCCGTATCTACGTAAACCAAACATTAGGGCTGCAGGGAATAAAAAGTGCGGTTCAGGACGGTATTCCCTTTCTGTTCCGCGTTAATACTATTAAATCTAGAAGCGCAACCCATTTACTCCGAATTCATGTAGAGCATAATATGCTGTTTGTATTTACGTTGGCACAAACCGTTTTACTGAGTGGCGAATAAATAACAGACTGAGACCCAATGTACATGTATTAGGGAACTAACTAGACTATGAAATGGCAGATCTACTCAGCTCGTCCGCTGGTCGTGCGACAACGGAAAGTGAATAACGCCCTTAATGCAGAAACAACGGAATTTTGTTAGTTTCACAAAGCCATTTTCCCTACCGCGATCTTCACACTGATAGTGACGCAATATTTTCTTCACATCCAGCGGACTCAGTCTGGTATTAGTGGTCAGACTGATGTGTGGATCCACGCTCTCCATGACTGGCAGTCCCGTATTAATGGCGGCTCCGTAATCAAACGCCGGATAGTGCATGATGGAGGAAAAATCGTAAGGATGGCCTAGTTGCGTTGTGTCCTTTTCAGGGGGCTTGTCATAATTATGGACGTGAGTGGCTGTATGGAAAAAAACCCTGTTTAACAAATCCGCTGCTGTGCTGCGTTATTATAGCTTACGTTTGATGTTAGCACTTCGTATTCGTATGTAATTATCCCGATCCGGGCGGGTGTGCTCGTGGAAAAAGCCCAGCGTGTGCAGTAGTTCATGGATGATATTTCCGAGCGTGCAGTCGGTGTGTAGAAAGACAGTCTGCGGTTGTTTTCTCTGCCGTCCCACGTTTGATCGGCACCTGCAGACATGTAACTGTTAATCATACATTTGTTAGTAAAACAGGCCAACCGGAGGTTTATAAAAAAAGTTCGGTTTGGTTATTATTTACAACTAGGAAAGCGCACCGCTTGCGGTGAGTACTACAAGACCAAAACGGAGCCATAATCCTTGTACAAACAGTATACCTAAACACTGCGGGAACTACTACAACAAAAAATCATCATTAAGAGTTACCTTAGGACATTATAATTATAAGGGAGGTAAAAGGCAAGTTCCTGTAACTGCATCCCAACAGTATAATCAGGTTTACCTTCCATGAAAATTTCGGCTGACCGGCCGACATGTTGCAGATTAACAAACCCTTCTGACCGACAATTTGCTTTTCGATAATTTGCGTCTGAAAGATTTGTGGACATTAGGCTTGCCTCAAGGTTTTTTAGGTTTTTGAGGTGCTTTTTCTTTGGTTGTCTGTGCTTTTATACATATGTACGTACTGGCTGTGGTTTTACTAATAATATTTTATTGTTCAAATTGTGGGAGACAGTCGTCAGCAAACTGTCGCTCAGCAACTTTTTATCACTGAGTTGTCGCTTCAACAAATTGTCGAATAGACACTGTGTCGGTCAGCAAATAGTCGTCAGCAAGTTGTGGATCAGAATGGTAGCGGTCAGCCATTGTCGGTGTGTCGGTCTTAGTAGCGTAACCGACAGGTTAGTGCGAGACAGACGGACAGACCAAATTTTCTTTACAGAATGACCTCCGTTTTGCTTCGGTCAATTAATAAAAAGAACTGGGGTAAAGATATCAAAAACAATTCCCACTAAACTGCGCAGAGAAGGCAACTAAGAAAATCAAGTATTTACCCTAGGCTGCCGTCCGAGTCAATCACCACGAATACGTTTTCGTTGCTTCTGTTGCGAAAACGAATGCAGTTGTTCGTTTCCAGGGTAATGTTGGCCATGGCATCGTGAACTCGCGTAACCAAGTCCTCACCTGCTTCAGATATGTGTTCACTTGTGACCATCAAAAATTTCTATCTAAGTCACTGCGGCTTACTAAGGTGTCGACCAAGAGTGAATACAACTATGCCATTCTCCCAGCGACTGTCGTCCGCGCTCCTTGCATTTTCAAGCATCTAGCGCAACAATTATTAAGTTCGTGGCTTTGTACGGTAGAAAGGCATTAAGACAACTGATGTGGTAAAATCCCAAAGATTTCGCTTTATACAAGTAAAAGTTGTACGATTGACTCTTTGTAGGCTTTTCAAAGCTGGCGCTAGCATTTAAGATCAGAAAATCCGTAGATGTATCTTTCGGCGCGACCAGATTATGAGCTCAACATGCGATAGAAAGACCAGAGAGAATTTAATATTCTAAGAAACTACAGCTTTTGTCAATATAGCCAATAAAATAGTGTGCTTTACGAGATTTAGACCCTTTTAAACTCAGCGCAAAAGCACCCAGTACAAGCAAAACACCCTTGGAATTAATATGATATGGTTGCAAATCATTTGCCGATTTAACGAAATCCAATTACACCAGCCAACCTACCGACACTTTTTGAAAATCCTTTTCCGGAACGCTGTCAACAATAATGTCACCTTCGACCAAACGGTACCCGCCTCCCTCCGTATTTTCTCGTTCCATTGGAAATCCTAGGGCAAACCATCCGCGCTTCTCTTTCAATAAATTCTTATTATTTTAGCTTAAAAATTTGGGGCTCCGCACCTTTGCTTGCAACGACAATGCAGTGCAGCATAGCGGAAACTATACCGCAGGCGGCCATTAAAAAAGCCGAGGACATCTCGGTGGCCTTATGGACGAACGGGCGTTGCAAACTTCTTCGGCTACTTTCTAGCAGTAACGTGGACAACTATCTCCTGCATGCGCACGTGGCGAGTTCTGGGCATACTACCAGCGGTGCGATTTCACCACGGAACCGTGATCTTTCCTCGCAACCGGAAGTTTTCCACATAACTGGTTTTCAACCGGAAGTTTTCAACTGGCCCGTGTTTTCTTGATAATGCGCCATCTGATTTGCGACTTTTGCAACTGGTAAACGCGTCAACACAGGCGTCTTTAAAGATCTGATCATTCGTAGAACATTCCGATCGCCAGGGTGATAAAGTGTAAATTAAATTTCTTCGTCGTTTCGATCAACGTGTTCCCATCTTAATGCTTTAGGCTGCATTAGTCATTTGCACTGCGAAACGCATTCAAGCAAAAGCACAATAAATAAAAACAGCCGCTAGACGCATACTACAATCCACTACGTACCGGTACATGCGTCAATTACGAATACTCGTTATTTATGTACACTGTGTACATATGTGTACAGTACACATATACTGTACATGAGCAGCGTATATAAATAAGCAGAACAGAGGGTCGAGAAGGCCACCAATCCGCTGCAGGCGACGGATTTCTTTCCTAATTTCTAGTTTACCGTATTATAAACTTTTTGAACCGCTGAACGACTGTTCGATTTCATCTCATTTACTCGTACAAACGGCGCAAATGTGAGGCTGTCAAAGCATTGCGAATGGTCACAGCTACGGATTCAAAATGCGCATACTTTGCCAGTGCCATGTCACGCTCCTTGGAACCAGAGCAAAACGAGCAAACTTCCGGCAGACGTATCGACCAACAGTGGAAACTAGAAAGCAGCTTTTACTGCAGTTAAACAACATGCGCTCGTTTACCGTCTTTGCCGAATAACCCAAATACAGGCTAAAAATTGTTCTGACGGTCAATTCCGAGAGCCTGACCAACCTGCTGACCAGAGCCTGACCAATTGGTCACACACTTCTCGCCTGAATTCTGATTCCGAAGCTCTGAAATTGAATTTCACGAATTCCGAATTTATGTAAAACCTAAGTATTTATGTATATTCTCCAGAAGCGCGCTTTGGTAACTGCATTATAAGAAACGCATATGCTGTACGAAGCAATATTGCACAACACCAGCCACTCATTGGCACAGTGTTTACGCTAAGGGTATGAAACCATATTCCGCCGTTTCTAACTCAGCCGTGCAGTCGAACCATCGAATGCAACCGAAACTTGGATGTGCTCAACGTGAGATATACCGTCAGCCCGCGCGCGAGATGGGCGGCTGACAACGCGTCTCAGCGCTTCCAGTATGGTGTCGTATATAGAGCAAAAGCTTTCGCAATACCATGCGATTACCGAAATACTACATTCGTATATAACCATGTGAAGAAAGAATTCGGAACTTAACTGGCAAATCTGCAATTCAAGGCCAGAAAACGTCGATTCCTCGTTAAAGCGTACTTACGCTAACGCTCGCTGGGCGCTTCGAACCAAGTTCTTGTGATTTAAGTGCACTGGATGTGCTCCTGCTAATATTTTTTCTTTATATTATAGTTGGGGTTTCACCAACGATCCGAGTAGTATTCAACACAAAACATTGGCATTCGCACCATACTGATGGTGTGATAAAAAGCAGCCGGATAATAATTACTCGAGTAGCAATGCGAGAATTCAGTACGGCTTTGCACAACTTAGTAATCTGAAGTGGACATAATGCAACTGAAATCATGTCGGGCGTCAACGTGTGCATTTTTCGAGTACAACGTCAGGCAAAAGGAGCCAACAACCACTTGAAACACGTCCCTTGCTATGCGCCTATGCTATATATGCGCCTATGCTAAATAGCGCTATGCACCTATGTTAGCGCTATGCGCACTATACTAAATAACAGGTATTTTGTCTGTTACTGCATTGAGACATTTTACCTTTGCAACATTTTGCCGCAAGGCATCTGGCAGGGAACATTAGGCTTGTTTTATGCATTTTCTTATGTTTTTCCTATGTTTTCATATGTGTTCCTGTTTCCTTGTGTTGTCGTATGTTTTTCCTGTTTCAGCGAAATGTGTCTTGCCCACCAAATGTCCCGCGACGAACTGTCGCGCGTTGAGATGACCTTGCGGTAAATTGTCTGCGACCAAATGTTTCGCGGCTGGTTGTCCTCGATGAAATGTGTCGATGCTGACTTTACCTGCCCGCTGGGCGTGCCTAGAACATTTTGCGAATCTTTCAAAGGGTATTTAATGTCGCGTAGCGTTATATATATATACCGGTCTTGCCTATATTGTACGTAATTAATGCAATTCATTTGAATTCTGAAAACTGAATTATGAATTTTGAATTATTTTGATAACATATTGACTGTTTATTTTCTACGACTACTTTTTCTGGTTATTTTCTTTCCGCCGACGCTTCGTTTGGTTCAGAAGCAATTACTTTTCATAATCGCACTGTGTTGCGTGGTTGTGCAATACACACATCAAAACGCAAAATTTGACTTCATTAGGCTTTGGTTCGTCAATAAGATTTCAGCGGTTACACAGTCTATCCCGTAGATTTAGCCCCAATAGTCGCTGAAGAGAGTGGTCACGAGACCGTGTTTCGCTGTAGCGGAGCGGTCAAAAATCACATTGTGCTTAGATAAAGCCGTAGCGAATAATTATGAACTGGGATGATAATATCATCGTCGAACAATGTTAAATACCAGCCCGTATCAAAAACGAGTTAACGATGTAACCTTGAAATTCGATGAACACTGGCTGATGCCATTCATGGTTTTTCGGCACATCTCGCTACTGTAAGTACCGTTCGTTAACATCGCTGCGGTGTAGGTTAGCTTAGACTGTGTGCTTTACGCCACCCCTTGAGGCGTTCGAAATTTTTGTTACCCTGGGGCTCTAATTCGATGTTTACGGTATGTATCCCCGTGTTGATGCTGCTATTAGTTACCCGAATTCTTATTAACCCGAATCATACCGAATTTTATTCGAAATTTATTAACCGGTTTTCAAAAATACTGTGTTACTTATATACTGGGAAACTGCCCATTTTAGAACACCGTCGTTAATTGTGAAACAGATTTTGTAGAAACATTTGGAAACCGTTACCGACACAAGAACCACATTCCAATCTTACGGAATGGATTTGAAAAAAAACCATTAGGAAACGAAACGTAGAAAAGAGCCAATATCCTAAGAAGCACCGGGATGTGGCGTCAATCCGCCGTTCACCACTGGACGTCAGCCGGTTCGACACGGGTACACCAACACCGGAAACGGTATCCAGTGAGCGGTCAGCAACGAGGTCAGTCTAACGTGATAACCTCCACCCCGGCGCTACGGCTGGACGGCTCAGCCGATGCGACGGCCTCCCGCACGACAACCTGTCCCCTGTCCAGCGTGGCCTCGATGCTGTGGCTGTTGGGGAACGCGTGCAGCAGTCGCTGCAGGAACCTGCAACACCAGAGCTGTCGTGTACGTTGCTTTCCTAGCAACTACTGTTTTACTTCTTACTTCTTTCTGCTGTACTTTCTGTCATTCTACCTGCTGCGCAGTAGCTGTACACATCATTAATTATGTAGTATTAATTAACTATTAAAGTATTACTTATACAATACTTCACAAGAGCATCAGCCGATGTACCGACCAGCAGAAAACGAGAGCCGTTTACTCGTCGACGACAATCTCGTCAAAAGGAACCGGCTTGTTGCAGGCGGGGCAGGTCCAGCACGCCTTCTGCGCCGTGTTCATCAGCAAGAAACTCTCGGCGTCGAAGCAGCCCACATGGTCGGAGTGACGGCCGCGCACCGGGAGCTGGAGGCGGCGTCGCGAGGCCGGACACTGTAGACTGATCCGCTGCGAGTCCGTCACGATGTCGTCGTCCGAAGCGGCCAGCGTCCGGTACACTACCAGCCCAGAAACAGCGTCAACTGTTGAAAGCGAAAAGAGCAAGGACCACTTACATTTATAGAGCGTGTCCGTTAGACAGACGCGCTGCGACTGGACATCAGCCAGGATCTGCTCCATCGCCTTGCGGCGCGCATACTCCACTACGAACCAGTAGTCCTGCCATTCAACTGAAAAGTTATCGTGAGATCAACACCTCTGACAAGATCGCTGACCTGTGACGGTTCGTCGATATCCGTGTTCGGCCCAGTGGTATCCGTCCAGCGCACCATCACCACGTTTTCGTCGGCCATCATCGACAGCGGCACCTCGATTGGGTGGCTATATACCGTGTTCTTCCTCTTGATAAAGTCCAGTAAATCCTGGAATATTAACAACACATACCCGGGCATTCTTCGATCAGTACGAGTACTCAATCACGGTCATCTTCATAGAGAGCATCACAATCTACGCAATTTATTGCTATTCGATTAAAAAAAATTTGTAAAAACATTTAAAATAATTACAACATGAACCGTCAAATGAAAATACAGCAAAATTATTCATTAGAAAAAATTTAGCTAATTAATTACTTGCGGACGAACTGGGATAAAACGCACGATACTGCACGAAAGGACTCACTGGAATGAATTATAATTGAATTATTATTGAACAACTCCTTAAAAATAAATTTTTTTGTTCTCTACCAGTCTATTTTTTTATCATGTTGCATTCTACTGCAATTCGGTTTTATTCAATTTGTACCCTTTCGAAAACTTACAACCGCATGGAAATTGTTAACCCTATTTCATTCTATCAATTATTATGTTTTATTATTTTTTACTAGTTTCTTTTATCAGATATTCTTTATTTACCGGCAAATGCGCCCAAGAAACTCACCGGTTCGACCAAGGTCCTGCCGTTGAGCATCACCGTGAGCTTGTCCGGGTGGATCTCGTAATAGGGCCAGTGCAGACCCTTTTGGCAGAAGCGCAGCAGCACCACGTTCTGCCCGCTGTTGATGGTCTGGAAGTGGTCAATGACGAAGGCAGTGGTGATCTCGTGATACGCTCCGCGCGACACCAGCGAGGGATCGTGACCTACACAGAATTACTCTCGCATCACCTCCTAGCCACCGCAAGTAACTCGCCACTTACGAATGTTCCGCGGCGGCGTCCCCGCCAAGGTCTGATGGAAGACAGGCGGTTTAATGATCCTCCCGTGATTGCCGCTGTTGGACAAGAAATGCGGCCCAACCTGGAAACCAGGTGTCAGCAAGAAACGCAACTCCGGCTCCCCATCGGGCCCGGTGGTCCACTTCTCATAGCGACGTTGGCTGCGCTCGCTGACCGTAAAGACGCCGGCAACGGTAGTACTGGCCACGTTGCGGTGGGCGCTCAGTCCCGCTTGACTGACAACCAGCTGTGGCGACTGTACCGGCGGCGGCGGTAGATGCGCGATTGGGGCCGGGAGGACAGTCCGCTCGAGGTGAACCGCGGGCGGACTTCGTGTCCAGGGCGGTTGGTGGCCGACAGGAAAACGCCGTGGCCCCTGGTAGCCGGAAGGAAAGCGCGGTCGCGGCTGGCAGTTCGTGTTGCCGGTGGCAGTGCTTCGCGGTGACTGTGGACCGGGAATGGACGTATACTGAGAAAAAATGTCCATGGTGGAAGTCACGGCGTGGGAGCGCTGCTGACTGCTGGACGGATATCGGCGCTGTGTGTCCGCATCCATGTCCACGGCGGCTGGGGCGTCGTTGACCCGCCTATCGGGCACTCCGGGTAAATGCGGCGTAGGGGCAGTGTTGCCGGATGACGGGCTTCGCGAACTGGAACCTCGGGCGGGAGGCTGCCCGGGAAGATATCGAAAGACCGGGTCCGCATAGGCATACTGCCGCAAAGGCCCGCTGGGACTATTGGCAGTCTCGGCCGGCAGCCTGAAGCGGTCCGGGAGATCGACGGGAGGCTGCGTGTAGGAGCGCTGATTGCCGCCCAGGGGAGGACCGAAGCCGTACGAATGGGACAGCTGCGCGTTGCTGCTGTTCTGTGGAGCGGCAGTTTGCCGTGACACGCTGCCGGGTATATTCCGGTTCTGGTGGGCAGGCGAAGTAGGTGAAGGCGCCGTGGGATTCGCGCGGGGGAGGTAAGGACGCAAACTGCTGCGAGCCGGCAGCGGAACTCCCGGTGGGCCGGTTCAGGGGTGAGGTGATACCGCGGGGGGAGATGAAGGTGTTGCTTCCGGAAGCGCTGCAAATGGTCGGCGGGGCCGATACAGCTAACGCGGGGCGGACAAGCGGCATGGCGGGCGATGCAGCGCCGGAGGATGCCCGGGTCTGATTTGTCCCAACCGAAGTTGTCGAAGTGAGCGGGATGGGCGGTCGCGAGGAAGGGTAACGGGACGAGGCAGGGGCGTCTGAGCTGGGGTTGGCGGGAAAGGATGACGGACGGATCGGGTTGACCGTCCCCGTCGATGCAGGTCGACGGGGAGGATTGTGCTGCTCCCTGGGATACTGCTGACACCTGCAAATAAAAGTGTTGAATGAAAATTATCCTGTGACTTATAATAAGCGTTGAAATTCTGTAATTTCCATGCGTGCTAAGCTTCAGTGTCTACTGCGCTACTGGATGTTCTACACTGCGGGATAATTTATTTTCGATTCTTCCCCTCCTCTCACCCCCCGACACTGGCCAGCTGGTGGGCACTGCCAGGCGAAAAAGCGCGACCGATGTGCGCGTGGAGGCCTGCTGAGGCTGCTCCGGATCCCCGCTTATCAGAGAAGCTGTCGCGATAAGCAACGAGGGAAGTGGGCATTTTTACCGCCTATAGGCAACACCACAGGCTGTGGTACGACGGGACAACTACTGCTTGCTGCACGGTATAGCGACGGCGCAGGGGAACGGGCAGCAACGGCGGACCGCGTTTGCATGGTCGCTAAGCATGGCGAGTTTGGCTCCTCTCTATTGGTACATGCTGAACGGGCAAATCAGATATCGCCCCTTGGCCCCTACTATCAACCTCTTTCGCTCGCCCTGCTTGCAAGGCGCACGGGGTAGCAGGAGCTGGCAAGAAACTCGTTAAACTTACCGCTACGATTGACAAGCGCGCTGAGACACCGCACTAGAAAACTAGTGCTAAGGCCGTGTCCCATCAAGTCTCGCACCTGATTCACCACCATCACTCAATCCAGTATCTATCTCGTGGCCGCACAGATTTACACCCAGAGCTCCGTGTAGATAAAACCACATCAATCTCAATCTCCCCGTCACATTCATAAATCACGAGTACGTAGTCAACGTTCTCTCAGACTCAGAGCTCATTTCTCTGCTAATTGAAACGGCTGCCCTAGCGTAATTACCAGTCTATCTTGCGTCAACCACAACAAAGCGTTAGCACGTTACTTACATCAGCACAATCAGGATGATATGTGGGATCTTAAAAAGCTGAAATCAACAAACGAAAATATTACGAAAGAAGTTGCGGTATACAGACACAGTACTCTTTGATCAGTCTGAGTTGGCTGCAAAATCGCCAGTGCAGTCCGTCGATTGCTTCAATGTTGTACGCCTGCAGCGGGCGGCTGACATGCGGCAGTAAAAACCGTTGTATTCTAGATTGATCGTTTTTCTCTTCAAGACTCGACTTGCTAGACTGCATCTAGTCAATTTTCAAATACAATCATAAAAAAATTATTAATTTTTGTGCAAAACAAGATTATATTTTATGGATATCAGATAGGTAGCCATTTTCGTGACTAAACATAATACGTCTTCGCGCAACAGTGACCTTACGGCCAATGCTATGTGTTAGACAAAGACAAGAGTACCCCAGATGGCTGCCGGAATTGAAATTTTTTTCAATTCAAAAAAACAATATCCCGCTTAACAAGCTGAAAAAAAATGGCCCGTTACATGGTGTCAAAAATGGGATAGATAAACTGAAACTTTCACTGTCGCGCACTCTGGATGACTATTTGCTTTATGTCATTCTAAAGCTTTGCTGTAATGCTTTATGTCATTCTAAAGCTGGATGATTTTTATCCATTGTCCTGAAAACAACTGTTGCGCGAAATATCCGGTTGCCGAGAATATTGGCGAACCGAAATTGGCGAAAAGTTTAAATGCATTGCTGTGTACTAAAAGTCTGTTTATTACGCGATCCTTTTGAAACAATGCTGTTAAACACAAATTGCCATAACGTCGAAAGTGAGTCGGTTTCAAATTCACAGAACTGTTCACCAATTTTAAAATAGATTTCAAAAATTAAAAAATTTTGGGAATGTTCTTTGTTTAATGAACCTGAAATTGGTCCACTTTTGACTTTGTGACCATGTGTCTTCTGCATCGAGGTTTCAAGAGGATCGGGCTATAACAGACTTCTGGTACACAAAAATGCGCTTAAACCTTTCGCCCATTTTAGTTAGCCATATCTCGACAACTGGTTGTTGCGCTCCCAAACGGTTTTCGGACATTTTATACGAATCCGTTAGCTTTAGAAAGACATAACATGTTACTAAGAAGTCATTCAAAATGCGCGAAAACGAAGGTTTTAGCATTTGTACCCCATTTTTAACACCATGTACCAGGCCATTTTGCTTTAAAATGGTTACACTATGTCTTGTCTCAATCAAGTAAATGAACCTTCACATACGGTGCTATAACTCATTCAGTATACAGGTACTTCGATACACACCTGCAACCATGTTGGGCTTTTCTGGTGCCGTCTGTTTTTACTCTGTTTTACAACTGAATTCAGTGTCGTCGGGACGTGACAATTGGCCATTACCCTGCCACAATTGACGCACTCTGTCCCGCCAAGCCATTGCGCAGCCTGTATGGTCATCCACAGCGTGGCATTGTGCCCGTGCGATTTGTTCTCTCTCAACAATTACTGCCATAACAATGCAGTTCGCCGCAGACATTATAATTCTAGAAAACCAAAAACAGTTCATCAAGGTTGCGACTACCCTCGACTGCAATAACTGCACTCTCCTTTATGATAAAATAATTTTCCTCCAACATTTTTTACCGGCGAATCTGTGGTATATCTAATGCATTTTATTAATGTACTGTCCTAGGCGGCCTGTGTCATGGCTCCGCTATGGAACCGTGGGGGATCTGTGTCCAGATATATCTGATGCTCAAATCGGTTTCTGAAGAGCGACTGAAAAACTTTGCTCGTTAATTGCTGGCCTAATGGACTGGGAGCGCGGCAAAACGCGAATCGTGTCGCAAGATTAAATTAGTACTGTACGTACTGTAGTTGTTTCCTTTCTGATTTCCATCTCCCAAATGTTTGCATTAAACTTCACGATCCCTGTAAGCCGTGTGAAAATTTGTTACAAGTCTTCATAAACGTACGTAGAAAAACCCGTACTGAGCCAACAGCTCTCAAAGCTAACCATAAGAGATGAAAAAGTCGAAATTTTGATCACATGTACTGTAGATAAACCATCATGCAGCTCGAACCTTCAAGCCGCAGTTCCATTGGCCGGAATGTACCTTTTGCTTCTACAATTAAAATTTTACAGTGTTAACCTGAAAGGAAAGGAATACTCACTGAAAGGAAAATAAGGGGTGCAATAAACAGAGGCCCGAACATATCTATTATGCAAGAATTCAGTACGGCAAAATATTTTGAAGTGGACGTAACGCTGCAGTCATGTGGGGCAGCGAAGTGTGCACATTTCAAGTGTCACGTTAGGCGAAACCGACCATCATACCGAAAAAACTTAGCCAAATTTACTAACAACCACTTGAAACACGTTCCTTGATCCAGGTTAGCGCTATGTGCCTACGCTAAATAACAAGAACAGTGGCTGTGATTGCCGTGTGGCGGTTTGCTCAATCAGTTTTCCAGTTGCTCTAATTAACTCGGGAGTAATAGCTATTTAAACCGCGAAAAACGCCGCTACATTTTTCATATCCGTGGTATATTAATCCGTTTTTACTGCGGCTGCAGTCTTGCTTCTTACGTTTTTTAATCATTAATGGTTGAGCGTCCTCTGGAGAATGTCAGCCTTTCCAACCGGTATTACAGCTATCTCCTGTATTGCTCTCAGCGGATGGGTGTTATCAAACGTGGCAGCAGACGGTCCTTTTTGTAGTGGTGAATCTGGCGATGAGTCGCCGATTGAATACGCGTTTGAAGTGAGTAGCTAACCGGCAAATATCTGTAATATAAATCTTTGTAAACCACGGGACTTTAACCACATCCTGTACAGTGTGCTAACTCCTCCACCCCACCGGAGGTGATAATCAAAACGATTACCGATGATAAATATTTGCGGTGCAATTGGCCGACGATTACTCCGGTCAGCAGCGGATCCTCTGTAAAGCACCACATCCATTACGCGGTGAGTGAAGCTGCGCTTATGTCATTTTTCTGGCATGTCATGTCATGTCATTCATGCATTATCTGCAAGGCAGTGTGGCGATAGGTTTTGTCCATATTAATGCTTCAGCCAACCCGCAGTGATCGGAATCAATGCATGGAACCGATTTATGCCAAGTTATATTTGTATCAGTAATTAACTTGTCCAAACTTAATGAAATAAACTGTACAAAAACTGATATTTAGGATTGTGTGAAAGCGGAAGGTTTTGTCAATTCCGTGTACGTTTATACATTTGGTATCGCTTTCAAGTCCCTTTAAATTCCCTTTTAATTGCTTTCCTTTAAATATCGCTTCACTTTAAATTACGGATCTTAATGGTAAATCATGTAATCGTTATTAGTTTGTGATGTATTGCAGAATTTCGTGAAGTAGTCCGGTGTAACCTTTGTAGCAGCCGCAATCGTAATGCGCACGTTGTTGTTACGTTGAAGTTCTGTTTTGCGGCTGCTACGTACATAATCTACAGGATTTGCACCTATTGTAGGGAGAAACAAGCAAAAGCCCAGACATTTCACACTTTAAGGCGCAAATCAAACCATTTCAAAATGAAAGCAATCTTTTAGCTCCTGAAACGGTTGGAAACGAAGGATTTATTTTTTTAAAATATCATTTAAATAATTTTGATTTTTATTTACTGAGAATGATGACGAATTTATTTTTATCGTGCAGCGGCAACAACAGTTTTTCAAATATCGATTTTTTCGTGAAAAAAATGACGCTTTATTTGCAATTATTTCAAAGTTGGTCCAAAACTTTTTGAATTCAACCGTATTTTGAGCAGAGTTCAATCTGAGAATTTCCCTGTTTTACAGTGTTGCCGGAATCTTCCAATGATGTTTCTCCCGACGTCCGCGCAACCCTGCTTACCGGAGAACGATTGCGATTCCTGCAAGAACCCATACAGCCGAGCGATGTGTCAGTACGATCTGTTTTCTCTGGGCCGTTTCTGGCCGACTTGTATTCCCCTTCTGGATGAAATAACCAAGCTGGAAGCGATTGACATCGCACCCGATAAGGAGCCACCTTACGAAGGCTGGCGAATTACCGACCCAGATTACGGGAAGCGCCCCAAACCTCACATGTCGGGTAACATCGTTTTTCCTTTTGGAAAGAATATGATACTGATGCGTTCACTTACAACCATCCCTTCTACGTGTGAATACACGTCGCGCGGCTTACAAGCCAGTACTTCAAGTGGTCAGCTAAAGAGGCCGATTTTATTGAGTTATCAAAGTGAACGCCGGTTTTGCCGTTAAAATTCAATCAGCTTTGTCGCTTTTATTCTGTCGAAAAATGTCGTGAAATCTAAATTGTCTTTCTGTGTTGACAGGTCGACCGTACTGCGACGACGGGAAACTGAGCATGGTCATCCATCCCTGCTGCAATCCGCCTCTCATGGTGGTTGTCGATAAGAAGAACTGCCTCCAAAAGGTCACCTGCGGCACCCGTCCAGAAGCAAATGCGCTGTTTAAGACGACGCGGAACTGGAACGACTGGCCACCGGTCTATATCAGTTCTTACAGTTCGTGGAGAGATACCTCCTGGACGGGGCCGTTCTATAACGCCTGGGACCGGATTTCTTCGGAAGACAAATACGTTCTGAACAAAGCGCTGAACAAGATAGATGCTTGTATGAATATAACAGACCATACCGCACCTGTGGACCAGGTTCAGTGCAGCCGATGTAAGGCCCAGACGGAAGTGGTGAGACTGTACGATCATGGACTTGTCCTCGGCCAGTTGAAAGGTGGAGAAAATTTCATAAAGATCGCTTCGGACTACAATTTACACTAGTTTTATTTCATTTTGATTTTTGCAAGCAATCAAGATAGTTAGTAGCTGATACTTTTGATACATGGTTCTGCCTACGACAAATCACTGGTGCTCTCAGGGAAATACTCATTTTATCCCATTTTTATTTATAGAGTAAGTACAGCTGCGCTGTGTTGCATGCTTGTTTAACACGCAATTAAATTTTTTACGATGACAGCACTGTTCCTTAACATTGGAAGACTGGAAGTAAACATTTTCTAATCTAAAAGTGGACAAGCTCTTGAAAGGCTTTTTTTAACGTTTTAAGTTTACAGTGGAACCTCCCGATCTTGAACACCCTCGGTACGCAGTTTTTGGTTCGGGGTTCAGAGGTGTTCACGGCTCAGAGGTTACTTCCACTGTTATGCATTACGACGGTACGAAAAAAAATGTAGTTCAAAACTTCAACTTGAGTTTATCTTAACTGCCTGCGTAGGACTGTGTTGTATATTGTAAGCAAATTGGAAACTGCAGCTATAAGCCAGCTTTTCCAAATGTATACTGTAGGTAAACCGAGCGGTTTTTGAAGCAGCTAGCCGAATAAAGCAATCAGAAAGTACAGTTGTGTCTTAACCTGGAAGCAATTCGAAAACTTAGGTAGAGAGGAGGTGAAATAAGGCTGTTCCACACTTGCTTTTAATAAGTCATCTTGGATGTAATATCATTTGCGCGCATTTGCAGGCCATAATATATCTTGTGAATCGCTGTGAAAATACCGAAACCGAGCGAAACAACCGTATAATTATACGTACTTAGGGCAAAGTTTTAAAAAATTTTGTCAAAGCACTACTGCGTTCGGTGCCACAACGGGCTGTCACGTAGACTGCGTATACCGTGGAGGGTCGCAAGCCTGTGAAACTCCAGGAAGTAGCGTTTGTATAAATTGGCTCGGTATTGTTGTAACCAATCTCATAAAAACCGACAATCCCGACAGGCGATTCCCAAGTGAAATCAATGCTACTGCTGGAGATCTTTGTAGCATTAAGCACGGTGACATTGTTGGGCTTCAGCTGCACAATTAGAGACCGCTTTTCACTTTGCACGTCTCCCTGCTCTGTCCATCCGAGAATTTCGCTCTTTGTCCCAGGAGTGAAACCGGTTAACTCTATTTGGTGTCTGTCCTCGTCATTTCGCAAAACATACTTCGGAGGATTCCCATCCGTAGAGAAAACAAATCGTGTAAAGAAACTACCTTGTAATCTCCAGGCGGTTTGGAAGTAAAATTTGATGGAGGTTTGCGTAACTTCAGAGGGAGGTCGAAAAAACATCACAGGCGGAGGCGCTACCAAAAAATAAATAGAAAGTGATGAAAACTGTGGATGTTGACTGCAGAATACTCTTTTATTTTTCTAATTTTAAGTATACGTTAACGCTTGTCGAGTTCACTCGCGAACGCCGCCTTTTGCCGCTTGAGGATGCCGGGGCACGTGATCAGGCCCGGCAATGTCCAGACGACGCACTGAAGTGTGCCGCTGATCACCGGGTTTTGATACAAGCCGCGCCGGACACCCCCAAATCGACAGGTAGCCCCCCATCGCGCGGAGAACAGCAAACAGGCCGAAAAATAGCTTCTGATCGGTAACAAAAGTTTCAAGATTTTTCTGGAAAGAAGGAAATATTAGCAAGCAAAATGTTAGGAATATAATGGAAGCGTACATCTAAAATAATCAGTATTAAAATGGAAAGATTGTATTAAGCGAGGAAGTAAGCAAATGTTATTGGAGTAGAGGTAAACAGGAAGAAGAGGATGATAAAAGAAGGTGGTAACAAGGAAGTAACGATGAGAAGGAATGGTGGTTAGGCGGGAACTGAGCTATGGAAAGTACGGATGTGGGAAGTGTCGCAGCACTGGTCGCAGACGTGAATGCGACGATGCGGACATGAGTTTGGACAACGTCCGTTGTTGTATCGCGAAAGATTACAATACGCGGGGAACGGGGTGACTGCAAGATTGCTTGGCTCTAGCTCGATGGAGAAAGATTAGCTGGTGGCATGTTGGAGGAGCCTATTATCCGCTACGGACACTGATTTGCATAATGGTGCGCATCTTAGCAAATAAAGCAACCATAAAGTGGAATGCCCGACGGCTGCACAGTGGTAATAGCTGACACGGAAGTAGAATCATTCATCGGGACTGTTCGGATGACGTTTTGCATTTATGGCTGTATCTTCACTGTACCAGGCGGTATCACCGTATCACTAACATCTGTGTACAAAAATTTCTGCATTCACGAAACGTTTTGTGGCAGCGAGGTGATGAAGTATCAGCAGGATATTTTCCGTTGTTGCCAGGTCACATTCTCGCGCTCTGCGTTAACCTCATTTACCGCTTGTGCGTTAAATGGGATTACCTCATTACCATAATATTATTTCGGTTAACTGCACTCATCAATTTGGCACGCTAGTTTGAAATCAAAATTGTTGAAGGTTGCATTTGGGGAAGACGGTTCTCTTGCACCCGGCAAAGAGCCCGTCATAGTACACCGAAACAACAGAGCCTTTTTAAGACCTGTTGTCGCTAGAACAACTAGAAAGCAACTTGAAAGCATTTGTCGCTGTTGTCGTTAACAACTACGGGTAGAAAGCATTAGGTAATCAGTTAACTTACACGAACGGACAATGTGCGAAACTTCTTCGCTGAACAGGTCACAAGCTACAGCTGCCACACGAACTTCGTACGTCGCTCCCCGATACTCAAGGGAAATGGGGTAGTTGACAACCAGCGAGTCATTGCGAATGGAAATCTCACGCACCGGCTCATCTTTTACATCCAAGTTTCGCAGTATCACCCGGTAGTATTTTGTAGTGTTATGCGGCTTTTGAATTTGCACCATCAGCTTGATTGGCAGACGTTGCACGGTGGAATTGGGTGTGAGTGGACCTGCATTAATACTCGTACTCGTACATGACACTATCAATATCTCTCCACCAATCCAACATTTCCTTAATAATTATAATTAAATGACTTAATAATGATAATTAAATGACTTAATATAGTTATGTTTGTTTGCGAAATATAGGACCAATGACCGATCGGCATGTGTTCTTACGTGTGCAGTATAAGGAAGCGGTAGTTTCCACAATGGATTGATTTTCCGCAATACTTCTCATTCGGAATGAATACGTTGAGCCTGGTTGTAATCCTGTCACATTGAATGTCGTAATGCTGGCGTTGGAAATGTCGATTATTTTTCGATCCGTTTGAGGCGTGATGGCGTCGGCATCGTGGCGTTGGTACAGAATCTGGTAGCCTTGAGAGGGTGCGCTAAGCGGCATGGACCATTTCAACGTGATGCTGTTTGTGGTCGTCAAGTTCGCTTTGGCTGAGATATTAGCAACCAAATCTACAAGTAAATTTTTCAAAAGATACAACGATGTAAAATGTAGTAATAAAAGTACATGGGTCATTTAAGCGGTTTTTGTGCAAAAACAGTACGTTTTTGTTCGAACCCATTGCAGGTGAGCCACGAACACTCGATGTGTTTCTGTTGCACCAATGATCGCTGTTTGCCGATATTTTTAATATTATTATCAATTGGCCTGTTTGGCCATTGACGAACCGAGTAATGTTTACTTTTTCCAGATTTGCATCGTACAGTCAGACTTTCTGATGTAGAAATTTAATTGTGCTTACAGTTTTCCTCATGTATCCAATGAATTTGCTCAGAGAGCTGAATTTGCAAGCCAACAGGAAACGGCTTTGGTTCGCAAGTAATGGGATGATACACGTCTCGCATTTCAATCTCTTCATTCTTCCATGGCGACATCGGAATCCGAAATATTTCCCCGGCTTCCGCTTCTTGCATCAGCTGACTGCCCGTCAACAAATCCCGGAGCCACTCGTATTCCGAACTGCAGTGCAGCCGCATGATATACTCGCCAACATCATTACTAAACACCGGTAATTTATCGAATCCGCGTTCAACCGATAACAACCGCAGCGCCGGCAGAACGGTGAACGTGTCCACTTCTAAAGACCGCATTGTCGTGTTGACGAACTGGATGAGTCGGAGCTTCAACGATAGCCAAAAGTCGGTTTTCTTCACGACGACGTCGTAGCAGTTATACAACTCAAAGTCCAACAGATTGGAAAAAGCCAGCTGTTGCAGTTTCCCGGTGGCTCGCGGCGTAACGCAGTCACGCAGATGCAGCACGACGGTGGTTAGCCGAACGGGTGACAGATTATCGAAGGTCACCAGTGGACTCTCCGTGAGGTTTATAAAGGCCGCTCGGAGTGGTGACTGCGATAAAGATTTGGCGAGTTGACGAACTTCTTGGGCGTCAGCTTGATTATCACAGTTTATCTGTAGTCCATAACTGAGGCTGCAGTTGGCAATGGTATGATTGGGCGGTGCGCAGTGGGCGGTAAATTGTCGGGTGCACTGCTCCGGTGACATCGGTTCGGAGGCAAAGCGTGGGAAAGGTACGGGCAGCCCGGCGTCTTTTACCGGTCCATCTGTGAATAGCGAATAAATAAAAAAAACAGTTATACGTTGAGAACACCGGTGTTTTAGCCTGTAAGGGTGTTCTACCATACTGCACAGGTATCTACCACCAAACACTCAAAAGCGCAGGAAGAAGTTGTCACTAACAGCACAACGCTGTACTTACCGTTTATTAAAGCCTTGGATTTCTCCTGAACAGCTAGAAAAGCACCGATAAACGGCCAAAGACGAAAAAACATTTTTGCATTAATAAACAGACTACAGCGGATTATCGGGAAGAGATAGAGTCTGCTGCAGTTTATTACGTGAAACACCAGCAGTCGAGCTTAACAATTGCCAAGGGTTGTTGCTAGCTAGGCCTTTAAGGTGTTTGTAATAACTATGCTTTTATAGATCTATTCCGATGTCTCGCATTTTCTTTACGGCGAGTCCAACTGAGCGCAACATTTGCCTGCAAGCAATCGCTTGTGTTAATTTTCTACCGAGAAACGGCCGACAAGCCGGATGTGTTAGTATTCACACGACCAGTTACTGGTAACTTTCTGGTATAAAAGACATGTTACCAGCTTGTCTACGTTGTATTACGGCCAGCTTTCTGATTAATCTGTTCGGCACAGCTTTCATACATAATAATTCAGTAAGCGAAAGGCATGGAAGAACTGCGCGGAAAGAGAAATAACATACGCGCTTGGTATTTTTCAAGAACGCCAGAATATTGGCACAGCTACCGTGCAGCGGAAATTTACAAGTCATTCCGGCACGAAGCTAAAGTTAGCCCGTTATCTTGAAACCATGGCTTTGGCACCCTTTATCTCGTTCCCAGCCGCGAAGCACAGTATTTGACGATTAGTACGGTATAACTGCGCACAACTGGCAGCGTACACGAACGAACCGACAGCGACACAGCGAATTTATAAATTAAGATAACAAACAGTGGAAAACGATATTATAACAGTAGGCGGTTTGACTACTGTTCTAGTGGGTTGGTTAACCGTTAATCCACCTTACCACGATCTGTCGGCTGTTAGTGTGGGAAAGGCTGGCATGGTCGGCAGCGATGCTGACCGAAAGCTGACTACCGTTTACATAGGTGACAACGGTGGGAGATGATGCACGATCACATAGATTAACCCGTTTAGGGTAAGAAGGCGGTTCCTCTAGAGTTCCAATGGTTCCACAAGTTCCATTGGTCCCAAAAACCACACCGGTTCCATACGTTCCACTGGTTCCATGAGATCCACCAGTTCCATCCAGTCCAACTAAATACCTACGCTAGTATCCGATGAAATCACAACAGAAGTTCATGTTACGTCCCTTATGATACCAATGGAACGTATGGAACTCTATTGAAACCCATTGGAACGGTCGGAACCACTGTACATTTCTCATTTCGCCCTTTACGTGATACATGGAACCAATGGACCTCTATTGGAACCCATTGGAACGTATTTACAATGTTTCCTTTGGTTCCAACGAGTTCCAGTGGAGTTCCATAAGTTCCACTGAAATCAAATAAAGGCGCAATGAGACGATTTACAGAAGTTCCAACAGTTCCAAAGGAGTTCCATTAGGTTCCATTGGTATCACATAGCTGCAACGGCGCAATGAGACGATGTACAGACGATGACCACGACGAGACGATGTTCCAACGGTTCCTGTGGGATACAGTAGAGTTACATAAATTCCATTGGTACTACACGAGGGCGCAATAGGACATGTACAGATAGTAGTTCCAACAGTTCCAACAGGTTCCAGTAGAGTTCCATAGGTTCCATTGGTACCACACAAGGGCGCAGTAAGGTGTACAGATAGTAGTTCCAACAGTTCCAACGAGTTCCAATAGAGCTTCATTGGTTCCATTGGTTCCATTGGTGTCTCTTTGAGCGTGCAACGACTTTCTGTGTTTCGACTATAACGGCCGGTACAGGGAAACTATGTCTTAGTTACCCTAAACGGGTTAAACTCTCCACGATCATCCCATTGCAATTAGGCAACACAACGCAAGGTCATTGCATGATTTTTTTAAGAACACGTAGCAAGAATCAGCAAGCAGAGCAAGCTGAGAAGCAAGTGGTGCATAAGTGCGGGAGCAAGCACCCATAAGTCCGGAGCAAGAAGCGCGTAGCAAGAAGTGCGTAAGTGCAGGAGCAAGATTCGGAGCAAGCTGCAGCAAGAATAAATCCAAGATGTTTCTGACCGTGAGATGCGGTCGATGTATGAAAATAAGGATTCTGATCTTCATAACACCACAGCCAATAATCAGTTGAGAAAAGCAATTTACACTCCTACTGGCGGTACATCTAATTTCTATAGCTACATCACTCACGGTAGCGATGAGATATACGTGTTTCATAAAGATAATATTAGGGAGTGTTAATGAAAAAATAGCAAAAAATTATGAAAATAAAGCTGTATGAAAACTGCTATATGGAACAACGTCGGCAAACATCACAGCTTTGGCGCTAAATGAGCTAAGCTTCTACAAAGCACACACATGTAAAAAGAAGAGCCACTCTTATGGCGCACAAAAATGACTGTAGTATTTCGATTATACGTGGAGCGGGACAGCCAAACCTTGATAATATATTATATTCAAGCGGGTGTGTCACTGCGAGAACGTACTTGCTGTGGCTGCAACTATATAACATGGTAGCGTGAGTACAATCACACAATGCGCACACGTCCACATAAACTGCCAATGATACCCCTTCCGCGGTAGTCGTATTGGTAATCACGGTAGCGTGGCTTGACGTAATACTGGAAATGGCTTGAATCAAGCCAGTGGTAATCAGAGTTCACAGTTACGGTGTTTGGATTTCGCGGAGACGGCCTTGTACTTGATGCGCATCACGACGGATCTACTGTAATGCGTTTAAAAGTCAGCACTGGGTTTATCGACCAGTGGAAAACTTATTCGCACAATATGCATAAAAACAAGGCAAACACCCTTTCACGATACACTGCACAACTGAACGTTCGTTATAAAAAATCAAATAAGTCGTCGACTGGACGATAAAATTAATAATGTTTTGGACGATCCATGCAGCCACGACATGCCAGCCAATCACAATAATTGTAATTCATCGGTGCCTGGGGCTGTGTTTAAACGGATTATTCAGCAGCATACGTATCGTGATCGGGCTGAGCTTTTTCACATCCAGATCCCGGATATTATCCCTTGTCCACTCAAGCTGGCGATAATGTGTGGCTGGGCGGGGATCACAACTCTGGAACCAATTGAGAATCTGCAAATCCATATTCACTGTAATGAATATCCCCAACAGCTTGTAATTAAGGCGTTACCCATAACGGACCATTCCAAGCGCTACCATTTTGCTTGATCGATTCCGCGAGGTGATCGGCCACCGATTCTTGACCGGCACTCAACAGTCTTCCCCAAACCAGGTTTATTTCCACGGTGTCCCACAGTTCTGCTGGCTCAACGCGCTGCGGATAAACGACGGCATACGGAATACGCGCCAGTACAACCTGATTCTCACCCGTGTAGTAACAATTTCGCCACACTATTCGATCTATTCCAGCCGCCGCCACTTTGCGGTACCCATCGCTCGCAGCCGGCAAAACGCCGACGAATTCCCGGAACGTACAATTGCTTAAGATTACTTCTCTAACTGCAGTGAACTTGATAATGCTCTCTAAGACGACGCTGGGATTCCTGAAATACGGACGGGCGCCGGTAATACAAACGCGCCGTGTACGAGTTGTGCAGCAAAGTACCAGACAATTAAGGAAATCAACAAAATCCCTGCCGTGATCCCCGAATAGTGACACCACGATATCTTGATACAATTGCCGGGAGGTTAGGATAGAGTTCCACAGAAAACAGGTTCGTCTTAGCAGTTGCCGTTTTAATGTATCAAGGCATTGGAAGACTTCAACGAGGAGCTCCACCGGCAACGGAATACCGCGCTCATCGGCTGACGCGCTGGACGGAGTCGTCAGCGCTCTCGTGATGGGACGCACATCGTTTTGATTCCATGCTTTGTTAATTACTGCTTTACCATACCGGGCGAAGTCTGCCTTCAGGCGTAGGAACAGTTCTTCCTGCAAACAGCAATCCTATTTTCACGGTGTGCACTGTGACCGCCTATGTCGGCGGTCAGGCACATAAACACTGTTGTTAATAGAGTCCTCTTCGGAAATTAGGGTCTCTGATCTTGAATAATCCTTTTGTATATATTTTTCCCACTTATTCCCTTTTTATGAATAAAAGCTTTTATTTAGGGACACCCCCTGTGTCCCCATATGTTATACATACATATTTACAGGATATGTCTACTAAGTCTCAGCCTATTAAAGCCAACCAAATTTTCCGGGCGCCGGCTAAGTCGATTACAGAAAACCATCACAAAATTTTTTAATTTCAGAAAAACGTTTAGAGCCGCAAAGACAGCTCTCTGCAAAGGTTATCCACTTTTCACCAAAGGTCATCCGCCATTCTGCCGGTGGCACCTATGGCCAAGGATGTTTTACCGATGAAGCGGTAAGATTGCTAGTTGCTACCAATACTGACACACAATGGCGTACTACAAATGCCTCAATAAAAGCATACCGCCACCGCTTCACCTGACTGCTGGATGCGTTCATCAGTAAGTATACTAGGATGTCTGCTACCGCCTGAGCGCACAAAAATGTTATATGGTTTTCATTTTAGTTTTGGCGCTCTCATAAGACGATAGAAATATTTGAATGCAGTTATTAGAAAGGTGGATGACCTTTCGGCAGAAAGGTTGATGACCTCTCCAGATAAGTGGATGACCTCCTCTGAAGATCCACCACTATCCTATCCACCTTGCTGCCGTCTACAGATGCTTACTATTTCTTCAGATGAAATCGTCCGGGGGAATTTTCGCGTGAAATATAGCAGCCGACCGTTAGCGGCGGAAATAACGGCTGCTCTAAACCGTAGGCGCAAAATATGGGAGTATAAGCAAACAAGATCGGCATTGTCATCCAGCGGCAGAGAAGTGGAGCGGATGATAAAGTGATTGTGACTGAGCCGGAGCTTGTCCATATCGTCCGCTGAGGGCGTGAGCCGCACTCGGTATGAAGGTAGTACGGTCCTAACGATGTGATCATTCACCGTTAGTTCCACCAGAAGGCACTCACTGCGCTGCCTCCCTGGGAATTCGTACTCCAGCAGTTTGGCTGGGTACCACGTCAGCGGATGGTCGGGATGGAAGCGCATGAGAGCTTGCAAAGGTGGGTCTCCCGGTACGGGTTTCCTGCATTGAAAAAGACTAACATTGTAATAATTTAAATGGTAATACTGGAGGGTTTAGGAAGAAGTACCAGTGCTCTTTTGGACGACATTGTACTAAATAAGTTTTGCAGCTAGAAACCGAGTTTATCTTTACAAACACCAAAAGGGGTGTATTTACGAAACAATGGTACAATATTTTTGGAAGGCAAATCTCTCGAAAGCACCGGCAAATTTATTTACGGTATTTATTTAGGGTTTAGTTAGGGAATAATTTTGACAATTCGGACACCACCACCATAACCACCCCCCCCCCCTGTTACAAAACCACTTGAAGGTGGACGACGAGTTTATATGAATTTCTTCCAATCAATGAGCAGTCTTACAGAGTACATACAGTACGGTTGTTTCTTTCAATCTTTATAGGTGTTACGTACACTGTAGTGTCTTTAACCCATTGGCTGTATTACCACTAAAAATTAGGTAAATGTTCTTCACAATTTTAATCACAACTTCTCGTACGTTAGCTTCAGGCTACGCGCGAAACCGGTGCGCTCCGAATTGCACCGCCGACACGTTTATGAAGATCTATTATGTTTGGTTTGTGAGCTATTCTGCTAATACGAGCTACGCAGTTTCAGACTACCTTGCATATCCAGAAACCACACGGATAAATCATGAATAAATCAGGCCCACAAATTTCTTCCCAATTATTATCTGACTTTTGTTGAATTTTTAAGAATTTTTGATGGAAAGCATTGTCAGCTTTGTGATATACTGATGTATTTATATAACAGCCAATAAAGAATACCAAATACCTTATAGAAAAAAATTGCCAAAATAGATTTTATACCACTATATGACGCGGTAACTCACTCAGGATTGCCGTTACCGTAACTTGAGGCGCACGGCAATGATCTTTTCCAAGGTGGATCTCCATCCCAAAAGCCCGCGGCCGCTGAGCACTCAAAAATCCTACCGAATTCCACGAAAACAGGTTCTTGTGAAGCACGCCGGAAATCCACAATTAGCCCGTCTGATCCGATGTTAACGAAGTATCCGTGCTGGAGTTGGCCGTCGACTACGACATTGACGCTATTCCATTCATAAATATGGAGGTGCGACCGGTAAGGTGCATCGAGTACAGTCTGTACAGATATGTACGAGTACATAGTAGGTCTTCTCTTAACTGGATCCTTTCCAGTAACAAACAATAACAATTATATATCGATTTTCCAATACAATTTGCCCATCAACAGATGGCCAACAGCCTCACAAAATGGCACGCATTCTAATACTAGCATTAGGAAGGCAGTATTTCATGTTTGTAAAGGGAGTCAGCCTAGGTCGGTTATTACGAAAATTTATATTATCAGGAAACAGGAGCGATGAGCAACTTTATGTCTGTAATGTAGCTATCTGTAACAGCCGGCAGATTGTCATCCACTGATAGCGACCACTGACTAATACACGCACACCAAACAGCTTTTGTTTTATCGTCAACTATCGAGACAGCATTATCGCCGATGCCATGGGCAGTCCAATATGAATAACTAACGTATTATTAAATTGAGCAGTAACCACTGTATCAGTCGGGCAACATCGTACAGATTCATCCCACATGTTCGTATATGGATATAATTTTAGTGAAATTTTCGCGTTATCATTCCAGTCGCACATGAGTCTCAATTTAGCAGGTTATCAATCAGCGCAGCAAAGGCAGCCGCATATTTATCAGCACGACGCGAAGAATTCCCCGCCGTTGAAATACAGTATAGCCATATAGCAGACTTTTCATTCTATCGCCATAAACGGCAATCTTCTTTTCTTTCCGTTTTCGGCTGAACGCCACTGACGCTTGCTGTCCTGTTTTTTGATATGTAACACTATTTGCTTTGTGAAGATCAGTAAATAATGAACGCGACATCGTTGTACTTTCGCCAGTTATTTACTGGTTCGCGGGAAGTTAACTACGGGAACACGGTACTTGTGCAGCGTGACAACGGCCAATGGTGGTTAGGATATGTTCAGGACATTGACGGCGATCGCTTCTTCATTGACTTCGATGCCAGCACGATCCATGCACAATGGATCCACACTAGACATATCTGGCCGCATCATTTCCTGTCCTCGCGGAAGTGGCCAATGGTTCGAGGGAAAACGCTCCAGGTAGCGATGCGGCAGCACGCAGGAGGGCCGATGGTGTTCCGATCGGGCACGGTAACCGGCGAGACGAACGTTCTCTTCCGCGCGATGCGACTGGACGATCATAATCGTGGCGGAAAGAATCCGTGTGAGATCGTGTATCAGAATCATTTCGTTGAAAGTCTACCAGCGACTAACGACGGAGGAAGCTTCTTCGGGCGAACTACCGGGTACTTGTACAGAAAACATGTTATCAGTTTTCCGGATGCTGGTCTGTTGCCGGAAGTGGATTTCCTGCCGACGTTTCTCGGTCAAACATCCCATCTAGCGTTGAATTCGGGCGCTGATCTGTGTGATACAAAATGCCGTTTTCGAAGAACCGTTTCACTTGACACGAGCGTTTTCTTTTGTCAAGGTCGAGGTTCACACCGCCGGAAGAAATATTCTATAGATCTCGCCTGTCGGGTATTTGCGCGAGCGGAAATGGATACGGTCACTTTTATTTGTGCCGAAATGCATGATGACGCAGCGGGTCGCAGCATGTTCTGGGACGAAGCGACCTTGAAGAAGGCGTGCAAAAACTATTTACGCGAAACGCAAAAGAGTGAATGTGTTCACCTGGACAGGACGTCTGGGAATGCGCTGGAGTATGGTCAGTGCATCCCAAAATAAAAGTTATGGCAATGTACGGTTCTTTAACTGAATATTCTGCAGAACTGGAAGAAATGTCCATCAGTGAACTGCCCCATCCGATCGTAACGTGCATATTGCTTTATTTGGACATATATTCCCAAGCACAGACAAGGCGGTAAGATACGGTGGGATACGGCAGTGATTACAAGAACCAAGAAGTAGAAAATTTGTAGAATACATGAAAATCTGTGGAATACATAATTTCTAGGATACATTATAATTTAAAGTTAGAAGATAACGTTACTCAGTACTGTAGGGTATGCGCTTTGTGGAGGCTGATCTTCCGGAAATACATCAACAAGCGCCACATTCTCTTCGATCTTTGCGCATCGTATGAGAAGCAGCCGCGTGTTCAGGAAGCGTTAGAAGACTACAATGATTATCGCACTTACGAACTGATTACCATGCTCAACGGCATTCTTCCCAGACACACTCATACGCTGGCGCTGACTCAAGACGAGAATCACACGCACGCCAATCCTGCCGAAGATGCACTGACACGGATGTGGACAATCAAAACAGTATTTGAAGAAAAGGACATCAGTCTGCCTTTAATTATTCTGAAGAACGGACGCGATCAAATGAACTACACTCTACTCGATATCTGCTGCAATCCCCGCCTCGGCTCATCCGATTGCGTCGCGCTGTCCAAGTTCTGGTCCGTCTGCGAACAGTTGGTCCTGATTGGCTATAACGCTTCCGACGCTCTTAAGGGATCAGCGTGCCGGATCTTGTTCTCGGATGTAGCAGCTGCATTGCCGGATTCAGAGATTATGCGGAGCAAAATTACCGCGGGCTGTGATATAATCGTTCCGCTTCTACACTTTCACTCCACGCAAACGGCCGCAGAACAGTGCCGAATTTTCTTAACGGCAGCAAACGACAGTTGTCCAGCAGTGAGTCAGCGCGTATTCGAAAGGGTCACAGCGATGCATAAGCGGTGGGTCCAAACGTTGAAGTATCCGGATGACTGGGTTCGCATTCGCGTTTTTCTGCAGCTGTAAGAAAAAAAGTAGAACTTAAGAAATAATTGTATCACTTTAACCCGGTTTTTATTGATTAGGTTCAACAGCTTCGGCCTGAACGACGATCCACAAGGCTGGGATACTATGGATCTTCGACAGCTGCACATTGCCTCCCTGACCAACGTGACCTTTGCAGTGCTGGACAGTTGCTTCGAAGACTGAAGCAGTATCATATCAGAGCAATCAGCTTGGTTAATCGCATGACTTTAATTCTTCTGCTGCTGCTCATTTTCCGTGTGAAGTTCTACAGTATTCTTCCGAGGCTGTCCTGTTATCATGTTTGAATGGCTTGTCGCGTAGTGCGAAAGGGTTCGTTTACAACGTGAAGTCATCCATGTAGTCTTGCACAAACAGTAACTTGTGACAGGGTCTCATTCTGTAATACTAATGCATGAGTGGGAGTCTTGAAAAATCCATCCTGAAATCATGTTAGCTGATTTATTTTATTACGTGTTGCTTGGCTTATTCCGTTTAAGGGTTGCTTAACGTTTAAAATACGTTACCAGGCTTTAAAGTTTAAACCAGATCATCTCGCAAAGTACTATGTACACATTTCAGCTCTTTCTACTGAAAACAAAATCCCACAGGCCACAGTCTATGTGTACATATAACATAACCTACACTGACCATAGCTTCGCTTCGATCTTATAGAGTTCTTATTTAAAGCGGTGCACTTTCGTAGAGTAGAGTAGTATATTTGAATAGTGCGTATTATTAAAGTATTCCGCGATAGACTATAATAGAGCCGATATGATGCACGAAAAAATCCCCAAAGATCTTGATACCTATTCCCTAATTAACCATGAATGACTGATCCCTCTTATTTTATCATCTGTTCAGAGGCTTGTTACGCATTTACGCACACACGGTGCTCACTTATCACGTATACTGTGTTTGGTGCGGGTCTTTTAGGCTGCTTTTCAGCTGAGAACATATAAGCGATGCTAAAGCTACAGTAGTAGTACAATTCGCTCTTGCATCGTACTACAGTGACTTGCGAAGCTCAGCTGCACGTAATGTAATTCTAGCATTATTCTGCCGTTGTTAGAAAAAAATCATTCCGTTTCGGTGCAGCTTTGCCATATCATTATTTTGCCTAATTAAACTCTCGTTTACAGGATTCGCGTCGAACAGAATAAGGATAAAGTTGGCGGTAGTACAAAGAAAACCGGCTTTTAACATGTCTGTTATAGTCGTGCAACCAGTAAGTGGCGGTGACTATTAACACATCCGGCTTGCCGGCACTTTTACTTCATCTGTCTGGTCGCAAATAGCACCAACCATTGCTTCCAGGCAAATGTTGGCCTGCAGTTGCACTGGGTCGTAATAACTATATAAAAGCGCAGTTATTAGAAACAACATAAAGATCTGACAACAACGCGGGACAATCTCTTCCTTCTGCTGATGTTTCCGAATTTAGGCTGAAGCTACGAGTAATACTACGTCGTACGATAATTCCGCTGTTGCCTATTTACAGAAAGCAGCCAACGCAAAAATGTTTCTTTTTTGGCCGTTCGTCTGTTTTTTTCTGGCTGTACAGGAGAAATCTGTGGCCTCTATCGGTAAGTAGAAACCACAACGGCAATTACCAAAAAGTTTTAAATTCGTGTTTGGTGGTTAATAACAAAATCATTATTGTTGCGTGCACGGGTGAAATTTTTGTGTCAGCACTGGTGCTGGCTGCGGGTACGGGATTGCTGCCGGGGCGTTGGCTGCGTGCACGGCTGAATTAAATCTATTTCGAATTTTCTATTTGATGGATTTTGGAATGATAAAGCATTTCAAATGTTTTAAGTATTTCAAGTCGGTTTCTGGATATTCTAGTATCACTGACACATTAAGCTACTTAAAAGTATTTTAAGATGCATGTTAAATGGCTATTAATGCTGTACAGAAATGTGCCATGAACGTTGCGTCAAAAGTCAGATATACCGTAGAAATCCTGAACCTGAAACGTTTTCTTGAAATCTGTTAGATCATTTACAAATTGAGGCTATCAGATGGTAGACATATCATTCTGTATGTTACGAAAGCAGCTGAAAACTCTCTTTTGGTAAAGTGCGAGAAATCATAAACGGGCTATGAAATGATAAGTGGAAATTAAAATTCTAAAGTATTTATTAAATATTAATAAATGTACAATTAAAAAACAAACAAATTTCCCGTGCATGCAGCAAGCACCATTTCCCGAACCCCTGCGCGCAGCTACACTCCGTGTGGACACCCTGCACGCAGATAACGCCCGTGTTTTCCTCTACATGCACCTATATTTTAATAAAATTTGTTTCGTGGTTAAAAAGTACAAATACCATTTTAAAGTAATAGTCTGCAGATGTACTGCAGTACTGTACTCTAACCCTGCACTGGACGGAAATTTGTACAGTGCTGCCACTTGTACTTGTACGAGCGCATTCACCATTTACATACACGGGTTGCAGCTAGTGCATGCAAGAACGTGAATCGGCTGAACGTTTATTAGGTTATACAGCACCGTATCGCTCAATCAAGTGCTGGGATAGGGTACAGTACTGTATTTCTCACTAAAATTATAGATGGACCGCTAACGGATGCAGGACAATCAGGCACCTTCCCACACTTTTCCTTCGACCCGATGACCCCGGAACAGTGCGCCCGACAATTTACTGCCCATTGCGCACCGCCAAACCTTACCGCTGCCAACTGCACCTTGAACTACGTGCAGATCCACTGTGATAATCAAGCGAACGACGAAGAAATCCGTCAACTCGCCCAATCTTTTTCGCAGTCACCACAGCGTGCTGTCTTCGTCAGCTTGACGGACAGACCATCCCTGAACTTTGATATATCACCCGTTCGGAACAACACCGTCATGTTGCATCTGTATAACTGCGTCTCTCCGCGCACTACCTATAAACTGGCGGGGCCTGGTTTCGCCAATCTGTGGGACTTTCAGCTGCACAACTGCCAGGATATTGTGGTGAGAAAATACGACTTTTCGTGGACATCGGAGCTCCGGTCGATCCAGTTCGTCAACACGACAATGCGGTCCTTGGAACAAGACTCATTCACGGATCTGCCAGCGTTGCGAATGCTATCACTGGAACGGGGATTCAGCGAAATGTCGCAGTTTAGTGTACAGGTGGCCGATTATCTCCAGCAGTTGCACTGTGCCTATGAATACCAATGGTTCAGAAAATGGTGGCCGGGCAGTCAGCTATTGCGCCGGGCGAAGGCCGGAGAAATATTTCGGATGCCAGTGCTGTCGTGGGAAAACGAAGAGATTGGAAAGCGAGACGTGTATTTACCGATTGACTGCGCAGCGTTTCCAAACGGCTCGCAAGCAATTAATTTTTCTCAGGAGCCATTTTCAATAAATGAAGACCGATGTAAGCTCAATACAACCAAACATTAGGGGATAACATAGGGCTAACACAATGTGATACCACCGTAGCGTCGAATGCTTCTTTATCCTTGACGGCAGTCAGGGATCGACCGGAAATTGTAATGGAATCAGCGGATGGGGCAGTCACATTTTTGGAAGTTAAGTAAGTGTGAGAATGCTTTCTCAGATTTAACGTTGAACACCGTTTAAATATTAAAAGATATGTATCAACAAAATGGTAGAGTAATGCTCCGCTCAAGGATAGCATTAAAATACCGCAGCGGAGCCAGAATTTGATTAATAAACGTGAAATTACAACGGCACCCTAGAGTGTGACTGAGAGAGCAATAGAAAAAAAAATTCTCGAGTTAATTTCGTATAACTATTTACCTATGTACGATTATAAGTTGTTATCCGAAGCCGTGCTTAGTAAAATTTTACTGAATTTGTTGTAGTGCAACTTCTAAAGTTGACTTGGTTCTGAAAGGAAATGTTTCCGCCGGCCAGCACGTCAACTTCCGAGATTTGCTTGGAGGTGCGCAGAACGTGGTGTAGTGCTGACTGTCAACAATCTTTAACGGCAATATTTGTGTCCTGCAGGTACGCACTATTTCATCCGCGCGAGGCTGCTACAGAATGGTCGGAATGTAGTGCGCTTATTTAATGAATTTACTTGTACGTTTGTCCACTCTCGTAATATACTTACCCTTGAAAACGGTCAGTCTGGCCAATCGATAAGTTTCTTGAAATCCCAATGGCTCTTTTGACAGATCCCTTTCCTCCCGTTGATATTAGTGCCAGCGAGAACCTGACCTCCACGGACAGCATTACGCTGGAATGGTCCATACCGTTCAACACTCGCATTGAAGGCTACCAGATTCTGTACCAACGCGACGATGGCGGTGCAGTCTCGCCCTCACCGGATCTGAAAATAGTCAACGTTTCCAACGCGATCGCCACGAGCTTCAATGTGACAGGATTAGAACCAGGCACAACGTATTCATTCCGAATGAGAAGTTTTGTGGGAAATGTTTCCAGTGTGGAGACACCCGCTGTCTTGTACTGCACTCGTAAGAATATGCCGAGTGGCTACCCATACATCTACGTTTCTGAAACGAATACAGTGTAAAGAAACAAATGTCATCCAATAATCACTACTATTATTTGTTAGTATTAATTTAAACGAATAATTGCACAGTTTTCGGTTGGCAGCGTACGTATCGATCACTGTGATTAAGTACTTACAACAGTATTCGTGCGTGTAAACTGTAAAGTGCACAATTAAATTATTACTTTGTTATCTTCATGGTTTTCTTGTGGTCATCAGCAAATCGTCGGTTTGCCGTGAATCTGTGCACATAACGCATGTCAGCGTGTGGCTAACTGATACTGCTGCAGGTCCGCTCAAGCCCAGCTTCATCGTGCAAACTTTACCGGGCAAACTGATACTGCAACTTCAACGACCAACTAATTCCACAAAGTACTACCGCGTGAAATTGTTGAACCTGGATGTGAAAGATGCACCAGTGCGTGAAATCATCATTCCCAGTGATCCAGTGGTTGTCAACCACTCTATTGGCATTGATTATGAAGGAGCGACGTACGAGGTCCGTGTGGCAGCTGTTGCTTGTGACCTGCTCAGCGAAGAAGTGTCGCAGACTGTCCATTCCTGTAAGTTAATAGAACTAGTCTGATAATACCTCATTGTTGATAGGGATACAACGCTAGAGGGTCAAAGTGGAATCCAATGACAGGACCATCCATGCAAGTCACTTGTTTGGGCCTGCCATTTGATTCCGCTCCGACGTTTCGTTGCCCTGACGCATACAATACTGTCACGACTTCTTTTATTACGAAATATAAAAAAATATGCTAGCGTCCAGTGTTAGATCCTTTTTGAATTCGTTTTTTCGCGTAGTGCCCCCGCCTGTAACCTTTTACTGGCCTCCGACCGAGTGTAGCCCTACCTCCATCTCATTTGCCGTTAGTGACGACTGGAAAGTACATAGACACCGTGGCATCTTCACGCGATTCGTGTTCACAACGGATGGGATTCCGCCTGTATATGTTTTGCCGAACGCTGTGGACAGGCTTGTGGTGGAGTTGACCGGTCTCAGTCCTGGGATCAATCATGAAATCCTCGGATGGACAGAGCGAGGGGAAGTCCAAAGTGAAAAGCGGTCTATGACGGTGCAACTTAAGCCTAACAACGTCGCCGTGATCAAGGTTACCAATACCACCACCAATAGTATTGATTTTACATGGGAACCCCCAGCCGGGATGTTCGACGAGTTGTCGATCGATCGCTTCTACTATGGCCGATCAGTACGCCATTATGGAGGGATAGATTCCGCAGCTAACACGGATTGCTTCCCAGTGCGGTCTACTTAATAAACGCGATGGCCCGTAGTGGCACTCATTACAGTCCATTCTGGGCAACATCTTTCGCAATTTTCAAGTCAGTGAGAGCCAAGACTCCGGCATTTTGCGGTTCTTAAGTGGAATTCTGTTAACTTAATGTACTCGTATAACATGGACCCCGATACTATTTTTCCCGTTTCAAAACACTTTTATCGCCAGTAGGGTGAGAGTTGAGCCGTCCAGCATAAATTAACTGCACCTGTCGCAGTACTCAGTCTGAGGAACTTATTAAAGCTCCTGAGAAAAAAACTGCCAATAAATTGAACTGTACTGTTATAAAAGTTAAGCCGACCGGCACCGCACAACATAACGTGCTTCTACGTTGTTCGTATGGATATTCAGTTACTGTATTTGAAATTAAATTGCCCCGCCCGGCGGCTTTTTTTTAAAAATTAAAAATTAAGTAAAGTCATTTGCAGCAGTGTCTGACGAGTTACAAATTTTTTTATTTACGGTTATTATAACTAAGAAAAAAAACTGCAACTCTACAAGCAGCATTTCGAACGCCGTTCTGATAACACACCTGTGGCACGTTTCATATACACCTGTGGCACGTTTCGTACCAAAGAAAAAAAGTGAATCGTTTTTCCGCTCCTTGTAGTCACATTAGACATCTGTATACATGCTGTAGACACCCTGTAGACCTATCGGTAGTCACCTGGTTTCTTAGGCTTTTTTGGACGTTTACAGGAAATCTACAGGTTGTCCACAGGGTCTCTACCGGTTGTCTACAGATGTCTACCGGTGTATACAGGCAGGCCTTCTTAGGTTCAGCTGGATGTTCTGCTGTATACATCTGTTCTGCTGTATACGGTGTATACAGGCAGAGTATCGAGCTGAACCTAAGATGGGCTACGTGTATACAGCGGTAGACATCTGTAGACAACCTGTAGAAATCCTGTGGACAGCCTGTAGACAACCTGTATACATCCTAAGAAAACCTAAGAAACCAGGTGACTACAGTATGTCTACAGTGGTGTCTACGGGCTGTCTACACGTTCATGGTAATTCTGTCAGTATTCTGCCGTTCTTCTGCATTGTAATTCTGTCAGTATTCTGCCGTTCTTGGAAGATACACTGCACTCTTTCGGTATAACTTTGCCATACCATTTGTCCAAATGAATCCAAATAAACGGAATTAGCACCAAACGATTAGGCAGAAAGTTGGTGTAACAGAAGGAATACCGGTTTTAACATGTCTGATGCAGAAATGTTACCAATAACTGGTCGGTGATTATTAAAACATCCGGCTTGTCGGCACTTTCATTTTATTTTTCCTGCTTGAAATGAACGCAAGCGGTTGCTTTCAGGCAAATGGTAGAATACAGTCGCGCTCGCCTCACAAAAAGGAGTCGTGATAGCTGTATACATCCGTAGTTATTGCAAACACTGTAAAGGATAACAACAGCACGGGACAACCTTTTCGCTGTGTTTATGTTTCGAAAAATATGCTGAAGCGAATACTACGTCGTACCGATAGTCCCGCTGTAGTTTAATTGCAGAACTTATTCAACGCAAAAATGTTTTTCCTTATTGGCCGCTTGTTTGTGTTTTTCTGGCTGTGCAGAAGAAATCCGTCGCTTTCTTGAACGGTAAGTAGGAACCACAACTAACAACTATAACTAACAACTAGTAATAAAATCGTGTTAAACTCTGCAACAACTTCATGTTGCAGTTTCTCCGTGTTACATCATTAAAGAACGATTTGCAAGCTAATTAATGTTAAATTAAGTAGATGCGGTCACGGCGTATTCTCGCTATTAGGCTGTTCATTGCACTTAACTTAACGGCAGCACGTAAATTCGCCGACCTAGCTATAATCCGCTGCCCGACAATATGCTGACTGACTTGTTACTGACTTGCACAACTCGCTGATCGACAAATTGTTCAACGACAATTTGCTTTTCGGCTAAATTGTTAACCGACGTTTGGTCGAAACATTTTTGGTGGCCGACAACTTGCTTTTCGGTCCGATACGCTTAGTTTTCTTAACTTCTTGTTGATTTTTCTTAGGTTTCTTAGAGTTCTACCTTCTTAAGGATTTTTATTTTCATAGGTTTCTTGAGCTTCCTAAATCAGCAAAGTATCGTCAACAAGTTGCTGGTGTTCACAAAAAGTCGTTGTGCGAGGTGTCGTTCTGTATTGCGTTTTAAAAGGAATACAAAGAAACAAAAACCATTGAATAATTATTATTAATATTATTAATTTTATAATTGCACTTTCTAAAGCTTTCGATAGATGGGTTCATTCTCTGCATAAATCAACTTGCAGCTGTGTCCGTACAGTAGAGACTGTCGAGTATTCACTTGTCGGTTTCCTTTTTACAATATTCATCAAGTTTCTTGGGCTTATTTCTTAGGCTTTTTGGTTTTTCTTAGGTTTCTTTGTTTTTAAGGACTTTTTGCTTTCTTTCTTTGGCTTTAAGTGGTTTTCTCAACTTTGTTATCTACCTGGTTGACTTGCGGTCGTCAGCTTGTAGTCAGCATGTCGTCGGTTTGCCATAAATCTGATGGCAGTATTTGCATAGCACATGTCACCGTGGGATTTACCGATATTTTTGCAGGTCCACTCATGCCCAACTTCGTCGTGCAAAATCTGCCGGGCAAGCTGATGCTGCAACTTCAACGGCAGTCCAATACCACGAAATACTACCGAGTGAAGCTCTTGAACCTGGATGTGAAAGATGCACCAGGGCGTGAAATCATCATTCTCAGCGACCCTCTAGTTGTCAATCACTCCATTGCAGTTGATTATGAGGGAGCGACGTACGAGGTCCGTGTGACCGCTGTGGCTTTTGACCTGCCCAGCGAAGCAGGGTCGCAGATTGTCCATTCGCGTAAGTTCGGTAATAAATAATGTCTTCAAGTTGATGGGGTTTAAACGCTTGACCGCATGTTGCCGGCAGGATGGTCGACGGGTTGATAGTTGACGTTAAATGAAGGTCAACAACCTTTCTGCCAGAGCTTATCAACCTTTCTCTAAAGGTCATCAACCTTTCTGCTGAAGGGCATCCACCTTTCTCCAAAGGTCATCAACCTTTCAGCCGAAGGCTTCGGCTTTTAAGCAGTGACCGCATGCATTGATCTCGTAATGGGCCTTGTCAGATCAGACACAGAAGCAGGAAGAAATGGGGCAAATACAGCCTTTATTGTGATAACAATAAAGCAACAACACACAAAACCAACAGAAAACCCAATGCGGGAAAAGCTGGAAAAAGTGCCTGCAGTGCGCTGGTGAGGAATCGTGATTAATGATTCCGCGTGCTGCGGGTATGCAACAGCTGATGCTGCAAAGCATGGAATCGCCCGTAGGCGCAGGGCTCCACCCCCAAGAGTGCAGAGAAATACGCTGATTGGTCAGCGTAGACAAAGTATACGCTGAGTAAGCAGCGTAATAGCGCGGCACGAATGGAGTAGCCATGTGCGGGCGGGCGACAGAGCAAAGCCACAAGAGGTGTCTACCGCCTCGAGTGAGCGGTCTCTGACAGCCTGATGCTCCCAATGGCGTTATTTTTGGATCAGTTGAAGCGGCACGGCAAACAGATAACGCGCTCCGGCAGATTGGTGGATGCGATTTGATTTTGTACGTCCACTATTCTTGTTGCCGGTTACGGACGTTTACTGAAGGTAATCTCCTGCAAAGGCCATCAACCATTCCGTAAAGGTCATCAACCTTTTCGTAAAGGGCATCAGCCATTCATAAAGGTCATCAACCTTTCCGTAAAGGGCATCAGTTATTCAGAAAGGTCATCAACCTTTTTTCAAATGTAATCCACTAATCTGGTGGCAGCATCCAATACCCATTGATTAGTATGAGGCCATTGTACCCATTTTATTAATTTATTGTGAGTATAAGTTGTATAACTGTCTCGGGCACTCTTGGATGTATGACTGATACGTATTTTCATGCACATATAGCTGCTGCCTGACAGTGCCTGTATGTTTAATTAAGCATGCACAATGATTTTCCTGATGCAATGACCAACCTTCTGATAACAGTGATCAATGGTGCACTAGTTCGATCAAAGGATACCATCATTTGTTCTGCAGAAAGGTGGATGCGTCGATGATTATGCACTTGTCATATCATTCTGTTCGTGCCAGTTGTGCTCTTTGTTGGTCACTGTTATCGTCAGTTCAAGGCGGCTGCAGTGAATCACTTCGCTTGCTTATTCAACATCCAGGCCAAGTGTTTACGAAAATTAATAAACTGCTTTCAACGAGCGAGAGGAACGATAAGCGAAATGAACTACAATGGGTGCATTGGCGTCGGTTCTCGGAATAAAGGATATCGTCGGCAGATTCGTGGATAACCTCTGGCAGAAAGATGGATGTCCCTTTGGCAGAAAACTGATGTCCCTTTGGCAGAAAGATATGATGTCCCTTTGGCAGAAAACTGGATGTCCTTTCCAGTAAGGTAGATGACCTCTGGTAGAAAGTAAACAGCCTTTACAAAAATGTGGATAAACCCCGGCAAAAATGTGGATTACCTCTGGTGGAAAGGTGGATCACCTTGGCAGAACGGTTGATGACCTTTAGAGAAAGGTTGATGACCTTTAGAGAAAGGTTGATGTGCTCTGGCAGAATGGTTGATGACCTTTAGAGAAAGGTTGACGAGCTCTGGCAGAAAGGTTGATGACCTTCATTGAACGTCAACCATCAACCCGTCAACCTTCCAGCCGGCTACAACCGCAGACTGGAGGCTTGTCATTTGATTCCATTTTGACTTATCTTTGCTCTGACGCATATAATGCCGTCAAGAGAAATTTGTTTACACCCTTCGAAAATACAGATAAATCTGGTTAGTGAGAAACACGGGTCTCCCGCGGAAGAATCGGTAGTTCAGGATTTCCAGCAGTTTCGATTTGTTCTGATTTATACAAGGCAGCAAAAAGCAGCTCAACAAACAAGTCGTGCACGCACAGCTTGTGTGTTGGTGTAGATAATTGGTGCGATATATACATACAAAAACTTGTCTGTCAAGTGATGAAAATAATTATAACCAGAATCCAGTTACAATATGTGAAATATTCTGAAGTAAGTTGTTGTAATAACAGCGGGATAGCTTCACTTATCTGTTCTATTTCAACTGACTGCTTTCATTACGAATTGCAAATATCGTGTCAGAATCCAGTGTTACCTCCTTTTTCAATTTGTTTTTTTGCGTAGTGCCACCGCCTGTAACCTTTTACTGGCCTCCGACCGACTCTACTCCAACCTCCATCTCATTTGCCGTTAGTGACGACTGGAAAGTACACAAACACCGTGGCATCTTCACACGATTCGTATTCACAACGGATGGGATTCCACCTGTATATGTTTTGCCGAACAGATATGACAGGCGTGTTGTGGAGTTAACCGGCCTCAGTACTGGGACCAACCATGAAATCCTCGGATGGACAGAGCAAGGGGATGTGCAAAGTGAAAAGCGGTCTCTGACGGTGCAGCTGCAGCCCAACAACGTCGCCGTGATCAAGGTCACAAATACTACCAGGAATAGTATTAATTTTGCTTGGGAACCCCCTCAGGGGATGATCGAGGAGTTATCGGTCGATCGCCACTGGTATAACGTAACCGCACGACCCCGAATGACAGATTCACCGGCTTGCTCCGCACTGCGGTCTCCTCAATACACGCAGTGCCATCCAGCAATGTTGTCTTTGGCAAAATCTTTCAAAGCATTCGAAAACGGTGGGAACCAAGACTTCGGCATTTTGCGGTTCTTAAGTTGATTGCCGTTAACTTAATGTACTTGTACAACAACACGAAACCCGTTACCATTTTTCTGAACTGTGCTGTACTAATAAAAGTTAAGCTGGCACCGCACAACGTTACCGTTAATACACGTTGTTCATATGGATATTCAGTTAACTCACGACCACATAAACAATAATCTTTCTCAGTGCCCAAAAAAAGTTTTTCGAAAAACGTTTTTTTCCGGAAAGAATCTTAGCGATTTATGAATTTATACTTGAAGTACCTAAATCGGCAATGTATTGCAGATTGTGATACTTACTGCATTTATGTCAGAATAAGTGTCATAAAAGTTTTAGCAAAATGACCGAAAGTGTAAAGTTACAGCAATTTTACTGCACGAGCTGTCTTTTCATTTAGTGTTAGTAATATTGTACAAGGGAACGACAGCACTATAAGTTCTGCGAAAAATGCACGTATTTATTAATAAATGGTGAGTTAAGCTGAAAACCGAACTCAAACAAAATCTTCGTAAAAAGGCAAGTTTATCGAACAGAAATGTTTCCAAATTCTAAGCAAACAGAAAACCATTTCTAAGCGTAAATTGCGGGGACAAGAATATCCGTAACAAGATAAGGCCCAATTACATATTGCTACAGAGAATTACTCTCAGTTTGTCAGTCAAGCGTTTTTCAATATATGATAACAGCACAGATTTCAGTGTGATAAAAGATAACATGAGAAATCTACTATTCGCTGCCGCGGAAAGCCAGCTTAATGGGGAGAATTTTTACCACCACGTCCTCCAGCACAGCACAGCAGCGTTGGGCCTCTTTTGACTTCTTCCCAAAGAGCAACGTCAAAATATCCATGCCTTCCTCACAATATTCAAGCGCGAAATGGCACACTTGCCAGGCTAATGTTTCCAGCTTTTCCCTCTCCGGTTTCGACAGTTGATTGACTCCCTCCAGCACCCGCTTGTGCAGCGCCGTAACACTTACCAATCCCGCTGACATCAGGAGTAGAGCACGAAAAGCAGCACACTTTGGGTATATTTTCCTAGAGAAGCTTACAAGATTGTTTCTTTTCTTTTTACCTAAATGCAAAGATACGAAACGGCCAAAACTTACCGTGCGCAGACAATCAAATCTTGCACCATCTGCCAGCCCTCTTCCAAGCGGTTTTCCTCGTAGTATTTCTCCGGTACTTCCACTCCGCAGACCAGGCGGATATGCGCATCGGGCTGCAGGATGCCCGCCGCGTCCATTTCCTTGCACAGCGCCATAAGCATGCCGCTGTGCAGTTCCTGTGGACAGCGCGCGATGCTCTCCTGCTGCTGCAGGAACCGATGGAACTGCGTTAGCCGGTCACTGTTGATAGCGCCGCATTCCGAGCAGGCTCGCTGTGCACGGCTGTCGCTGGGAATCCGCTCCGTGCATCCCTCTGTTACGCAGCGTAACGAATTAATCTCCGCTTCCTAAGAACAGCCGTACCAGCGAAAATAAAAAAAGCTACAAGTAAGAATATGGCTGGTAGTTAGCGTATCTGTACATATTCTTCTGTGCATCGGCGACAAGTACAAGGATAGTCGTAACGCTGTTCAAATCTTGCGCGACGCTCTGCTCGCGGTACGTTAAATGGCTGCCGGGTGTCGTTGAATCGTAACTGCAAATCATACAAACGCATTACATTTTTAGAACTCGGAGGATATGAAATTTTTCAGCAAGTTAAGCGCCCAGACATCAGTTCTACTCGAGTAGCATATCTCGTATTGTGTCCCCATTCTGACCGCGTTTAACATGTTTTACTGCCCGAAATGTAAACGATGAGAATCTAAACAGGATGAGCGTAAGCCAGAATACGACAGAAATAACTCGTGAGCGTTTAAGATGAGTTATTCTTCCACCCACTTCGCCAGCTATAGAGAGTGCCTTGCGGATAACGTTGTCTTATATGTATTCGATACGGTTTTGTAAACTACATTATACATACCAATACGTAAAGACCCCCGCTAGCGTTGCACACTACCAAAGCAGGTTGGTGATAGAACGGGTAAACAGTTTCCATTGCACTGTATGTCACTTACATCCCCAAGTCCTGTGTAATTCGGAATGTCCTGAACGGCATGCATAACCAGCCGGCGTCCGCGGTAGTGCAGCACCACGTTGATGTCCCAGCACACCGGCGTCATCCGTCCCGGCGGTGCCTGTGGATACACGGCTAAGCCGATCGGTGTGGCCAGCATATCGTAAATGGGCAGAAGGTTGTAGCGTAGAATTCCGTAGTAGGCCAGAAATTCCGCTGGTGTTAAGCCGAGTATCAAGGAATTTCGCGACTCCATAGCAGATACTCTACGAGCAATGAGTAACTTAGACGAGAGTCGTCCTTCATCTGAAAAAACGCTTACGTTGGTTGCAGTTCCTCTTCGACTCTGGATTGTGATGGATTTGCCGGCAACATGAGCAGAAGATCTTTGGCAGACTTTTGACCCATTCCCAGGATGTTCATCATTGTTTTTAACTGAAGAAAAGACGTAATGCAATCAGCAGACATTGCAACAGTATCACACATATTTTCTCTCCCCGTTGTCTTTGTCGTATGTCTATAGCTGTTAGCCTGTTACCTACTAATTGCAGCACTTGGCGAAACTTATCAGAACGGTTAGCTTATAACCGTAATAATTTACGATAGTGTAGATTTGCCACCAGAAGTCAGTTTTCAAAAGAGCAAGATTGTATCGTTACGGTTATAAGCAACAAAAACGTTGTATGTATGAGGGTATGTGCATTATCGGAATCTAATATCGCATCTCAAGCACTAATTGTAAATAAAAGACCCAATGCGCATTCAAATCGCTGGTCACGAGTGGGCGCACTACGGGCAGGGCCGGTTGGCCACCCAGCGACGGCAGCCAGCCAACAGTCAGCCGCCCGGCGGTGGCAGGTCGGTCTAAGCATAACTCAAAGTCCCTAACAATCTATGAGAAAGCTGATGTGGTGGCGCGGCGTTGTCAGCAGTTAGTCTATGCGGTCTTTCAATTGGCACATGGAAAGGATGTCGCATGTGCGATGATAATCACCGCATACCAGCGTACTTGTAGTATGCGTTGTAACTTGTAAGCACGCCGGGTTTTTAATTTCCTGCGTAAAGATTATTATAGTGCAAATATGTATTGGAACATCAGACATAAATATCAGCGTTGCATTCAAGGACGTCTTATTAAAAGAAACCTTGATTTTATTGGCCAACTTGGCGATCATATCCGTAGGGACGGCATAGTTGCCCGACGCTGTTTCTCCCAGTGGTCCATGCTCGGATGGCAGACATGCTCCAGTACCGAACTTCTTCAGCAATCCGCATTCCTCTTTATGCTCTATTTTCCAGTCGGCGGTCTGCGAAAATCCAACAAACAATTTGAAGAAAAGGGCAAACAAACCTAGTGTCCCCCTTACATTACGAGTGAACCTTTGGTTCCCTTTACTCAGAAATTCAATGAGATTTTCTAACTGATCACCGTACGAGACGTACCTGACAGGCAGAATTACAGTAGCGATGCAGTTGACATCCAGAACATCTGCTCAATTTCCGGCTTTTTTGGAAGCAGTACGCACAACGCGTCTTGTACGCGCCGCTCTCCAGCACCCAAACCAACGGGTCGCAGCACATGATGAGGTCGCCAACAGAATAACTGTGGCTGCCTTTGCTGGGTGCAGTTTCCATTCTGACTTTTGCAACTGACGCGAAAGATTAATGAGGAATCTTAAATTTATTATGCAGTATACGTGGTATATCCGTGTGTGTAACCGTGCAATAAACTCGCTGATTTAAAAGCTTGGATAAACACTTACGAGTTCCTGAAGTACTGTAATGAGCTAACTGATTGAGATAAGACTGATTGTACAAGTTACTGATTGTCCCATTTAAAGTTTGCTACTCGGATACACTTGTACTGTTGGCTGTGCACTCGCCTACTGACCCGTACGTTGAGCATCCGGGTACACGAAAAGCGGTGGCGATTTGAATTGAATTACGGAGAACTTCAACATGAAATTCCCTAAATGTAATCTGTTTAAGTAATGGACTGCTGCCGAGCGCAGTTTCTTTGTGCTGCTTGCATAAATGTATGTCACTGCTGCTTTTACTTGTGTCACGCACGTCTCGCAGCGGTCAGGACTTGCCACCGGGCGGATTTTACTTTACTGTATGATTTTTATTGCAAAATCATGTAAGAAATTTCAGGATGTTACTGCTAGTATCGCAACTTACTGTGCCACAGGTATTTGTATATAGATACATACTATAATGACTGCGTTGAACTAATTCTCAGGATTCACACCTAACCAGTTCCGTCCACAAACAAAATTACCATTAACAAAACATACACAATTTTAGTAAATAAATAATACAATTAAAAACTATTTCCCGGTTTCTTATAACCGCTCGCCAGTACAACAACACAATGACAACGTGACAATAAATTCCGCCGGAGAGCATCACACAGTATTATTTCAAGCCGTCAAGAGTCTGCTGGATGTGGGCCAGTTGCGCAACAGCCTGCTTATAAACCTCATTGCCTTCCTGAACCTCCTGGGACTGCGCACCGAACAACTTGACTAAAATACTCCACGCTTCACTGCAATAATCCGTATTGAGAGCCCACACCGTGGCCGCGGATGCTTTCAGTTGACTGATCGCCGGTGGCGGCAGCTTATTTAGTCCACTGTCCAGCATGCGCTTGTAGAGCGGAGTAACGACGTTCAATCCCGCACACATCAATAAGCGGGCACGAAACACCCCGTACGCGGGGTATATCTTCCTGCAGACAGTTTATATTGACATAAATATATATTTTTATTATTGCTCATCAATATTATGAAATCTATGGAACGGGTTGTCTGCTGTTGTGCAATAATAATAATAATAATAATAATAATAATAATAATAATAATAATAATAATGCAACAGGAAAATTTACCGCACACATCTCATCAGGTCCTTCACCATTTGTACCCCCTCTTCCAGCCGGTTCTCATCAAAATACTTGTGCGGTAATTCCCGGCCGCAGACGAAGCGGATATGGGCATCTGACTGAATGATGCCGGCCGCGTCCATCTTCTCGCAGAGCTGATTGAGCATGGGACGGTTGCGATCCTCCGGAAAGCTGGCCACAATGCGATCGTGCTGCTGCAGGAATTCGCGAAACTGCCGCAGCCGGTCAGCGTTGATGGCACCGCATTCGACGCACGCTTGCATTGCACGATCATCACTGGGAATGGAATTCGTGCAACCCGACGTAACGCAGCGCAGCGGATTGATCTCGGCCTCCTTAAAAAGGAACCGGGAAATGAAAAGACAAGCAACTACGGGGAAAAGTACTGTATGAAGGAGGAGATGGTCAGCAGCGCACGTACATATTCCGGCGTGCAGCGGCGACAAGTACATGGATACCCGTGGCGCTGTTCGAATTCAGCGCGACGCTCGGCTCGTGCCAGGCGAAATGGCTCCTGAAAGGCATTGTACCGCAGCTGCAAGACATACGATTACCACGTGGTAAGATATTGCCGGAAACCGCATTAGCATACACGACATACAGTCAACCGCATTATCATACAGTCCATTTGCTAATTTTTGGTACCGTGGTGAAAACAAGGAGTGTGGTTTATACACAGATAAGTTTGGCTTGTGGCCTTAAAGAGAATAAGTGCTTCGGCTCAGTGCGTTCACAACTTAACATACAATGTACGACAAAAGAGGTTGAACCGATCAGTAGGTCCGCGGTTCAAAATAACCTCGCAACGACACGCCACCACTAAAACTTGGACGCTTCCTCACTACTTTCAGACGCTCGCGCTCCGTGAATATCAAAGTGCAGCTATACTAGTTGCATATCAAAAGGTGTAGAAAAAAATTTTAAACTTTTTGATACTAAACCTGTGGCTGTTTATGGCGAACAGCACAAATTCTAGCCATTTTGCTTTCCCATAGACTTAAGCGCTGATTGCAAGCCAAACGGTTATGGGAACAGATCCTATGCTGTGCCTACGAGAAAGCAAAATGGCTAGAATTTGTGCTGTTCGCCATAAACAGCCACAGGTTTAGTATCAAAAAGTTTAAAAATTTTTTCTACACCTTTTGATATGCAACTAGTATAGCTGCATTTTGATATTCACGGAGCGCGAGCGTCTGAAATTAGTGAGTAAGCGTCCAAGTTTTAGTGGTGGCGTGTCGTTGCGAGGTTATTTTGAACCGCGGACCGACTGATCGGTTCAACCTCTTTTTGTCGTACATTGTACTTCGCTTGGCCCATTATTTTAGTCAGTACCGCTTTGGGATCAATATATTAATCACTATTACTGCATAGATGCAGTGCTGGTCTTACTGGATAGATTGCATCACTGATAAGCCGCATAGGCTGAATGGTAATACATAGACTGCATTTCAGTCAGCCGTGGTTGTTCATGTAGCCGCCCGCCACAAAGGCTCTCAATTCGGTAAAGTGATTAACATATTGATCCCTAAAGCGGTACTGATTGAAATAATGGACAAGGCGAAGTACAGTACATCCACTCACTTGTCAGATCAGCCTGCAGCAGCACAGCAAGCACAGTGAGCGACCAGTTACACCACATTCACTATATTGATCTCGGATGACCGATAGCGCGACTTACATCTTGCAGTCCGGAATACTGGGGAATGTCTTCGGCGGCATGGATGACCAGCTGTCGCCCGTGGTAATGCAGCAACGCATTCATGTCCCAGCACACGAGGGTCATATGGCGCGGCGTCACGGGATACACGGCTAGCCCGATCGGTTGGCTGACCATCAGCAGAGCATCATAAATCGGCAGAGCGTTGTAATTGACCAGTCCATAGTAGGCCAGAAAGTCGGCGGCTGGTATTTTGATTGACTTGGAACTCTCCGATACGAACTTACTGCAAACAAACACCAACTGCTTAACAGCCAGAGCATGTGGCTGACACATGGGGAAAACGGAAGCGCTAATGAAATTACGTTGGCGAGAGATTGCTTGCGATGGTCGACTGCTTGGGATCTGCTGGCAGCGTTAGTACGAAATCTTTGACAGATTGTGGATCCATTCCCGGGACGGTAATCATCTTGTTCGACTAAGCACAACAGAAAATACACAAGCTGAAATCATGGCAATGCGGAGCGCTTCCATTGATTCTCCTGTCTACGATGTTATGTACTTCTTCTTTACAAAACACAGCCAGAGCAAAATGCCGTCAGAATGAAATATCATTCTTGTAGAACACCACAGACCGGTGTCCGATGAACCAAAGTAAGCATTACAAGAAATTATCGAGCGCTGTGCGAGCGAGCAGGCGCACCACCCAGCGTCCTGATTGCACCAGTTTTTAGACCAAAGCAAGGTAGTGCATTGGCCAAAATTTCGAATTTAGTTAGTCTAGTTAGAGTACCTTGATTTTGTTGACTAATTTGGCGATGAGCAGGCGTGGCATGTCCAGACTGTACTCCGAGCCGATACCCAACGGTCCGCAGTCTCTCAAAGCGGCCATATCGTTGCCACTCGTCGTCATCAACAGTTCGCATTCAAGTTTATGCTCCAGCTTCCAGTCAGCTCTCTACAGTCAAAACCCAAGCTCATGATGGTTCCAAACTAATTTCAAAGCAGTTCAACGCAGGCTCGATTTTTGGCCGCTGGGGGAAGGGGGGCGATTCAAAGTATGGCGCCCCCTCCCGTCCCCCTTGTTTTTAGCCCTCACGACGCCCCTCCTCCCCTTATTAAAAACCCCAGCGCGGACCAGGTTCAACGATCACGAGCAATGCAGTTCAACGATACCATTCAAACCGACTTGTCAGTGCCAGTGTGCACTGAGAGACCAAGCGCGGCACATGCTGGCAATGTCTGTCCGCATGTCTGTTAGCCGTGAACTGGGAAAACAACCTTCAAAGTCCCACCTGACAAGCTCTGTTACAGTAACTATGGAGTTTGCAGTCCGCACAGATGCTTAATTTCTGACTCTTCCGCAGACAGTAGGCGCACCGTGTCTCGTAAGCGTGGCTCTTCAGCACCCAGACCAGGGGCTCGCAGCGCAGTACTACATCGCCAGCTGCGAAAGAACGGACGGCAGGGCCCTGCACACCATCCATTATGAATTCACGGCTCCCAATAAATATCACTTTCAACAATGACCAATCGCAGAAACAAACTAACACGATAATTAAAGTATGTAAAGAACAAAGATCACGCCCGAACTGCAAAAGTGTTTCCATAGACTGTCGAAACCATACGGACTCAAAAGCAGGGCAGGCTCACACAGCTGCCTGCCAATGGCGAATGCACAGCGAACAAAACATAAAACTTTTCTGCATACTTCGTATCGTCGTTTGTGTTCAAACTGTAAGGTAAAACAGTCTATAGGCAACTTCTCGCGGTCTTGCATACCGCATGTCGATCACTGTTCAATTTTGTAGTCTATCATAATCGAAATCCAACGAAGTGTGATCTACACGTTCGACTTGTTTGTCATAAAAAATTCCCATCTGTGCCGACTGTGCGCACCAACAATCGGTGCATTCGTTTCCTGGAGCTCCATAGTGTTGGGCCGGCCCGGCCCTTTTGGGAGGGCCGCGGCCCTCGGCCCGGGGAGATGTGCCACGGCCCGGGGACAAGTCGGGCCGCAGCCCGGATCGAAAAACGACGGCCCGGCCCTCTTGCTCGGGCCGGGCCGGGCCGACCCAACGCTAGAGTTGCATGATCAACCCCCCCCCCCCCCGGCACGCAGCTACAGGAAGGACAAGATTAAGATTGACGGAAAGCAACAGCAAACAGCGGAACTTCGAAAAATCTTACAACAATATTTTTTGGGCTCGCCTTAGCTTTATAGATGTATGTACAGTACAAGTACTTACTGTCAGTTAACTGGGCTCCCGGCAAAAATTCAGCGAACCGGATATTGGTAGATTTCACTTTGTAGTCACGTGTCTATTATTGCAAAGTTTCAAGATCGGGTAGCAAACATTCGTATTGCGCAAGTTAATGCTTTCGAAATTTTTTCCCATTTTAAATCGTCATCGCATTTCACTCATTGACTGTAAACAGGAACTCTCGAAATGTGCAAACATGACCGGCAAAAACGCCACCCCCCCATCCTCAAATAGGGGACATTTGCAAAACTGAACACAAGCTAAATTTATACTCGTACATCTATCTGTAACTAATTTTATTCTTATCCAAAAAAAGCATTGATTAATTATCATTAGCAGCCACCAAAATGGCTTCCGCCATAAACTTGTGTAAATACAGTAGTTATTATTATCGCTAATTCATTAATTATAAACTCAGCCTGAGTTTATATTTATTTATAAAGAAAATTAAAAAGCAATCAGAGATGCGATTCTACGCAATATTTTAGTGAAGATAACGCTTCAACGGTTACGAATAATTGAAATTTATAATTAAATAATATGGAACTATTTTCCTCGATTAATTATGCGTTCTCTACAGATAGTTCAGTTTGTCAAAAATAGGACACACTAAGTGTCCTTTTACGCATTTGTGTGAACAAATTCCGCTTCTGTTAATTATGCTCAAAATCTAGCATTTTCTAGACAATTACTGTGGTGAAGTGGCCGGAAGAGGCCCAAGTTTGGGTACTCTGAGTGCCAAAACAACTACGATAAAAATTATAAAAATGAACGTTAGGTTAGAATTTGGATGAAATAATTGAGTTTCATTTAATTGTCAAAAACTTTTCGTATAAAATTTTGAGCGTATGAGACACTAAATTTGCCAGACATGGATTACAATGCTGCACAGTTACAGTACATAAAAGGATAATTAACGTGCACAGTGACTGCACACTTACCGCATACCGGCGACCACTTCCTGTGTCATTTTCCATCCGTCCTCGAGCTGTCTGCAGCGAAATACTTCCGCGGCAGCTCCCAGTCGCAGATAAAACGGAAGTGTGGGTCCGGCTGCAGGATGCCGACAGCGTCCATCTCCTCACACAGCACCATCCCCATGTCTTTAGACTTCTGTGGTAGTAGTATGCAGTATGAGTTATTGGCAAATAATGCTGGCGAATGGAAACACTATACAGTGCTTGAAGATACGTCGCCTGAAAGGAAGCCGTACGACGTACGAAGAGAAAGGGCTGCCGGATGGAAGCGGTATTGTTTGAGCCATGTTTTTTTTTAATAAATGATTTGTTTTATGTATTTCGTCCATGGTGTATGACTAATATGAGGTCAGTAGCTAGATTAACTAAATATTCTTCGCAACCCACTTTAACTCTGTGTCCCCGAAAATCAGTTAAAAAAAAGCGAAACCACAAGCCAAAAAAAACTGAATTTATCGAAATTTAAGCAACTGTGTAAACAAACGGGGCGGCACGCAATCCTCAGGCGCCCAGTACTCGTAGTCGGGTTCATTTGCGTAGTGTTCTAGTTTGCAGAACCATATCCCGGCAAAATATACCACGTCGAGGATGCGCAGTGGACGTTTCGCTGGCCATATCAACTTTTTGGCCCAATCTAAAAAAAAGAAAGCTGCAGCAACCGCGTACAAAATGCAGGCAGCTGAGTGAACGTGATCGGTTTAGCTCATACCGTACAAGAGTCAGCACAAGTGCAAAGGAGCAGTACAGTAATATATAAAATGATAATGTACCTTTATAACGCGCCCCGCTCCACTCATTCCACTCATTACGGAAAACACCCAAACCCGCACCAGCCACCAGTTCTTCATGAAGGGATTTCGGCTTTTCTTCGTCATCATGGTCTTGTTCTGCTAGCTGCATGCGCTTCCACAAATTATGGAACTGCTCAACTGCATTTCCTACGCAACGGGATCCGCGTAGTTTCCACAGACAGAGCGCTTTCACCACCGCCTACGCTAGGTACATAACAATGACACCACTGGCCTGTTCCAGCGTCACCACCTACGAATCCAGAGTTAATGTAAAGGTCAGTGTGATATCACTACAATTAACACGTTAGCAACTTAGCATTCCACGTGCATGCACCATGAATTTACTCTGTTAATAGTACGTGTGAGAATTTCATATGTCAACTGAGCCAAAACCATCAAAACTACGGTATCTGTGTCTGGATGTTCTCGTGGAACATCTGTACTGGACTACGCCAGTCCTGCAATGCCCCACGAAAGCAGTTGTTCCCGGGTAAAGCCTCCAGGCAGTCAACGAACTCGAGCCACGGCTCTTTAAACTCCTCTCCACTAAAATCGAAGTGGTAGACAGCTAAACACGGACAAAACAAGCTGTGGGTACGTAAACAGAGCACAGATGGCCACGTACTTTCCTTAACACGTATGTACAAGCATGTTGACAAATTGAGCATTCGTAAATACAGCGAACATTAAAAGGTCACGGGTGCCGCTTGATGCTGTGCTACGGCGCACAGCGCCACAGGTTTTAAACACGTAACTTGCTTTTTTTTGCACGCCAGATATTTCATTGAGAATGATTGTAATTGCCTAACGGAATGTGGCTAGAAAACTGACTGCGAAGCGCAGTTGCGTACTGCGATAAACACAGGGTAATGGTCATCGTCCAATTACCTACTTCGCGACAATATCGCTCTGCACTGTACCTCTACATGTTCAGTTTGTCGTCAGGCGTGTGCGTATATTAGTACAGATGTAAGCATTATATTTATAGGATGATACATTAATGACCTTTAGGTGTTTTTAACTTACAACCACCAGTCACGACAGCCAAAGTCATGTGCTTATCCGATCCTTTGTAAGTGTGGCAAAAAGGAATCACTACCAGTTCGGCAGATATGATCTGTTGGAGCGCAGCAGAGTTCGACAAGTGTGGTTCGCCAATGATCTCACCAAGGTTCTGCATATCGTTGTATGAGCCCAGAAATTGCATCCCATGCAGGTCGAGAATCACCGCCCGATTCTGAAACCCCGTGCCGCGGACGATACAACGCAATAGGTCATTTACGTGATCTGCATACAGAGGTAGAACGGGTTTAAAGTTTTCGACCAACATAATGCACTCACTTTTATTTGCTTTAAATTCGGCGGGCGTGGGGCTGCAATCTTCAATCGCTGTTTCAACTGCGCTAGCGATATTAGTACAGCACGTTGTCGGATTTTTTGCGAATAAATGATGACAGGCATCCTCTTTGCTATTAAAAAATTCTAAGCACTTCTTATTGCCGAAATAGCCGTTCGTGAAACAGGCGAACTTGCGCGGCATTGTGCTGATGAGAAAATGCAAAACAAATTCAAGATTTTGATGGAAAGAATGGTTGATATTTCTGAGATTTGTTGTAAGGACTAAAGTTTGTAACTCGGTATTAAAATGTCGTCTAATACGGTCTTTAGCCTTTCATGTTACGTAGCAACGCCACCAGTTCCTAACTTCCTAGCGTAAAAACAGTAACCTTTCTTGAATTATATTGTGACAGAACTCAGCATGCAGAAAAACACTAAGATACTGCTAGAGTACTTAGTCGGTATACAAGACAGACATACTGTACAGTTAATACAACACGTGCAGTAAAAAGTGAGCATATCAAGTACTGAAAACGCATGGTATTTTTGTGGTATTACTGCAGCCGGGTTAAGTTATTTACAAACAGTGAATAGAACGTCCTGTTATTGTATGGCATGCTTCGATGATACGTAGCCATCCTGTGATATAATATGAATATTCGGTGATAAGATCTACGAGCAACAACACATAATACAGCAAATGAAGCGCGAACATGAAGCGCGAACGTTAATCGCTACCAGAAAAAATGAAATCGGACATCAATCGTGTGTGTATCAAGCGTCCGTTTTCTTTACATCACAATAGCGTAAGAATGTTTTCGAAAAAACTGAAAAAGCTTGGTGTGGTGTAAAAACAGGCCGTAACGAGTAAGTAATAATGACGGTGGTTGATTGTAGCTGGTAAGGGGGCCGGTTAGGCATAATGTTACAATGTCAACCGTCCGTATACGCATACAGCCGCTAGCTGCTGCATGCACTCTGCAGCTGCGAAAGACCCATACGCCCGGGTGGAGATTATATACAGCTCCGTACTTGAGCGATACACGGTAATCTCGCCATACAGTAAGTAGTTTCGTTGGAAAAAAAAGACCAATAAATAAAATTGGTTAACTCCGGTTAACCTTCAAGCGAGGATGAGGATAGTGACGACGATATTTCTTGGTTTCTCAGCGG